TAAAGGGAGACAATGGAAGTGCGGTATTTGGGCAAATCGGGTCAACCACCCCTTTCCTTTCCACCTCGACATATCTCATCCGGCCTTCCCGGCATGGCTCCATTGTAGAAAAATCAAATTTTCTCCCTGATACTTCGTTAAATCGCTACCTCTTTGTCTCTTTCTCTATCTGAACTAATTGTTTCAGAACTGTTTTGTTTTAACTATATTTTATATCCTGCTATAGAATCAGTCTGGTTTATTCAAAAAGTCTTTGCAAAGGTTTATCAGGCTCATCCTTAATCAGGCGTACAAAGAAGGAAGCGTTTGATTAAGAAAGAGCGAGAATAGAGGATCAGTGATGAAATTCGTTCAAAACATGATTTTCCCTTATGCCAATGTTTTGTTATTTTCTAAATAAATAGTTTTGTCACAATTAACAAATTAAGCCGTCTCCGCGTTTTACGATTTTTGGCCGGAGGATGATTTTGGTCAATGCGGATACATTTCGAGGGGGCGGAGGGCAGATTTTGGCATTGTGACAAAGTCAGCAGCCCCCTCTTAGTTTCAGTAGTTGACCCGGTGATGATAACGTTTACAAAGGGGTTGATCCTTATCCCGACGTCAGAACCCGGCTTTCTAAATAAAAAGATTATCAACCCACGATTTTTCGACAATAAAAATAATAAGTCAGAAAAATATTTTTCCTTCTTACACGCATACAAACGTTTCAATAACAAAAATGAAAGGAAGGCAAAGGTTAGGGGTTGTCACGGAGCTCATCAAGGTATGGAAAAGGTTCCGGGTTCGAACCCGACATAAATACTTTGTTCGTTTGTTATACAAATGTTTGTTTTTTCATAAACACCGACTCCCCGAATGGTCGATATGACCTCTGCGGTTGCGAACCGTCGAAAAAATGTGGATACTTAACTTTAATAGGAACTTTATTCCTGAGAATGTAATAATGACTGGTAAATGTAATGTTTCGAAGAAGCGTCACGCTGGGTTATAAGCAGGACGAGGCATCACAACTCACTGTGCATGTCGCCTGTGGAAACGAGAACCAACTGTAGGAATTTCGCCAAATTGGAGTATTGAGCCTATAAAAGTTAAGAATTGAAATCTTGAAAAAAACTCTTAACTTACACGACGCTTTGATGACCTACTTGTTCTTGATGTTGCCTATACGTAAAGCTTGTAGCCTACAGAGTGTCAAATAACTTAGTTGAACCTTTACTCCTTAGGACTAAACATTTAGTGGTCTAAACCCTGCTGTCTGTAATGCAAAATGCAATACTTCTTTATTAAAATTTTATAGTTACCGTTTTGGTCTGCCCATCCTCCCTGGGCTGGTTGTCAGACGAGTTTCGGCATTTTGCCATCTTTAGTGGTCTCAGAAAAATGTCAGGCTCATTACTCCGCAGGCAATATGAGCAAATCTTACAACTTATTTTTTGGTAAATCTCTCCTTGAACAATTTGGTTTTATGGTTGAGCATCTCCAGCACAATTTTTAAAGTACTATCATACACACCCTTATTCTTATTTGGGTTCATTTGCTGTCTGTAGCGTCAACCTCTATGTGAGCTTTTTGTTCCTTAGAATTGAATGTGCAACTAATGGTCTGACCTAAGCGGTCTACAGCACTAAGTAGTTTAGCAATTCCTTCATGGTAAACCTTTAGATGTGACATTTGTTCCTTAGAATTTAATATGCAGCTAATGGTCTGATCCGTGCTGTCTGCAGCACAAAGTGCCAATCACTTTTAAGCAGATCCTTCTTGGTAAACCTCAAACTGTATTTTGATTATGCAGCTAAGGGTCTAATCCCTGTTATCTGCAGTATAAAGTGGCACACATTTTGAAACCCTCACTTTTTGGTAAGCATTTAATGGAACTCTTTGTTTACGATTGTACATATAATCTGTCCTTTTATCTCTTCAAGTCGAAGTGCTATTTTCAAACCCTTCCTTCTTCTTAAGCTTTTAATTGAGACATAGTTCCTGGGTTATGCAGCTAATGGTGATCTTTGCTGTCTGCAGCACAAAGTGTCAAACAATTTCCAGCACGTCCATCTTGGTAAACCGATAGTTGAGCGATTGGTTATTAGAATAGATTTTACCTCTACTTTCAGTATAACAAGTCAAAAGCACTTTAAAACCTTACTTCAAACAATTGTTCGACAGGTTGAATATGGCTAGTATAGTCACCTCTATCATCTGCAGATCAATTATCAAATCACGTTCGTCACATTATACTTTGTTTACCACCTGTTTTCGTTCATAAAATTTTTCATAAATATTAACTTTTCATCACTTCTTTTCCTCCTAAATCGCTCAAATGTATTAACAGTTTGGAGCAAATTAGTGCAGGCTTCCATACGACGTTTGCCTTGGTAATCCAAACTCGGCCGGATATTCCACACACGTTTGCCAAGAAATAAGGCGACACGCGAAGCCACAATTGTGGCCAATAATCCGCATAGGAATCCTGGATTACACTCTGGAGTAATTAACATACCGACATCTACTTATGCGGTTAAAGATAATTGTTCATTAATGAGGAACCAACTAAACCGACACTCCTTTCTATTGTATTAAACTGTAAATCCAAACATGAATAATTTAAAGGTATATTTTTAAAAAATCTGTCGTGTTCTATGATATCATAAGAAGAATAGAAGCTAGATCAAAATTCTGTTTTTTTGTATTGACGGATTGTTATTCACGTCGTACTGCACTTCTGTGTTTATTTTTGAATAAAAGAAAAATAAATTAAAGTATATATAAAAAAATCTATTTTAATAATTCAAATATTTTGTAAAATTTCATCTTCTGAAATTGTTGATCTAATCAAATCCGAATATTGGGGCAACATTTTGAATTTCTGCTCGAACTCTTCATCTGCAAGCAGATTGATTGTTAGGAATAAATTAATGTGGTCAAATATGACCGCTAAACAATAGATTATAATAGCAGCAATAAACTTTCTTTTATCAGTTTAATTGGATAGTTAAGAAGGCTTTTTTATATTTTAAGTCAATGTATTGTGACGGTCGTATTTCGTTCTTTTATGTCTCAACAGATGTCTAATAGATAGATCGTAAAACCAGCTAAGAAATAAGACAAATAATGTTAAATGCTATGATTGAAGTCTATGTAAAATCTAAATGTACACCTAACCAAACAAATTATTACATTGAGGCATAATATAATAATCAGAACTATGTGACAAATATTCTTTTTTTACAAGGGTATTTCAACTATATGAACCCCCTTTAAAAAAAACCATTTGTAAGTATGCCGGGTTCAAATGAAGAACCGCTGGATTCGAGCACGGGACCTATACCTTACAGTGATGAGCACCGCGTCAACGCCTAAATTGTTGCGGCCACCAGCGCCCCGAAAAAAAAATTTTAAATAAAAACAAAGCAATAATGTATTAAACTAAAAGGGTTCACCGAAATAAATCCAGGAGGGAAACTTTGTAAGAGGATAAAGAGAATCTACTGACACTAATCCGATTTGGTGTAGAAAATGTCTTAGAAATTTTCCAACTTACCTATTTATCTCAGTTATTTATTCTTAGCCTACGTACATTCAAGAGAAAGGTTTTTACGAGGTATTGTTTTATTTTAAGTAATAAGGTTGACAGCATTTCTTAATTCTTGTAAAACCAAACCCAATTTCACGGCGCTATCATTAGACTAAACCATCATGACCGGCAGGTCTTGCAAAACTATAGAACTGTTCGCCTTGATGTAATTGTATTTATACCACTATACTACTTCACACTTCTCTCCATATTCACTCTCTCACTCTCACTCTCACCCTCTCTCTCTCTCTCTCACACACACACACACACACTCACTCACACACACTCACACTCACACACTCTCACACACACACACACACACACTCTCTCTCTCACTCTCTCTCTCTCTCTCTCTCTCTCTCTCTCTCTCTCACACACACACTCACACACCATTCTCTATTGATATACTATACCTCTTTCACTCCTGTTTAGTTCTCTCATTGTTGGATTATTCGCCATTGTAACGTCTTGTAAAACTTTCGAAAACCAGCTCAATTATTTCTGTCAGAAAACAACAATTCAAGGAAAAACTCGAAAATTATATGCGAAAATGACCGAACAAATTGACTTGTCTGGTTTCATTTCTCAATCTATACCTGCTATGTTTCTAGTTGGTTTCAAGTCAGAATCGCCAGGTACTTAAATTCCAATTTTGAGATAATGCCTTTTGATGAAAAAAATTGTTTTCTTTCACAAAATCATTAAAAAATTAATATTCACAAAATTATTAAAAATCAGATTATTGAGTTCTGATTAGTGTTATGAAATGAAAGAGAGCTCCTCCAGTTCCCTTATTAAAATCATCTTTTAACGAGCTCCTTTATCTTACAAAAACTCTAATTAGTTCCTCGGACCTCGTTAATCTTTCTGTGAATAATGTTATATTTTACTCGTTGCAAATTGGCTGTCTTAGTTTTGTTCAGTATGGGGTTTTGTTCCAGGACGTTATTCTTTGGAAAATGGGTGAGAGAAAACTGAAAAAAGACCTGACAACCTTTTAACGACTCTAGTTTTTTGTATTATTCATCCTTTTTGTAATGAATTAATTAAGGTTTTATACTAATGTAATTAATTTAAAAATAGAATACTACCAATAAACGACCACCTGTCACTTTCTTTTAATCATATTTTTTTAATGTATTTTTAACATCAGAGAGCCAGATCAAGGTAGTTAAGTCCAAAGGTTGGGACGTTTGAAATTAAATTAATTAAACTTTGAAATTACTATTAATCTAATTTCAGGATACCTGTAAATAAGTAAACATGGTACAAAAATCCATCTTAATTAAACATTTTTGATTTATCACACTATTTTTGTAACAAAAAAAATTCATTACAACTTAAATCATTCAAGTGTAGAACAAACCAAATATTTGGGATTACAAAGACTGGTTTAAAAAGGTGAAAAGACAAAAAAACACAAAGCAATTCTTAAAAAATATATATATTCATCATAACTGATATAATAAAAATATTCAACATAAATTGATTCTAGTGAGACTTTTTATGCTTTAGAATTTCTACAGGAGTCAGATATAATACAGTGTTGCATTGTTCGCATTCATATCTTATACCATTTGGTTTTTTCGTTTCTTTTGATACCTCCTTTGGCTCATCGTCTGAAATAAATTGCATATTTTTTAGAATATTATGTTTTTATATATGTAAATTAACACAAAAATTAAATACCTGTTTTTTCTGTTTCATGGTACTTATTGCATTTTGCTAAATGCTGCAATCTTTCTATTGCAATCAAAGGTATTTTCAGATCACAGTAGGGGCAATCCCAATCATCAATTTTCAAACTATCACTAATACTACAAAAACAAAAAACTAAATTAATATACTGTAATATTGGAAAAAACATATTTTCGGTACCTATGGTACGTCAAGTACGGAGCAACCTTAGTTCCACCAACTTCTGAGTTTGGTTTCATCTCATACGTTGGATGAAAGGGGTTATCGCCATTGTAAACATTATGGCCAGTTCCAACAAAAATATGCTTTAAGTCTGCTGGAAGGATTCTTTTAACAGCGTATCTGATTTTAACTCTCATTATTTTCAATATATCATTAGTTAAATCATCTCGGAGAGAAGCAACATCAGCTTTATTTTGACCTTTAAAATAAAAAAATATAGTAATTAACCTGTTCAAAACAGTGGCATTAATTAAAAAATTTACAGTTACTTTACCTGCAGCAAAATGCAAGTCGATAAGCTTTCCCCATTTTGTTCGTAACTGAATTATTTTTTTAGTAAACGTTTCAGCCATAGTAGGGTCAGGAAATCGGAATTGGATCCAAGAATCGCATAAAATACTTTAAAAAATTGGAAAACGTTTAAAACGTGTTTAAAACATTTGTATTATCGTTATGAAAATGGCAATTACCATGTGAAATCTCCATTAGTGTGGATATCATTGGCAAATATAAGAACTGACTGCGCAGCTGGCATTCTCATTGTATGAACTAAATATGCTTTATTTGTTTTTAGTAGAGTCCTGAAAAACAATTCTTTTTAATAGTCAACTAAAATCACTATAACTCATTTTTACATAAAACCCCCACAAAAAAATTTTATTTACATATAAAAAAGAACCTGATGATGCTCACTGAGTGGCGATCTTGAATCGTACCCAGGAGAGTTGATGATCTTGGATTCATTAAGTTGTAAAACGTCCGGATTGTTACTGAAGTAACTCATCGGATGGAGGAACAGGTAAGGTTTGTGTTTTGTATGAAAAAGATGATCTCTAACATTCTAGAAAATATTATTACATAACTATAGGTTACTAATTTATAAAAAAAATTAAACTTAAATATTACCTTATGATGATTCAATACATCGATAAGAGCTACTTGTGGATATAACCCACTACATACTATGGTTTTTAAAATGGTTATATCCTTATAACTGCATGCTGTTGATGCTTGTATCAATTCCTTAAAATCAATAAAAAATTATATTAAAAAGAAAATAAAGATAGGATGGTCATCTCTGATCATCTTGTTTTACATATTGTCATTAGTTTGGTCTGTACATGAGTTTCTGCATTTACACTTTGGTGATGTCTGTTCAGTCAGACAAGGGACTGAATATGACAAAATACTGAAAATTGACAGACCGGACCAGGAGGATTTTAAAAAGGTGAAATTTTATAATTACTTTGAGCTGCGGTTGACTGTTTTTTATCCAGAATTCAATATCGTGAACATCCGTGCCATTTTCATTGTCCGCTGAAGACATACTTCCATCGGGCTTAAGAAATTTTTTTTTCTTTTGACTTTCATCAGTGTTGTGTGTTCTTTTCAGTCTTTTGAGGACTCTTAGTTCTCCATGGCGAAGAGCTCTTTCTTCACTTGTCATATACATATTCAAATCATTCGTTAATAATCCACTGTCCTGTGACAAAACATTTTAAAAAGTTATTATTATTATTTATAAAGGATGACATTAAACTATGATTTTTTGTGTTGGTTGATAAAGTACAAACTTGTAGGTGAACTTTAAATTGAGCTCGGATCTTGCACATTTCATAAAACCGCTGTTCCTCCAAACCAAGTGACCTACACCAATTCCTCGAGCTGTTTGATTTATCCCTCGCATTTTTAATCTTAAGCCATTCTTTCAAGCAATTCAAAAGTGTGATTGGATCACCATGGTCCGATTCTAAACATTTCCTAAGACTCTAAAATATAAAATTAACTTAGTAATTGATTTATTTGAATATGCGTGAACAACTTTTACATTTTCATTTTACCTCACATGTTTCATCTCTATAAGCTCTATTAGTAAACGGTGTTTGAACTGAAATAGTTGCTGCTAAAGAAAGTGCAGGATCTGCCTGTTCAAACATGGTCCCACAGATTAACATTTTTCCAACCGGAATGTCAACAGGCAATTTGGCCAATAATTCTCCCATATGTGTTAATTTTTCATTATTCCTCAAAGCCCCCTATAAAATGTACAAGTTTTAATCGAAAGAACAAAAAATCCTTACAATGAGAAAGCCTACATATTCTTTGAGTGTCTGAATTGAGTTTTCAATGCTCTCTTCACTCGGAGGTTCGATAAAAGGGAATTTTCGAGCGTTGGGCAAACCCATTGAAATCATCTGAAGAATTAACGAATCTAATTGTACCCTTTTGATTTCAGGGGTCGTGTACTCTTGCATGGCTTCGTAATCTTCTCGGGTGTAAAGTCGGAAACACACTCCTGGGCCAGTTCTTCCTGTAACACGAATATGTTTATAACAAAAAGTGCTCTGTTCAGTAAAGAATAAAAGCCTCTCCCTCTAGGTATTAAGAGAAGTCTTTCCCTTTTCTAAATTATCTACAATAAATTGAAATAAAACTTCTAATTTTTGGCTAATTTTCTAGAGCCTGTCATCCACTACCATTCAACATTTCTATAAATATATTCACCAAGTCATATTCCAAAACTGATTGATTCCTAGTCTTTCCTTAAAATTATTTTCAATATGTGAATTGTAACTATAAGTGGTGATTGCACAATCTCACATGGTCTGGATCATCTAACCACAAACCAACGTTGCCACAAACCGAACTGGCACTCATCTGTGAGAGAACAGCGAATAGTCGCCCATTTTACTCAATGCCCCTTCAGTAGTAGAGAACCTGATGCAGGATGTCTAGAAATTAGGCTATTTTCACAAAGCCTTCTGATTTAGAAGAGCATTTGGAGTTGTTGACTCCCTATTAAGGAAGCCGTTAAATGACGGTTCCATAGAACAGTAAGAGCAATAAAACGATTGTCTCTAGTCATTGTACATTGTGTTCAACCACTACCTTCTCTTCGATCAAGACTTCTGGTGGCCCTAAGCCTCTGTAGACCATCGAGGATGGTAAAGTGTGGCTATTACCAGTCGCTTGGGCTATTAACAGTCACAACATCTGTCGTTGGCCAAAGCATTTGCCATGCTTTTAAGAAAAAATTAATAATTATTTTTTAGTAAAATTTATTGTTACATCAAAGAAACTATTAAAAGAAAAAAAATTAACTCACTTGACAAGTCTAGAAAGGATGAAATTAAAATGATTTCTTTTATTTTTAGCTAATGTGTTCACAATGTGTTCTCAAAGCTTTAATTATTTATTTTATTTTTTATTTATTTTTTTATTGGATTGTCCCTGAACAAAGATATTTTGATTGATTGATATATTACTTTCTTGGGTGCTTGCTTTCCACAATATACACTGTCAATACTGAAACTACATCTTTGTATGCAGCTACCCCACAGATAACTGATTATATTAATTATGCAACATGGTAACAAATAAAATTTAAAATACTAAAATAAAAATTACCAGCACGTCCTTTTCTTTGTTCGGCACTAGCTTTACTGACCCAGAATTCTTTTAATCTGCTCATTTTGCATGTTGCGTCATAACTCATCTCTTTCATCTTTCCGCTGTCTATGACAAATCTAATTCCGTCGATAGTGACAGATGTCTCGGCTATATTTGTCGATACCACGCATTTTCTGTAGCCTTGTGGCACATAGTTAAAAACCTGAAAAATAACAGAGTAAGAATAAACTTAAAATTAGAGAAAATTTAATTCAATCAACTTTATATATACTTTGTTTTGTTCAGCAAGAGATAGAGAACTATGAAGAGGAAGGGGTATCCAATTTTTTGATTCTTCATTGTATCCATTAATTACAGTTATTAACGATTCAATTTCATTTAAGCCACTGACAAAAATTAAAACATCACCCCTTTCATTTTCTACAATAAAAATAATAATAATAACAATGGGCAAATAATAACTTTGAATTCACTTTCTTACTAGGATATTTTTGGTCAATACCACGAAGTATTCTAAGGTAAGGTTCAGCATTCAATTTTGTCTGCGAAGAATCCTTTTCAGCAGGAACTTCCGAAAAATGTACTTCTATAGGATGAAGTCTACCAGGAACCTTCAATAAAATGGCTTGTTTTTAATGTATTTAAAACAATTTACTAAGGTAATAATCACATCATAAATTATCTACCTGAATCACTTTAGCAATGTCTCCGAAATACTCTGAGAACAACGATATATTGATTGTGGCAGACATTAGAACGACTTTGAGATCTTTCCTTTGATAAATCAAGCATTTCAAAATGCCGAGTAAAAAATCATTGTATAAATTTCTTTCATGAACTTCATCAAGTATGATGACATCGTATTCAGAAAGCAGACCGTCCTGAGCTGCCTAAAATTATAGCATAAAAATCTAATTAATTATAACAAAAACAACAAATAAATAAACAATTGTATTGTTTAAATGTATTATTAAAGCTAACTAGTAAAAAAATAAATACCTGTCTTAAAAGGAAGCCTTCTGTCATAAAAATCAACTTGGTGTCCTTTTTTCTTATACTTTCGAATCTGATTTGATAACCCACTTTATCGCCAAATTTATTCTGTGTCTCAAAAGCTACACGTTTGGCAAGTGCAATGCACGCTATTCTCCGAGGTTGGGTACAAGCTATTAAAAAAAAAATGAAAACTTATGATTAAATATGAACAAATAGGTATAAATAATAAAATAATAATACCTATCCTGTTATATCCTGCATTCATTAAATACTGAGGAACTTGTGTTGATTTCCCGCATCCTGTATCACCAGCAATTATGGTAACTCGGTTTGAAGATACAGTTGAAAGAATTTCATCCCTGTGATAATCCATGGTCGTTAATTATAAACAGAACATGAAAATAATATAAAACTTACTTGTAAGATGTAACAGGCAGATTAGCTTTTGTCTCTTGCAAAGCTGCAAAGTTTTTATCATTTTCATTCTTTTTAAAAAGTAGATAGCTTAGAAGAGCCAGGCGGAAACCTTCCAGCGTGTCCTTACTAAACCCATGGCGGTTTTCTCTTATGCCAGAATTAATTTTATCATTTTGTTCGTCCGTTAATTTAAGATGGCTTTTAATCTTTGAGTACAATTCTCTGTTAGCTAAAACAAGAAGAATCCTAATTTTCTACTTTACATTGACCAAATAATCTTCAGTTGTAACTTAGAAATGTAATAATTAATTTAATTAAATTATTTACAGTATTGTCTAGAGATTAATGTGATAGCCCAGACCGCAAGAATAATCAGATCAGGATGATTGAGTAAGATCATACTTTAGATTAAACTTCTGTGTATACGTCATTCACACATAAAAGACAAAATATAAGTGAAATGAGTGTAGATATTAAGTATTTATATATATTTTAAATTTCCTTAGATTCGTCTGAATCCCAGACCTCTCTGGTGGGACCTGTTTGGTAAGCTTAATTAAACAACATCTCTGAGGGATTCTCGCCTGAGTGAATTTTAACCAGATACACCCTAGCTTCAAATATAAAGAATGATTTCCTCTTGGAGTCTGAGGAGTAATGTACTGGTTATCAATCATTTCAATCTGCCTATGGTGAGCCAAAATGCATCTGTCAGACAAAACCAGCAAGGACAGGCCAAAATGGTCTGAAATGTCAAACATACAAATAAATAATGTTTACAGATTACCGATAAGCTTATCAGTACTGATATCAGTTTCTAAACCCAAACCAACTCACTCTTAAATACATTCTTTCCTATTTACATACCAATCATTTGGGATGTATGAGTACTGGACATTCTACAATCACCCTCTACACATTATGTAACTAGTATAATTGAGGGGTCAGTGGGGTACTTATTATCCTACCATCAGCCCTCTTCACCACATATTCACGCTAATAAATACATTCAGCCTCAATATGCACAAAATGGAACACAAAACAAGATATCTATAAGTACTATATCCAATAAAACAGCCGTTTCCTCCAAAAGTTGAGACAGACATATTACTGTGCTCAAGGAGAATTTCCTTATCGGGCAGCATTCCTACACGCTCTCTATATGGAGCCAAGGAATGACCCTTCAAATACGTGCAACACATCAAGCATCAACTCTCTACATGCTGGACATATACGGGAACTTTGAACAAAAATCTGTGGGTCTTCCTCAAAATATAGATTACAATATTAGCAACAGCAATAAGGTCCAGCAACACACTGTTCTTTCACCTATCATAATTCATAAGAGTTCAACTGTCCTTGACTTCCAGCTTATATATTTTTTGGAGAGGCTTATATATCTTCGTTTTGCAGCTAGTAGATAAGTTACACTGCCTAGAGTATCTGTGATATCACTTTTGGTAATTTGGGAAGTAAACAGGGTGAAGATAGCACACCAGCAACAATAAATCATGAAAAAAGTAGGTAACCCAGCAATTTACAGTACTACAATTAAGTTTATACTGAGAACACAGATGCTGCCTCAGCAGATCCCATGTCAGAAAGTTCTTTGATTTTTTTCTAGGTACCTTCACAAATTAATATTTAATATGTACACTCAGGGGTGTCGGGGGCTACAATGGGTTAGGCATTGACACAGTGTTCAGCTGTAGGGTAAAGGTTCAAATCCAGCGGTTCTGATAAAAAAAAACACTCCAAGGACTTCTGCTATTGTGAACCCTTGTAAAAAAAAGAAAAGTACACTCAATTGTGATCGATGAATACTGATGCCATTTCAACAGATCCCATACCCAAAGAGTTCTTTCATCCCTTCTGGATTTCTTACAAATATTCAATATCTACATCTCAGCAGATCTCATAATGTAAATTTTTGTTACCCTTTCTGCTAATACTTATTATTGGGTTGTCCGGAAAATAATGCAGGATTTTGGTATTAAACAAAAAAAAAGAAACTAGTTACTTTAAAGCAATGTTCTTTAATCAAAATAATTTCCCATACTCTCAATACATTTCTCCCAACGTGTTGGTAACTTATTAATTCCGTCTGAGTAGAATTCAGAATTTTTAGAATTGATAAAGTCAATAAATGCATTTTCCAGTTCCGTTTGATTTTTGAATATTATGTGTTGTAAGTAGTGGTCCAGGTGTCTAAAAAAATGGTAGTCAGTAGGCGAGAGGTCCGGAGAGTAGGGTGGGTGAGGCAAAGTTTCATAGCCAAGCTCCAATAATTTTTGTGACGTTACACGTGACACATGTGGTCGAGCGTTGTCATGCAACAAAATGGGCCCTTTCCGATTGACCAAAGAGGGCTTCATTACTGCCAATTTCTGATGCATGGTATTAATTTGGTTACAGTATGATTCAGCATTGATGGTTTCGCCAGGATTTAAGAAGCTGTAGTGTATTAAACCAAATGAAGCCCACCATACCGTAACCATTACCTTTTTTTGATGAGTTGGGGGCTTTGGAGCTTCTCCTTTGTCGAGCCACTGTCCAGAACGTCTAGTGTTATCGTAGAGAATCCACTTTTCGTCACATGTAACAATTCTGGCCAGAAATGGGTCATTTTTGTTTCGACAAAGAAGTGATGCACAAACATCAAAGCGCTGATTTTTTGGCGATCGTTTAATGAGTGTGGAACCCAATTTTCGAGTTTTTTCACTTTTCCAATCGCCTTGAGGTGGTCAGCGACGGTCGTTTTACTGACTTTGAGTTGCTCTGCAAGTTCTCGAACAGTTGTTTTGGGGTTTTCTTCCACCACTGATCGCAGAACATCATCATTAAGAGAGGAAGGCCTTCCACGACCTTCTTCATATTCAAGGCTGAAATCTCCCTCCCGAAATTTTTTAAACCACCTTTGCACAGTGCACTCATTAACACAACCCTCGCCCCAGACTTGGTTAATGTTTCTAGCCGTTTGGGCTCCGCTTCGGCCGAGTTTAAACTCGTAAAAGAAAATCGTACGAAATTCTCGCTTTGACATTATAAGGATGACTGAATTATTTCCAAGTAGCGGAATGCTACAGAGGTAAACAAACAATATCATTTGGAAGAGGATTAATAAGTGTTGACATTCATACAAATGAGTAATCCTGTAAACGTAAACAGAATATTTTATATAGATTTTTTTTAATGAAAACTTAAAATCCTGCATTATTTTCCGGACAACCCGATAATTACTATATTCATGTGGGATCTCCTGAAAAGTCAGATCTACCTTAATAGATCCTTAGTCGGTCTTCAATCCTTTCTGGGGCATTTAAGAAGAAAAAATAATTTATTCAATTTATTCTGGGACAGGAGTGTCCCATTAGAATAATACATAGGTTAAAAAAGAATTTATTAACATTTTGACACAAAAATAAACCTTGACATGGTGATCAATGTAATAACAATGGCCTTATATAAAACAAAACCCAAAGGAGTTAAAACTAAAATGAGTTACTCTGAAAATTAACTTAGAAAAATAATAATTACCGACTAAATTTAAACTGTGGTTAAAGAGGTAAAGTTGAAAGGGAGAGGAGGTGCAAACAGTAGATGTTTAAAGAAGTAAGGGAAGCGGCATGGCGGATAATTACAAACGGATTCCCAGAATTTTGATTCTCGGACAAGGAAAGACTGTTTAAAGGTGCGTGTTTATGCCAGGGAAGGACTAGGACACAGGGAGATGAATGAGTATTGCAGGATTGGAAAGAGGATTTACTGGATAATGTAATGAGGACAAGGGGTATTAATGGCCTGGTAAAGAAAGGACCCAAAGAAATAAAGACTTCGGGAAGAGGGATAGAGCCAGGATATGTTCGAATACAGCCGTGATACCTTAGACCCTCGGGGGATGCAAACATAAACCTGATGCAACCGTTCATTAATCTTTGTAGGCACTTATTTCGTTCCCTCGAAAGCCCACGTAAGCAACATAGCCATAGTCAAAGGGGAATATGAGGGAGGAGGGCAGAAGTTTTCACGTAGAAAATGGTACGAGGAGCCAGGACTGGCGGGAATGGATGAGGGAGGCAATACAACTGCAGGAAATTTGAGAAATGTGAGGGATAGGTTTTGGACAAGGATAACTACAAGGTTTTATTAATATGAAGATATTAAATGAAAATAAGATATTATTATGAAATATCTACACACTAATTATATCTGCTGAGTTTCTATGCCCTGTATGCTTCCCAAATAACCACAGTAATGCCAGCATTTAGTGAATATACCGGTTGGTGACACATCTGGGACGCAAGTTGGTAACTGTTAAACTACAGTTTTTCAATAAAATATGCTTTTTTTCTAACTCAAAAGCTCAACTGCTTTTAAATTTAATACATGATAATCACCAACAATATAAACATAGCTTAAGATTGTCTTACAATGGTTTCCTTTATTCATGGAACTCGCTTTCCTTTTGATTCCATCGTAGGTCGTAAGGTAAAGCTGAAAATCGTCCAAATCCTCAATGAATTCTTGGAGGGAGAAGAGCGATTTCAGCTCATTTCTCCTCTTCCTGAACAAATTGCTGTAGCTGAATGACATACTGGTGAAAGCAGGGATCACCAGATTTCATGAGCTCCGGAAAATTGCCCTTCCACGTTTAATTGCAGCGTGATTAAAAAGTCGAAAAAGTTTAAAACAACGAATATGACCATTTTGATCAATGAAAACAAAACAGCAATGGAAATTGTAAACACTACAAGGTTATTGTCAAGTGAAGGTATCACAGACGGGTGAGAATGAGTTTGGGTCTTGGTTGCTCTCCCTTCCCTTGTCATCATGACACAACTTTTGTTTCGTGTCAATAGTCAAAAGCACAAATAATTTTTTTTATTTTAAAGCTAAATTGTTAAAAAAAAAATTAAAATTGATTAACACAAAATGGCACAGAACGACAGTCTTGTATGGTGTCAATAGTCAAAAGCACAAATAAACTTATTTATTTTGTTGCTAAATTGTCAAAGTAGTAAAAATAGGTCATTGGAATGAAGCAAATTATACCATAGTTAAATTTTGAAAATCAAAGTAAGTATAAACAGAATAGGTAACAAAAAAAGAGGAATCTTTCTTTATAAATATAGTAAGATTTTTTAATTTTTATGATAAAATTCTTGATGATTTATGATATCTCTTGTGGGGTGATAAAATTGGTTTTTCATTGGTAGTTTTTCATTTCAGAATGTTTTCATCCACCAGACACATTTTAGCTTCTTACTTGTCAGATTTGACTGAAGTCATCTTAATGGCCATTGTATCAAAATTATTTAAAAATCCCTCGATGTAGGAAGAAACCTGGTTATGGAGAAAAAATACTGCCACTAGACACTACAACTATGATGTTATGTATGTAAATATGCCACTTACCTGTGCCAATGGTAGTAATTAAAAATAATAAATCAAAGACAAAAACTGATATTATAAAATGATTTATTACAAAATGTTACATTATTAATAATCAATTGAAATTCCTAAGGGGAGGAATTTGTAAGTATTTATTTATTTATTATTAAGAGACCAGAGTATTAGCCTTTTTAGTATTTACCCAGAAATTTTATTTTATATGATGAATGAATATCATTTTGTAAAAATTAAATAATTTATCATTAAAACTATAATAATTATTTAGGGCATATACAAAGCACACAAGAACAACATAATTTAAAACAAGTCTTTAATGTTAACGTTTAATACTAGGTTTTGTGAGTGAATCTCATACTCCCTTTCTTTCATTTTGTGATATAAATACGTTAATGAATAAATATAAATAAAACATCAATTAAATCAAATAAATCTGATATCCCTCCTCATCTTCACTTCTTATTTTTTCTCTTCAGGAATTATTTGGAATCAAGTCTTTAAAAGTTACCTAAATTTATTAAAGGAATGCTAAATATCACATATTTTTCTCTTTGTATAATATTTGAGTTTTCCGTTACTCGTATTTTTTTTATTACTTGCTTTTTTAATTATAAAAAAGGAAGACATTGACCATAGGCACCCTGTGAGAGAACCACTAGCCCAAAATCATTGTTTCCTTTTTTTGGATACTAACTGCAGGTACAATGTGATTAATAATCTAAATAAAAGACACATGATATTAAAAATATGACATGGAGCATGTCATACAGCCTTCACCATCCTAGGATTCAACTGCCACAGCCGAGTACTATTGTCACTAAAAAAAAATAAATCAGAAATTGAAAACGATTATAACAAATTTAATATTGTTGTCACAGGGAAATTTTAATAACATCCAATATGCTTATTAAAGGTTTTAAGGAAAAAATGAAGAATTTTTAATGGTAAGGAAGCGAATTAGCAAGAAATTTAACAACCACACAAATAGAATTTGATCTTTAAGAATACATGTTAATTCAAAGATACATATTAAGTTATTTGTTAGTATGCTAAATGTTTGATGAAGAAATACAGTTACAGATAATTAAACATCTACGTAAAAACTTCACCTTTTGTTAACTAACCACCTCGTGAGCTATACTATCTCAGTCACCATAGTTGCGTTTACAAATAAAAATTATTTCTCCACTAAAATACAAGAAAAATAAATTGACAATCTTATGGTAACATCTAATGGTTATATGAGCAAACGATTTTTAAAAATTGACATGATTTACATATCTTAAACATTAAATCTTGTCGAAATAACGCACAAAGTGAAAACTTAAAATGTTGATGATGATGATATAAACCATTCACAGGTAAACATCAGTAAATTATAAAAACAGGGAGGGCTGTTGCATGAATTTTTACATTTGACATTTCTGTTTCAACTTTTCATCTCAAGAAAGAATTACAATATCAGATCAAGTTTGTTGTTAGTCTTATTTGTAATACTTCAAACAAATTTCATGTTGAAAAAGCATCTGACACTATAAAAAAAATCTAATACTGAAAGAACACCCAAATGATTCATCATACATTAATGTATTGCTATTTGCAACAACCACCATTACCATTATTTTACTATTCACAAAATATTTTAATAATTAAAATATTAAACAATCTAATATATTAAATAAATAACCAATTGAAGTTTTTAAATTATTATTTGCTGAATGAAAGTAATTTTATGGAACATTCAAAATAGCATTCACTATAACAATTTCGGTAATTATGAAGCTATATTTAAAAGTATTTAATAATTGCTTTTATGATCTTTCTAAAAGCATATTGGTTTACAAGTGAAAGCAAGTAATTTGTTGTTGGAATTCATTCAGCATATTTGTTATTTTTTCTGCATGCAGCTATTTTATGAGGCAGCATTCATAAAATGTTCAAAATTAGTTTGACGGCCATGACCCACGATAACATTGCTTGAAAATTTTTGTTTTGAATCTAATTTTTCTAGTACAGTTATTTTGTATAGAGCTATATTTAAAATATTATATTTATTATAAGACTAAAGAATTTTTTTTTAGAAAAGAAATATATTTAGAATTACTAAAAGAACAAACTCAATATTGATTAAAGCTTGCTAATAAATTTAATTAAATAAAATATAAATTAGCCCTTTGTATAGAAAAAAATCAGTATTCCAATATTAGAAGTACATTAATTGATTTATTATTTTTATGCAAAGTATGGTTGAGTTGAAAAATTAAGCGTCGTGAGCAGGACTCAAGCCCATCACCTGTGGATCAGCACTCCGATGTACTGATCCAGAGGTTGTGGATTCGAGCCCACTCGCAATTCAACTATACTTTGCATAAAAATAATAAATAAATAAATTAAAGTGATTACTTTCGTTAATAGGATCAACTAAAAAAAAGAAGAAGAAAAACTACTTCAAGAAATATTATGACGGCAATCACATCTATTTTCAAACCCTTACTCTCAAATATTAGTGGAATGTTTTTATATGGAAAAAAATCTAACCATTAAATTTTAATATTTTTCTTCAAAATAAAACGAAGCAAAACAATGCGAAAAAAATCATATGAAGGAATGCACTGAAATTAGAATACAGCTCATGCTATAAATGCGAAAAGCTGGTTGTTTCAAACTTTATTATCATATTACAATAAGTTAATGCTTATTTAAATTTGAAAATAAATAAATAAACATTTTAATAGGCCCATTTTGTAAAATTAAAACTGATAATAAATATTTAAAAAAATTATAAATTTACCGCCAAAGCAATAATGAAATAAAAATGACAAGTCAGCAAAATGTAGGCATAAAAGGCATACAATTAAACAGACAATTGAAATATATGCCCCGTTGACATTGTCATGATGTCTGGTGGCTGCTGCTGCTGTTGTTGCTGATCAGCTATGGGACATTCTTTCCACATCTTCACTTCGCCTTTACTGTGGAGAAATTAAAATATATGTAAGAGTTGGTTAACAGACTCTCACTTCTCTTATTGTGTTGAATTTTACGGTGAAAAGAGGACCCAATGAAGAATTAACACATTGATTCACATACTCCCCACCCAAGTTATGTGTTTATATGAAGGACACAACATATAGAAAAAATATGTCGATACAAGTGATTATACAAACACTTAAAACTAGATAATGTCAAAAGCTTTGCTGTACTTCGTTTTAATTTCATACAGTTTATGGAAAAAAACCGCTTGATTGTTCACTCAGATTTTATCCTACCTGAATTAGCCAGTAAAGCTACTTGGATAATAAAAAGTCAACAATCAAACGATGAAAAAACTTATCTGCACATTTTCTATCTAATTTATTAATTCAAACAAAAACAAAAAAAAAAGATTTTCATAACTTTGATTACATCAATAATCAAGACAGTTTTTGCATTACAAATAAAGATTCGAATCACAATGTAAAGCATTAATTTTGCAAACGATCCACCACATTTGGGAGTAGAATTACACATTTAAGCAGTGCTGTGAGTTTTAACAAACTTTGGACAGTTAGTGCAAAAACAAAACAAACAATTCTAGTCATCAACAAATTTGACCAATTATGTTTGACCAATTAGTCATATATGATCAGTATTACTTCACTAAATCGTGGTGAAGCGAGTTTACCTATGCATTTTTAAAATAAAACTTCATCTCTCCTTTAACTACAACTATTTTATTTTAAGAATTATGTAAATATTAAAACAGTGAAATTAGGATATTTCGTTTTGGTGGGTTGGAAAATCAGTTTTTGAATTTACTTTTCTGCCTGACAGAAGAACCTCACAATGAACAACATTAAAAATCCCAACACATAGAAAGCACGATTTTTTGCATGAAATCCCACTTTTGAGGTTGTGGAGGCTTGTTCTCACATTATTTTACACCCCATGTTATTGGATAGGACCCATTTTTCCTCAAACATTTTTCTAGGCGATGTCACGGTGAATCATAAATGGATATGCGAGCAGCCCAATTAGCTTTAGTCAATGTAAGCACTACCCAACCTTTGAGTTTTGAAACAAATCAATTTACAACGGATTTTTGTTGGTTGTTTTTCACAACACTCAAGTCAACTTCAATCGGGGCAGGGGACCTCGGTAACCAAGTGGTAACTCTTGGCTCATAGACTCTGCAGTCATGGGTTCAATTCACATCCTGGCCTATTTTTCAAGCTACCCTTCCCCATTAAATAAATGTAATATTACATACTACAATACTAGTATGCAAAGATATACGGCAATTTAAAAAAACCTCAACTGGGCTCATACTGTCTTTAAAATCTCAAGATCTATTTGATAATAAACCACTTTTGGCACACGTGTTCTGTTAAGGCATCCCATCATCACATCCACTACATATTGAACTTGCACAGCTTTAAATAAAAAAGCAAATTAAGCAAGTAGCAACTCAACGGAGACAAAACCTGGTATATAAAGAAAGACCAGAGAAAGGAATTTTAGCAACGACAGGCAATGATCTTATACTTCTAAAGAGGAGGATCGAGTCAACCAAACTGAAACTAAAGAAAAGTACAATAAGCCAAAAAGCTATAGTGCTCGGGGGACATAAAACCTCCCTCACTAGATTTCCATCGTCATCAGCATTGCAAAAACTGAATGAACTCATTTGACAACCTATATATCGACAATTTTACTAAACCCTCCCCCCCCCCCATTTACCATGTACCATCTGTATACAAATTCCCAAGATTCAGTAGATAGGTTTATTTTATGATTTTGTGTATTTAATCCCCTTTAAAAAATTAAATACAAGAAAACCAATCCCTTATCGTATTATCAAACTGCAATAACAGAATAAATATTTTAACAAACTCCAATTCCCATGCATTCCTTCATATTACAATTGTTTAATCATAATCAAAATTTTGCCAAATAATTAATTCAGGTTTTTAGTTGAGATGAAAAAAAGTTAATGGCACGAGCGGGATTCGCAAAAGGAGGGAAACTCATAAGGTGGGGTTGAGATGGGGAGTTGATGTCCGAGTGGATCGAGGTCACGATAGCTCAGGTGGTAGAGCAGCAGCGTATCTAGCCGAAGGTCGTGGGTTTGAATCCCTCTCGTGCCATTAACTTTTTTTCATCTCAACTAAAAACCTTAATTAATTATCTTATATTAATTGGTCAAGCGGACCACAAAATTAGTGAATTTTGCCAAATTGCGAATTTCGAACATATAATTTAAAAAAAGAATAAGTAAAACTTAATACAAATTGTATGCTATTCAATTAAAGCTTAAAGGTGAAGACAAATTATCAATATGTATCTATTATACTTTTCTAACAACAATATACATTTATATAACTTCTGATACCATCATAATATGGAGACCTGACTAAATTAAATGAGACAATTTTGGTGTGTAAATGGTTTTTGTGCGTGTGCGCATACGTCTGTGCGTCTGTTCACTACACACAAACATTTGTAACAGTTTGTATGTTTGTATGATACATAGTTCAAGTTAAAACTTTTTATTCATACAATTCAGAACTACACAAAATCGAGTAAATTCACTTGTTCTTTTATCCAAAGACTAATTTCAACCTTCTGCTATATAAATTGTTTGCTCTGTACTAAACATTATTACTTGCATATTGTTCATTTTGTGAAAATTAATACAAATTTAGTACACTGGTAATAAACCAAAGAAACGGAAAGCGAATGTTAACCAACCACCAACAAATGTGTAAGAAAAGTAACATGTAGTCTCTCACCAATTACTATACTGACTAGTTTATTAAAAATTAACTTATACTAATAGCAGCCATGTTGTAAGTATGCCATCAAAATATAATCCTAAATGCAGAAAGAAGGAAAAGAAAAGCATGCAACAATTGTTTGATTCATGCTTTAAAACTATTACTTACTGACAAATCAAACTGAATTCGTTTAAACTGTTTGTTTTCTAACAATATAACACTAAATATAAACGAACATTTAATTTTGTCCCACAACGTCAACATAAAAGAAAGTAAATAGGAAGAAGGAAGGAATGAAGCAGTATTAGTGTTAACAATAGAAATATAAATACAATAAAAATAAAAGGTATGAAAATATGAAACATTAATAATAAGTAAATAAAGTGTAAAGTAAGATGAAATATAAATATGTACAATATATTTTATACATACCTAGCAGCAGTAAAGATATGTGTAGAATTTGCTGCAACAGCATTGATCGGTGAGGAATGGGCTTTGATTTCTGCCAATTGGGAACAATTATCAGCCGACCAAAGTTTGACGGTACCATCCCTCGAGCCTGATAGTAATACTGATCCACCAGGAGCAAAGCATAAACCAGTGACCCAGTCTTTGTGAGCACTATTTATTGACTAAAACAAAATACAGTCAACACCACAACTGATGGGTTTTTTAAAAATAAGATAGCTTACAGTGACCAGCTCATGGTTTTCCAACTCCCATTTTTTAATTATGCAATCTCTCGACCCTGAAAAAAGTGTTTGACCTTTCATCACCAAACACTGTATGCCGTCATAGTGTGGTGGTTCAAGGGTTACTCTCGGATTTGATATGCCTCCCGTTTCATACCCGACATCAAACACCTAGCAAATAATAAGAACATCATACACAAATCTAATGAAGTATTATCACAAAACGAACCTTTATATAATGATCTTTGGATCCTGTAATGACAACATCTTCACCTGTTGACGTTGGTGATACAGCAAGGCACATGATGGCAGCTTGATGGCCACCAATTAGCTTACCAATCACAGAATATCTTTTAAAAAAAAAATACAGTTAAAAGATTTTCCAACTTTTTTTTATATTATATTAAAATGCATTTTTACTTTCGTATATCCCAGACTCGCACTCTATCGCCTGATGCAGTATACAAAGCATGGCCTTGTTCATTTAAAGCTATGTCATTTATCGGTGCTTCGTTATTTCCCAGCTGACCACCAGACCAACTTGTTACCATACCCGAAGAACTATAAGGGAAAAAGTCTCTCATTCCTAAAAATCTTTTTGACCAATTTCAAAATATATTTACGTTAATGTTTTGATGCATTTCGGCGTGCGAACATCCCAGATTTTAACATAGCATGAAGAAACAGTGAACAAACAATGTGAGTTGGAATCATACTTGCATGCTACAACATTATTTGGATGACCGCCAAACATATGTACTTCTTTCATCTCTCTCAGGTCCCACATTAAAACAGTCCGATCTGAAAATTTGAACAAAAATTATTGTTTAAACATATTTTTGAAATATACTGTCAACTTTTTCAATAACCACTTCTAACCAACATACATTTTAAAATATAAATATGTTTTGTGTCTAATGAGGAAAAACACATACATAAGTCAATAAAAAACATTTACAAAAAAATCATAAATTATTACAGTGGTTATTGTGAGATCATTTCGTTATTTGATTTACAGTTGATTTCAATTAATTTTACAGTTATTTTTAATTAAGATAATTCTCAATTTCAATTAAAAAAGAAAAAACGTACCTCTTGATGCTGTAAAAAGATTGTCATCAGTTGCATTAAGAGCTAAAACTGCTCTAGAATGGCCTTCGACTGTGTGAGTATTGAAAAGGGGTGTTTTCAGGCCTCTCTAAAACAAACAATTTTTTAAAATTAAATAACTGTAAAATATGTTTTATTGTTTTTTTTATTGAGGGCTTAATAAAGTGGGACATTTTTAGTTACAAAATCTTGCAGTTTTCTATTAATGTGGGGGAAAAATACAAGTGGTACCATGCAACTATATCACAGTTTCTTAGGTTTATATTCTTTATATATCCTTTATTAACTTACGTAAATAAAAATTAAAACTAATTATTTTAAATGGATGGAACCTAACTACCCTGTGTTTTCATTACTCAAAAAAAATTCCAATACCTTATTCAAATTTGCTGTTATCTTTCCAGGATGTCTGTTTGTGGTGTTCGGCGGTTGTGATGTAAGCCTTGAAAACACGTTTGCCTCATGGCTTGTTTGCCTTCTGTAAGCGGGCGGTGAGTTTGGCGGAGATCTGTCTAGGCCTCTCTCCCTATTTTATGTTATACGTTTTGCAACCGAAAAGGGAATGGAAAAAATGACGGATGAAGAGGAATTTCAAGATGGAAATTATTAGGGAAAATGGAGGAAGAGATAAAGTTAAATATTAGTAATATCGAACAAAACAAATTAGTCTAGTACTTATGATTAGGCTAAAAAGCAATCCATTACAGCGCTAATTAATAACAATTTTCATAAATGAATCTAGTTAGAATTGGTTAAAATAATAATAAAAATTATGGTGTTCATAAAGTTCCACAAAAATTTCATTATTTTATAACCTTCAGTTGATTGGCTTAGAAAATTGTTGAAATAAAAATCAAGGCATTCTTAAAATATTTGTAAACAAACAGGAAAATTGTAATTCATATGACTATAGAGGTTAAATGACCAACAATAAAATTAAGCAACAAGAGCTATACAAACAAATGGATAAATTACCATGTAAAATATTTTTAAATATCCTTCACCTCAAAATTATTATTTTTTTTTTGTATGAAATAGTGTTAAGAGGATAAGTGATATTTAATATTTTAACTTAAGTTCAGTAATGAAAAAAGGCCTTTATTTTTTCTTCTTTGGTAAGGTTGGTTGGGCTGGAAAAAAAGAAATCACAAAACATACACAAATGTAAATTATATGTGTTCTTATTACCAGCTATAAAACGTAATTGCTTAACAATGATTACAAATTTCTTTTGTAATTGGATCTTAATCCTACATGTGTGATAATTGTAAATGTTAAATAGTTTTCATATTAGATTTAAAAGGCAATTTGGATGGAGATGTAGTGTGACAAATTGTTAGACTTATATGAAAACTATATGATGAAAATAAAACAAATAAAAATTATTGAAAATCTCTCTCATTTTTTAACTGGAATATCAATTACCTCATTGCCTGAAATCCTCACAACCTGGGGCCACCTTAAGATCAGGTTGTAGATCCCAGTTTTTTTAGGGTATTCAGGCAATTCTGGTTTTGAGTTGATCTTGGTTTGGAAAGCCTTTAGAGCTGTCTGGCTATATGATAGTATCATTATTTTTGTACCCGAGATATTTGTAATTGATTTCATGTATACATGCTTCTATGGTTAGCAATTCTGCTTGAAAGGTTGTTGTGGGAGAGACAAGAGCCATGTGATGCAAAATAGTTAGTGGTACTACCCGTTCCCATACTATTTCATTGATATGTATATATACGACAGAAGAGCACCAGGTTTTTTTTCTTTTATCTTTCCATTGTGGTCCCTTTTTGATTATTGTGTTGAATGGTTTTTCAACGTCTAATATTTACGTGACGTGTCAAAGATAGTTTTAGTCATTTTTTCTCAAATTTTGGTATGGCCAGCATTTGTTCAATGCTTTCTTTACTACATATGAGTAAGGGTGGTGCAGCATGAGAATACATTCCATTATGGTTGTCGGTGTTGTTTTAAAAACATCAGTGATGCTAAAGGCTTGGTATTTTTTGGAAATTTTGTAATAATTCCTTTGCCTTTCTTTCTACCATATATAACTTGCATATATGATAATGATTCTCTTGTAATCTTATAAGGTCATCTTTGTATTTAGACCCCCCCCCCAAGTTCTCAATAATGTCTAGTTAGTGTAGTTAGACATGAGGAATCAAAGAATGGGTCTTTTCTTGTACTGTAGTAACTAATTTCTGAGATGATAAGCTGGAGTCATTAAGTTATCAAGTGGGGGGAATAAGAAATGAAACATGAAAAAACTGTTGTGTGCACTTAATTAAAAAAGGCCTAACGGTTCATATATCATTCATTATGTCCCTTAAATCGAATCATGTTACAAGTAACTTTATGTTAGTGTTGATTGAAGTGCTTGAAAGATGCTTGATGATGAGATTAGTTATGAAAGTGTGCAAAAATTACTTTCATTACCAGAACAGACAATGATAGGGTACTAAAAAGTGAAAGAATTCCATAATTACCAGTGTACATATATTCTATTACAGAGATAATTGAGAAAAGTTGATTTTTTAATGTTTTGTTTTCACATGTAACAAATTTATCCATTTGTATTTAGATGCACAAAGCTAAACATATATATGTACAAATTAACAATTTCAGGCATTGACTTACATGGATGGGTGGTTGGAAGAGATAATGTACGTTTTTCTGTTAACCCTGGGTGACATTGAGAGGCCTTTTCTCATCATTACTGGGGATGCAGGTACTGACTGGACCCTATGAATGAATTTTAAAAAGCTGTACACGGCTCAATAATTTTAACAGGTTTGATTTTTTCCCCCTAATTATTTAATTGGAATTTTAATCAAATCAACTTTTCTCCGCTTGAACAGTTAGAAAGGAAAACACCTCTAGTGTGCTTGAAGACAAACGGTTACTGTGGTTCAACTGACATACAGATTTTCAAGTTTGTTAAAATGATTACCTGTAATGCATGCACTTGAACACTAAAATTAATGTTTATTTATTTCGGCTGGAGATCCAATTGATTATTAGAATCACAAACATACATTAATCATATATTCACTAAGCAGGTATGTGGCAGTCCAATATTGAAGAATTAATTAAGTAAAATTGTTTTAATGACTTATTTTATCCGAGAAATGAGACTGGCACAACCAATGACTGTAATCACCATTCTTATAACTTATGTTATTTTGGATATCACAAGGAACCAGAAGGGCACATTTAAGAAATGAAAATACTAGTTATTTGTATATAAATGAAAAGGAAAAAGGAGAAAAACTACTAGTACCATAGTACTATACAAGTAGCTACAATTAAAATACATAAAAATGCTTTTGGTTTCTTATTTATATTTCATGTACCTACATATAAATCATTTCTTAAACTGTTTATGACTATAAGATTAGAAGATGAAAGAAAGTTGACAAAATGTATGACTCAGTTCATGAGACGACTTTTGGTCAGAAAAAATTATGTAATGATGAAAATTTGTGAACAATTTTTCTGTGCAATATGTGCACAAATTATTAAACAAATAAATTCAATTTTTTTACTAATTCAGTGGGGGATCAATATTTAAACAGAACCATGCAGTGAAAACATACATACTTGATAGTAGTAAGTGACCTTGTTAGAGGTGGTGGAGCCATTGTGACTTGTGGTCGGTGCTCGGGGCTTGTCGCAGCTGAGTGCGACTGGTTGTTAATTCTACCGGTGTTTTCGTTGTCAGGTAGAAACAGAAGGTCCTGAGGGGCCAGTTGTTTCCGCGATCTATATTTAGGATGATTTGGTTTGTACAGGTTGGTTGAACTACCGCTATAACAATGAATATGTTAATTTAAAAGCATTGATGGAAAAAATTAATTTTTAAGTTTTACTTTTCAGATGGAGATATAGAACGTGACGATTTGCTACTATCAGGACTTGTGTGTCCTGATGATCTTCTTACTCTGTCTTTGCTGTTTAACAGGTGGTGAAGCAATTGCTCTTGCATTTCGCTATCTTTTTTCAACTATGTATACAGAAAAATAAATTATAACAATTGCAAAACTGGTAAATAATAATTCAGTTACTTGTTCATTTTCAGCTTGAAGTTCTCTTAATGAGACATCCTTCTGAACAGCAAGGCAACTGTGGTGTAAAGCCATATTGTATAATTTGTCTAATATATAAGCAGCTTCAGATATATCACTCAGTGACTGAACCAAAACCCCACTTTCAAACACAATCTGTGGATTTTCATTTTCAAGTTATTTTTGTTGAATCGACTATTAATCAGCATTGAAATTATAAAAATGACCTTATTTTCTTCGACTTGCAGTATTTCATTTTGTAAATCAGCAATTGAAGCTTGGACATGATCGAGATTCGCTCTGAGTGAATCAACTTCCTCTTTAATATATGATGAATTTTTGAACCTCGGATCGGACAGGAGAGCGGCTTTGTTATTCAGCTCTTCTTGAATTTCAACCCTCGACTCCATTTTTCTTAAAATAAACAATCAAAATAAATGATAAATCTTTTGACAAAAACCTTAAAACTCACTTTTCCATTTCTTTTTCCAAAGCCATAAGAGATTGCCTATTCATCGAACTTTCAGCGATGCTTTTTTCTATAGAAATCCATCGGTTCTTTGCCTGTTTAGGTGAAGCACCTTTTGGTAACCCTGCTAAGACAATTATACAACAAATTAAATACAGTAAATTAGAAAAAACTTTTAAATATTTATCTTTTACCTTTATTTTTCAATCCGAATCTCATTCTTGAATGTGAATTTGCAACTCTTCTCAATGCAGAAACTTCTTCTTGTTTTCTTTTCAGAACTATCGCTTTAGCGCGTTTTTCCGCTTCAAGATTTTTAATAAGATTGGCATCAAGCCTCGTCTGTTTCTTGAGTTGGGCGATTTCCCTCATTCTTCCTGTCTCCGCATCTTTATGCTTAAGAGCTTCTTCTTTCATGCTATTCATCAACTTCACTTTGATCTTTTTCATTTCTGCTATTTCATTTTTAAGAGTACGAACTTGAGATTCGTACTGGCTTTGGTTCCTGAGGAGTTTTGCATGCTCCCGTTTTGCAGACTGTAGCGATTTAACTTCCCGTTGCATGTCGGACAACTTGCGTTCATATTCCTCTTTAACTTTTTTAACTTTCTCAGATGGCTTTTCTTCTTTCGCTACAATAAACAACACATTAAGATTTAATCAAAATTTCTGAATAATTTATGTTTAAATTACCGTAAGTAGAGAGAACAGCATCACGCTCTTGCTGAGTTGCAATTATTTTAGCTTGAAGTTGGTTCAATTTATCTTCATAATGCTGTTTCATGTTGTTCAGCCTAGACTGTGTTTTCTCGAGCTCTTCGATCAATCTCTGTTTAACAGACATTTCTGATGTCAAACTTGCATATTTTGCTGAATATTCACTGCTTTTATTAAATTCCTCATTTTCCGAATCTGATGATGAATCTGAAAAAAAATACATTTAATAAGAAATCAGTGTTGGTTGAAGTAAATTGAATTTTTTAAACATGCCTGAATCAGATTCTGATTGATCTGAAAGGTCCTTCTTTTTCTCATTCAGATATTCCATATCTTTTATAACATCTTTCTTGGCAAGTTCTAAAATATCTTCAAGGGCTTCATCTGCTTGTGAAATGCTCATTCTTGAGTGCAAGAAAAGATTCTTGTTTCTTGAAGCTGCTTTTCTCAACTGGGAACATGTACTTTCAGATTCCACTAATTTTGCTTGTAACGATTCGATTTCACTGAGGTAGCCCTTGATCATTTGACTCATATCATCATTCTTATTATCTCCATCTAAATGACAATGAATGAATGAAAAAATATTTTATTCAATAAACAAATAATCTTTTACAACATAACTAATAATATAAGAAAAGCACATTGCAGCAATGGTTCACAACTGTCTGCCAGAGAACGAAAATAAGGTTTAATAATTATTGATTTATATACGCTCAAATCTGTACATACAATAACACGTGAACAGAGTTGAGCTTATTTTAATTAAATTTTATTATCAAAACCATGTAATAAATTGTCAGTTAAATTCATTCTATCAATAATGGTATATATATTTTCTGCCAAACCAATTAATTATTTTTTTTAATAAAAACTCATGAATTTTTTTTGATCTCATGAATTTAGTTTATAGTAAAAAAAGTATGTTGTAATTAATATAATGGCAATAACACATATAGTTTGAAATAACAATATGAATGCCTGGTGCTTTTGCCTTCATCATTACTCGAAACTGCTCGACAAAAATCTGGACAGCAAGGATTTGGTTGCATTGCATCAGGTGGTGTAGAGTAGAGTAGCGTTGCGTGGCATTGGGCAGATATGCACGGGGGTAATACAATCTTATGGAAAATTGGACATTGGATTTGCTGTAGCTTTACTGTAGTATTTCCATAACGAATACCTTATACAAGGCATTCAAATCTAAAGGACTTACATTATACAGAATAAATTATTATTAATATTACACTGGCTTTTTTTAAATTTATTTATTTTATTTTATTTATTTATTTTTTTTTTTTTTTTTTAAACGAGGGTATTTCAACTGCAAGATTATATGAACACTCGAGGTGTCGGGTGTTTTTGATAAAAAGCCCATTTGTAATTAATGTTGGGTGCGAATCCAGGGCAGATGGATTTGAACCTGGGACCTTTACCTTACAGTGATGAGCGCCATGTGAACGCCTTAACAGTTGTGGCCACCAACGCCCACTATTTTGCTTTATTAAATTACTATACTATTCCATAATTTTAATATTGTTTTTCAACTACTTACCAGCATTAGAAGCCGAGACTTGTTGGTTAGCCATAAGATTCACATTTTTAGCTTTCAATGAATCAATTGTATCTTGCATTGCTTTAACCCTGGTTCTTAAATGATCCACCTCATTTTGCAACATTGTATTTTCATGAAACATATCGTTGACGGATTCAACCCCATCTTCTGTTATCATACGTTTGCCCTTTAAAAAAATAATAATAATAATAATAATTAAACTTTTTTTTTACTGAGAATGTGTGTGGTACCTGTTTATACTCCATAAGTTCCAGCTCTAACTCTTGGATCTGTTTTTTCAGAAGTGAAATAGTTCTTGATGACTTATCTTGATTAATTACAACCTTATTCTGTATGTTTCTGGCTCTGTTTGCATAAATTAATGTATTCAGGGTTTCCATGAAATCTCTGTCGCTAGGGGATATACACGCAATCATCAGAGTTCTTGAATTTCCTAAAGGTGTGAATCTCATTTTACAACACGTTCATAACAATAAGATGTGACAATAAATAACCTCCGAGAGAATCCTGCAGTAGCCTGGTTAATTTGGAATCTCTGTAGGGAACGTGTAAAGCTCGTTTTGAAGGATCTCCCAACGCAGATATTACATTTCCTAATGCTAAAAGCCCACAGTTGATTGAAATCCCTTCCTTAGCTCTATCGCCTGTGGCACCTGTCCGCTTTAATCTTTCCGATCCGGCTAAATCGACAAAATGAAATTTGGCTGTAAGTGTTTCAAACTCCTCCGTTCCTTCCTCAAATCCATTTTCGCTCTGAATAAAAGTTTTAATTAATTAATTTTTCTTAACTTAAAAAATAAAAACTTACTTCCATGTTTACAAGTCGTTGTTGTTTTATGTGAAGGGAAAAGATAGCATGGCTTCTCGAAGACTGCGTATTCATTTGTGTAGCGGCTGTCGTTCTTGAAAGTGCTCCCTGTCTAAGCCACTGAAGCGTATCTTCAGCACTTGTAACCCTTTGACTAGTCACACCGGTTAAATAAATACAATGATTAGTATCTTCATGTATTCGAATCCCTGACTTCCCCTTTTAAAAAAAAATTTAAAAATAATAACAAGATTTAATTCATGGGAATAAATAATTGTACGATAAAACAACATACACGATTTGAAGAATAATCTCTTGAAGTATCAAACAGATCAATAATTTCTTCATTGTACAACTCTAAGAATTGGCATGTTACTTTGAACTGAGTCTGTTTTTCTGCTTCTGTTGCTGCTGAAATACCATCGAACAACTGTTTTATTGCCCTCGGTATAATTCCAATCTGTTCTGATGTCACATCTATGTCAAATCCAGTTCCCATTGTATAAGTTTTTCCACTGCCGGTCTAGAAAATAAACATGTTGTTCCATAATCATTTTTATTCATTGTTACAAGTAGTTTACCTGGCCATATGCAAGAATTGTTGCATTGTAACCTTGCAACGATCCTTCAATGAGCGATTTTGCGCAGACATCATATATAGAAGCCTGGTTTGTTTGTGTGTCAAAGACATAATCGAATGTAAACGATCTGTCAGTTCCAAGTGTTACTTGCGGTTCATTTGGAGTCACATTCGTACAAACTCTACACATATCAATCACCTCCCTCGGTAATTGAGGTCGGATTCTGAAATAAAGATACAATTTTATTAGAAAAAGTAGATCGATCCTTAAAAAAAATATATAATTGTTAAATTCTAAACATTAATATATTATTCTTACAAAACATTGTAAAAAACATAAATTTAAGATTTTATGAGAAAATAAGTAATGTATTGGTAATAAATTTGATGTGTTGTGGGCTGTTACGTTCTACTTAATTATCGTACAGTCAAGGACAGTTAAGAGTGAAGACCAACCCAAGAAAGGGATCAACATCAAAGTATGTGACTCATACACAATAAAAACAATTCCAAGAACTAGGTTGGGGGAAGGATCGTCCTCATCGGAGTGAGATAGACCACACACAATTCACACCCAGACACCAACTTCCAGATCAAAATGTGCAAGAATGCCCAATGCGTCCTAAATGTAACATGTTATATCATGGTTTCATACAGAGCACAGAAGGCATGTCATTTGATTTTAAAAAATTTAGAAACGAGTGCGAGTTTCTGGGTCCCATGTTTAAAATTTATACAAGAATAAACAAGAAAATGAGGAATATAGGCGGTTAGGTGGTTGAAATGAGCTAGTTTTCGACCTCCCAGATGCCTATCTTTGGGTGGCAGGACATAAAAGACTTATTTCCAACACAAGGCTGCCAACACTGGTGTAAATAAAAAATGAAAAGTGTTATTTCAATGAACACTATTGAAAAATTGAATACTAGCTTTTAAATAAAGCTGTTTGTTTGTTTCTGATATTTTTTCATCTGTAGGGCTTCTCGTCATCTTCACTTCTGGGTGTATAGATATGATCTGAAACGACTAAACCACAGATTTATCACCCTATGAGAAAATTTCACAAAAATGTTGGATTTCATTGCTGTAATTCAAATTTATTGATCTGATGTGTATTGCTATATTGAATAAACTGTTTTTAACAGAATATAATCCCTGCTGTGACAATCAAATAAGTCCAAAAAATTATTATTAAGACTGAAATTCACTCAAAAAAAGACCCTGGATTCGCCTAATTTCTGGTTGAATTCACTAGCGATCTACCAGAAAACGAGGATAATACCATGGCAATAATGGCGATTGGAGAGAGAGAGAGAGCAATGCTCCATCAACTTGTTTATTAAACACCATTTTACAAATTTATAAATGGAGGAAAAATGGAGAATAAAGTTGAATAAAGAAAGATCGGTACATGTGGACTTCATCAACCATAAAATTCAATACATATCAAAAAAAAAAAAAGAAAAAAAAAAGAGAGAGAAGAGCTTTCCATCGAATTCTGGAAAATGTACTTCTTAATGGACAGAAACTCTCCTTTGCCCATCGAAAGTAAGTTTTTACTTGATCACCAGGTCCTCAAGCATATGAGGATATATGCCATCCAGCTCTGGCACAGGTCAACAAGATCAACCACCAAATCACACAAAGATTCCAGAATATAATAATGAGAAGCACCCTGGTTCTTCAGAAATAAAGACCTCCACTGTAAAATAGAAATAGATGATGAAACTATATATAAAATTGTTTTGCCCACCATCAAAGGATTTGAAGAAACAACATACAAACATTGAATGTGGTGAAACTGTGTTTTAAGAAAGTTAAAAACTATATTATGTATATAAGTTATGTATACAATGTATAGTGGTGTAATATTGTCTCTCCACCACTAACGATTGAAGGAAAAAATAAAACAAAAACTGAACATATTTTTCATAGAAACTTTTTAAAATGTTAATAGGCCTTCACGTAAATGAAATAGGCAATAAATACAGTATTTATCTACAAATATGTGAGGGATTTATTATTATTTTTTGTGTGCATTTTGTTTCCACACAAAAACTCATATCCTTTGTAAATATTCAATCACAGGATAAAAAATATACTCATACAGACCATGTATCATATGTCATAACCATAGGCCAAAGGTCTAAATGTTTTTTAATTACACATAAATAATCATGAAAATTTCAAAAATTTTCATCTCCTTGATATAAAAATCTTATGGCAATGTCCCCAGACAAATGCAAAAAATGATGTTTTTATAATCATGAAGCAGCCATCTGATTCACTGATTCGACCTTCAGCAGTGTGTTATTGGCAAGATACCTAACTTAGGTATCCTTGCCTGACCAAATGGTGTTTGGCCTACTTTAAAAATACGTTTTTTTAGCCTTTTTTCTATAATAATAACTAATATTTCTTTATAGTTATAGATTGTTGAGAATAAATAAGAAAACACTTTGATTTGATGCCACTTAGATTTATCTATAATATTGAAATATAAATTTATTTGAACTATTGTGTGTTGTGTGATTAAATTATCCTGGAAATGCATATGCTTAACTTTTTCAAATTTACCTGACAGCCTACAGGCATAATTTCATTTACCAAAGTGATACATTTGAAAAAAAGCAGACAATCAATTTATCGTAATAAGTTTTAATTAATATGAAAATAATAAAAGTAGTAAATAAAACCCAACATTAAATATTACAAACTAAATTATCACCTTTTCATGGGCAACAAGTTAGCAACAAGCATAATCGATCCAATGAGTTATCACGCTCGGTTAAGCGGCTTATTTTTGTACTCTTATAAAAGAAAGATTAATAGCTTGCATCAATAAAGTACTCAAAATGAATTGATAAATGACAATGAATTCATCAAACAACAATGATATTTATGATTGTAAATATTGATGCTGGACGCTGATGATGGCATAACGCCAAATTTTAAGTGAATGCAGGTGGTCAGTGATTAACAGCTATTTAAATGCTAATGTTCCAATGTCAACTTTATATGAAACTTTACTCCTTTGAAATTTATGGTCAAGTTTAGAATGTTACAACTGCATCAGTACCAACACTGCTTATATTAAAAAAAAAAATTTTTTGATTGGATCAAATAAGAGGCTGACTTAACTATAATTTGAATCTAAGATCAGGAAAAATGTGAGCAACTGAAATTATTAAAAAACGCCAAGTATCATGACAAAAATAAGGGATAAATGCAATATTAGCAATGAAATAAGGAAGAGTTGGAAAGTATGATCAATGGACAAAAGAAAATAAAAAGTGAACAGTCACAAAAAAGTAATATATAAAAATAAAAGTAATAAATTTATATCAAATCATATAAAAAATAATTAAATTCACTAGTTTTTGTGGTCCGCTTGACCAATTAATATCTTTCAATTAATTAAGGTTTTTAGTTGAGATAAAAAAGTCTGTCACGAGCAGGATTCTAACCCACGATCTTCGGCTAGATACGCCGCTGCTCTACCACTTGAGCTATCGTGACCTCGATCCACTTGGACACTAACTTCCCAACTCAACCCCACCTTTTATCTCAACTTAATTAATTGAAAGATAAAAAATAATGTCGTTTTTTAGAAGAAACTGTAATGAAAAATTTATAATTTTTAGAAAGGTAAGCCTTATAATAAAATACTTTAAAATACTAATATCCTTTGTTATATTTGTATTTTAAAAATACAGATGCTGATTGATGATGGGTATAAATTCCCAAAATGACCAAATAAATGTTTAAATAAGTAATCATAAACCCCCCCCCCCAAAAAAAAGTAATGAATTTACTTTATTAAAAAAAATCACATGGTATCATTTTCAAATTTCCATGTTATTTTTAAAAAACATACAAAAGTAATAAACTTTGCAAGTTGGGGAAATCAACTGCTAAATTAAATATTACAATGATTATGAAAACTGCTTTAATCTTGATTAAGTGTTAAACACTTTAATCATTCTATTATCAAACCAGGGCTAATAATCTTAAAATTATGTATATCATTTTTTTTTCAAATGATTTCTTTTCAAATTCAGCAAAGAAATTAAGTATAAATTAAACAACGTTCAGGAAGCTTTTGAAGAACTAATTAACAAACTTATTAAAAATGTTGACTTGCTTTTACAAATTTTTTTTCAACCATAGAAGTTATCTATACATTTTTTGTCTCTCAGTGTGTGTGTGTGTTTGTGTGTCTATATNTGTCTGTATATATATATATATATGTGTGTGTGTGTGTGTGTGTGTGTGTGTGTGTGTGTGTGTGTGTGTGTTTTTGGACAAATGCAAACTCAAGGGAGAAAACTAAGTCTGAATCAAGTATCATTTAGTAAAATTTTACATAATTTATCCAACCAAAATCTAAAGTAAACATTCTTTGAGAGGATTGAACTGTTTAACGAAATTCATGAACACTTGTTAAAAACATTAACTTTCTATTATCAAGCCCAATATTTCGTTATGTTTGTAGTAACAAACAATTACTAGTATTTCAGTCCAAAATTAACCATTTAAGAAGAATTTAAAGGGTTACAATCAAAGTCATTGTATAGTACCATTGAATACATATGTAAATAAGTAAGATTTCCTCAGCGAATGCTGATTTTTTAGTCTAAATTCTTTGAGAAGATTGAAAAACTTCATGAACACTTGTTAAAAACCTTTAATTTTCTACCAACAAGCCCACGATTTTGTAATGTTTGTTTTCATAATGTTTTTACGAATAAATACACACTTCAGAAAAGAAACTACGTCTAACTTAAATGTATAAAAAGATTTAGAAGTGTAGCCAATCAAAATCATGATCAATTTTGATCTGTATGTGTATGTAGATGAGTTAATATTGTTAAATAACTAGCAAAATTTCAGTCTAAATTATCCATTGAAAAGATTTAGAAGGGTTACTCAATCAAAATCATGATCAATTGTATATGTATATATCTAAGCCTTTTTCTTTTTTTAATTTAATATCTAAGCTAATCTAATTATATCTAAGCTGATTTTTTTTTAATTTAAATGCTAATATTTCAATCTAACTTAGCCATTTAATTATATTTATAAGGGTTACTCAAACAAAATCATGAACAGTTGTATGTGTATATATCTAAGCCTTTTTCTTTTTTTTTGGGGGGGGGAAGAAGTGCTAATTTTTAACACTACATTAACCAATTAAGAAGATTTAGAAGGGTTACTTAAGTATATGGATATATCTAACCTAAGTATTTTTTTTTTAACAAATGCTAATTTTTCAGTCTAAATTAACTATTTAATATTTGGAAGTGTTACTCAAACAAAATCATGATCAGTTGTGTATGTATATATCTAAGTTAAGGTTTTTTTAGTAAATGCTAATTTTTCAGTCTAAATTAACTATTTAATAATTGGAAGGGTTGCTCAGTCAAAATCATGATCAGTTGTATACGTATATATCTAAGTTAAGTATTTTTTGTAACAAATGCTAATTTTTCAATCTAAATTAAACATTTTTGAGAGGGTTTCATAACACTAGTTAAAAAAATGTTTTTTATTAATCCCTTGATCTTGTAAACACAGAAGTACGTATATCTTCAGCTGATCCTAGATACATTATAGAAACGAAGATAGGACAAGAAATATAGTTGTCTTGATTGTGTAAGATTTGTGTTTAAATGATATCAAGTAAATTTTTATAGTATTAACATTGAGATAACGTCTTGAATCAGCTTTCCAGTTACTTATTTAATGTCAAACTTGTAAGACGAAACTTTTTACTACAAATTCAAACAATTTTTTAAAAATAATATATAATTATAAAACATATTAATACCTGAGTGCGACCCTGACGGAGCTTTCATCGTCGGTCATATTGTCGGCATAAAAGTGTAAATTGTATTGTTAAGAAATTGACATAAAAAAGGCAGAGAGATCGTTTCAATCATAACACAATTCATGTGACGGACTGTTTTTGTGTTATTTTTCCGTGTATCATCAGAACTTTTGGAGTTTACGAGACACTAGGCCGGAAGAGGGGCTAAAACGAGAAGTTGAAAAAATCGAGAAAACTCCGAAATTAGCACCTTTCTCGGAAATAGCATAAGGTTTGGCTTTGACAAGCGGACTGTCCGTACTCCGTCATCAAGGGCAAACACATCTCCCTCGGCCTTTCATTCAGACTGAAAGTGAAAAGTGGGAAGATAACTCCTTAGGTGTAATTTCTTTTTTACGTTCCGATTGTCAATAAATCGATCTCTCAACCTTCTCACTCACACAAACGACGATTAATTATTTGTCGCTCTGACCTCAATAGCTTTCAATTATAGTTTTATAGTGGAGTTTCACTTATACCTAAATTTGCATTTGAACTTTCCAACTAGATGAATTTAGCTCCAAGCCACGCTGTTGAATTGGGTCGTACGACAGTTTCGATACATCGATTTTGAATTGTTTTGTTTGCTTTTTTAAATCTGGGGTTTATTTAAATTAATCATACGTTAGTGAGGAATATCCTTATTATATAATGTTTGTCGTTTCATTTTCAACCTTCTGAGACACGATTGTAAGAAAAATAATAAATAAGAATCAAACAGTCGACAAAAAACGTTCTACAACAGTTTGTGTGTAGAACTTCCTTTCCAACAGTGTATCAAACTTTCGTCAAATGCCCAACAATTCACAATTTTACAAAGTTTGTAGCGAGTTAACTGAATCACTGGTTGGAAAGTATAGTTCTACTCACAAAAGATGATTGATTATTTATGGCTCTGACCGTCTAGTTTTCAGTTATAGTCTTCTTGTTCATTTTATCTTATAGCTTATATTTGCATACGAATCTTCCAAGTACACAAATTTAGTACCAAACTTCTGCTGTTGAATTGAAACGTACGATAGTTTTGATATAGCTATTGTGAATTTTTATTTAAATCTGAGCATTATCTAAATTAATGTTACATTAGAATAGAATGTTGTTCTTATGTAATGTTTGTAGTTTCATTTTCTGCCTTAAGATACGATTATAAAAAATAAAAATTATCAATTGATTATCCAACGGCCGACTAAAACAAGGACATTAAAAAAAAAATATCAAACTGTTCACAAGAGTTCTACAGCCAGTAGAATAGCATCACAGCTTCACCATTTTACAAAGTTTCTAGGGAGTTAAATGAATCACTGTCATCGTCCTATCAAAAACGTCTTTGGGTCAAAAGCAAAATTTATTTTTTACGATCAACGTCCTGATAGATCTTAGTCAATTTAGCCCAATTTAAAATATCCGTTAAAAGTATATAGAATTTCCTTATCTTGGCGTAATAAAAATATTTAAATGATTATTTTATAAATAATTTTGCGAGGTTTAACAAGTGAATTTCAACCTGCTGTAATCTGACGAAACATACGTTATTTTCTTCTTTTCTTTTTTTTTTATTGAATTATAACTTTTTTAAATCGTATTTATTAGAGGATTTAAAAAAGCGCAATGTATTTATTAAAATGACGACTTTCCCCCCCAACTTTATTTAGTGTGAGTATTAAAGTAAGCTTTTTAGAAACACTTTTAATTATTGTTCACGTGAAAGACCGTGACATTTTCTTCGCATGGAAGAAGGTTCGCGTTGTTAATTTTCACTTTTCTATGGAGAAAGTTCTTGCCAGTTCATGTAAAAATATTTTTAAAAAAGCACTAAACATTTTCTTAATTATGCACACAATCATTCGATTTATCCTGTTTTACATGGTATAATGAATAAATTTATAATCATGGCGGCGGTCATTGTAAAGTTAAGACAAAATGAATATAAGTGATGATGCAATAATTATGAACTGAAAGATAACGAAAGAAGTTCGTGAAAATTACACCAGTTTTATACATTAAAAGACCAAGAAGTTTAACTGTTTATTAAAATTTTACAATGGAAATTATGAAAAAGTTAGTTTAAAGTTACAAAACTAAATTCATAATACAGACAAATAGCGAGCTGAGAAAGACATTTACACACACTAATTAAAAAACTAAAAACTTGTTATGAAATTTCTACCTATTTTTAGGAATATTCATAATCCAAAAATCCTTTGATTTTTTGCATAGTTCAATTGTTCTTTTTTTTACACCTTTTTGAGGGTGGTTAAAGAAATTTTCAATCTACGACGTTTTGACATTCTGTGCCTGAGTACTGTTTATTTCCTGAGTTTTATAAATGAAACTGCTTTAAGACAAAATTTAAACGTGCCAACATAGCTGTCGGTTTGTTGAATTTTGTTTATTATCTTCTTGGTAATGAGCTTTTATGTTTTTATTATTTTCTTACGAACGAAATTATTATGATTGTATGTTCCCACACTCTCATTTTCATCAATAGTACCCTGTTATAACTTATTAGTTATTATTTAACAGTTATTACCAAAAGAAATTTAAATAAATCCAATTACTTCAAATAATCAAGACAACTGATTAATAGAAATGATGAATGATGGAGGGAGTGCGGTGTTCAATCCTCTTTTAAAAAAGATAGTTCCTGCTCACAGTAAGTTGTTTTCCAACGATCCGGATGGATTTCGAGCCCTTAGCTCATCATCAGGCTGAAGGATTTCTACAACCACGTCTCTTGACATGAATTGCAAAAGTACTCGAAATCTTGTTGAAAGGAACTATCTTTTTTAAAAAAGGATTCAACTGATTAATTGTAGAAATATCAAGGACAAAGGATAGTTGGAAAATCTCAGAATAGAGATTTGAAATAGAATTATCCTAAATGGAGAATAAGCCATATACTATAAGCCAGGACTGTAAGAAGAAGAAAATAATTTTCTAGCAGAAGAGAAAACGTTTTACTTCAAATAGCATACAGACGACACCCTGCAGAAAAAAAAATCGATAAATTTGCAAAATGCAAACAAAGGATGGTGAAGGGAGTAAGTCGAGGCAAAATAAGTCAAAAATGCATTACTTTTTAAAGCAGAAAAAAGCAGAGGCAGTGTAAATATCATTTTTGATATCTATGTATACAAATAATATAATTTTTTTGGGTATGTGTATGTATATATATTTCAATTTTAAAAGGAAAAATGAGGAAATTGAATACATCGAGGATCGTTATGAGCAGTGGAAAAAGTACAAACGTTTGACACCAACTGATTACAAAGTTGTGAAAGTATTTATTGACAGATCGACAAACACTTACAGGTTTTATTATTTTTTGTAAAACCATAAAGAATTTTGTTGTAATTGTAATTTAAATAGGACAGATTCGCAGCAAGGTGATGATCAGAAAACCAAGGATGATGATTTGAAGCCTCTCAAGAAAAAATTATCAAGGTGATAAATGTTCTTTCTTAATGCTAATATCACTATTTTTTATAAACTTTTATTAATTTAAAACTTCATTTTTAGTCAAAATAAAAAAAGGGTAATAGCCAAAAAGACTCCAAGGTATGACCTTACAGATTTAATTGTTAAAATCCATAATTATTCTAATTTTAACTACATTTTACCTACATATATTTATTTATTTATTTTAAAAATTTCTTTATTCTAGATCATTATTTCAGAAAAAAAAGATAACAAAGCCGAAAAAATCAGAAGCTGCAAGACCAAGTTAGTGTAGGAATAGGCTGTAAAATTATTATTTAATTTATATTTATTTAACTTGTTAAAGCCACGTGGGTCTCTGTTGATTTGTATAGAAATATTGATCATGAAAGGCTAGTTAAAGCTGGGATAAGGGGTTTATTTGTTTTCATACCATTCTTAATCATTGTTAATATTGGTAGGTCTTCTTAAGCTTCATGTTATGAACTGTTTTGCAACTTCTAAACATGCCAAATAAATATTTCAGTGACATTCGGAATCATTGACAGTGCATACGATTATTACGCCAGTGTTTTATCAAATGTTTTTACATCCACAAAATTCAATTCGACGCTTGGCATACAGAAAACATTCACAGATATTGTGACTGTTCCGCAAATCTGGGAGGTATCATAACATATGTTAACATATATTAACAACACTGAAAAACATATATGCTTAAAAAGAATTTCAATTACAGTACATAAGAGGCGTTTTTATTAAAATTATTTATGAAAATGATTATAATGAGACGAGATCTTTACAGTTTGTAAGAAATCAACCATTTATCCTTCTTTATAATAATATACTCGTTGGTGTTCCAAGGATAAGACAGGTAACTTTTTAAAAAATTCTTTATTTTTATGCTCGTAAATTTTACATAAATGTTTATGTGTATTTGCCTAATATCAAAAAGATATTAATATAGTTAAAATGTATTGTTATTTCTGTTTTTTTTATTATCTTCAATGATTGGCTTGAGTGCAATTTTGTCAATTGTGTTCTTTTCAACACATGTGACAGGTAAAACTTGCACTTAGAAGACCAGGATGGTCAAGAATGAAACTGCAATCCTACCTCTCAAAGTTTCACAATAGTTTTTTAAAATTGTAAAATTAATGATTGTTAGTATAAAGTAAAAATTGATTTCTATTTCAGGTCAGAGTTGAAAATAATTCATGCACTATTGATAAAACATTTTCTGAAATTTTTGCTTCTTGCTATGGGTATTTAAATTCACAAAATGAAGATAGAAAAACCTTCGGCAATGGAACGGCAAAGTAAATAAAGTTTTTATTTATTTGATTTAGTTATATATATATATAAACTGTTACAGTTGGAATTACCATGTATCGAAGGACAGCCTAATGTATGAAGGACTCGTTTCAAATTACGGCCCTGGCGGATTTTCCATTCTATTCGATAAAGATCAATACATAACTACGCAAATTATAGAAGAATTGGAATACCATAAATGGATACAGTTGGGGACAAGAGCTGTATTTATTGATTTCACAGCCTACACGCCAAACACAAATTTGTTTTGTGTAGTCAAGTAATCAACGAATAATTCAATTTTTATCTAAACGATTTAATTATTCTTTTTTTTTCTTTTAGATTAGTTTTAGAAATGCCACCAACTGGAGGTGTTTTAACTTCTTCCCACTTCTACACGATGAAGTTTATAAGGTGAACATTTAATAATTTTTTTTCCTATAAAATTAATTTATTTTGTTTCAGATATGTTACAACATGGGACTACTTTATACTAGGCTGTGAACTTATATTTATTTGTTTTGTTGTTTATTACATCACAGAGGAAATAGAAAAAATGAAAATTTTCAAATCGGCTTATTTTAATAGCTTTTGGAACTGTTTGGACTTGCTTATTATCATTGTAATGAATTAACATGGATTTAACTCTTTTTTTAAATTTTTATTGAAAGTTTTATTTTTGCATTGAAGGTCTCGATTATCGCTATAATCAAAGGTATTATTAGATATGAAGAAGTGAAAGAAAAAATGGGGGAAAAAGTGGACACTATCAACCAATTCACTCATGCTTCTTTTGATGATTTGGTTAAAATTCAAATGTTCTTTAACACATTGGTGGCTATTATATGTTTCCTGGCATGGCTGAAATTTCTGAAATATTTGTCTCTGATCCATTCAGTTGATCTGGTTTTAACAATTTTTACAAAAGTACTTTTTTTTTTAATTATAACTTTTCGTACAACTATTACTTATTGAATCAATTTCAGGTTTGGAGGGAAATTGCAGCTTTATTATTATGCCTTGTTGTGTTGTTGATTGGTTTTGGAATGTTTGGATATCTTCTATTTGGAACTGAAGTATTTAAATTAGTTAACAAACAATTCCAAGTAAAGTAATAATAATATTGTTCAGGTTAAACAATTTGATACAATTAAACATTCAATTATTTCGCTTGTTGGGATATCCATCGGTGGCATTTACTTTTACAAGGATTGTGAAGATGTGAGGCCAAATCTTGCGCCTTTATATTTCATTTTTTATATCCTAATAGTTTATTTATTATTTCTCGTAAGCCAAATTTTTAAATTTATTGATTCCACATGATTAATATTTTAAAAACAATATTTGCAATAAATAGAATTGTTTCATCGCTCTAATTGTCCATGGATTTTACTTGGCACATGAAGATTTTGAGGAACAGAGAGAACGGGTGTATCTCATCGATATATATAATCATTTAAGGTTTTTATTTCTTGTTTAAATTGTCATAATTTGATTGATTTGTTTAATTAAAATTTGAGTTTGCAGGTTTAATTTGTACAGTTTCTTCAAATATTATAGAGAAGCTGAAAAAATACAAAATAGCATGATTGAAACTAGGAACAAAAAAATTTATTACGCTTTTGTAGATATACTAAGAAGAAACGGAATCCACGGGCTAGAACTAGCGTTGATTCTTACAAAATTTAACCTGACGCCGGGTGGGCCTATTTCGTTTGAAACAATGGATAAAATTTACAAAGACCTCCAAACTAAAAAGCAACTTTGTGAGTTTTTGAATATTCCCATCGGAATATCTCATAATTTTTTATTTTAATAAAAAACAACTGATTTATTTTTAAGATTTGGAGGTTGAGGAGCATGATAAAATCAAACAACAAACTGAAAGGTACAGAAAATAATATCTGTGATTAGAAAACAAGTTTCTCTATTTTATGCATTGATTTCAGAATTAACCAGAAAATTGAATTTTTGGATCATACCCTAATCGACATGATGACGAAAGTCGACATTTTGGTTGATAAACTTCTGTATCAAGAGATGAAGAATAAATAGTTTATTTATGAGACTTTTTATTTTTTTAATCAACTTAAATCTTAAATATTTGACTGAATATACCCAATATATGTATTATACATATTGAATCAGCAGAGTAATAATGTATAAACAATTTTTGATACTACACTACTGTGCTTGTGCTTAGCACATGTCTGTAACATTGACTTGCCACAATGTATATTTTGACTTTAATTTGAATTTTAAGAGTAAACCGTTAAAGTAAATGTGTCTTGGTTAATAATTTGACCATTCGTACTTGTACAATAAATTAAGGCCAGCATTTTAGGTTTTAACGAAATTTTAAAAGCTCTAGTTAGGACATATAATAATAAAAGGCTAGATAGAGAATGGCTAATGTATCTAGAGCTCTGTCAATAGGTGGCCCTCAGAAGATCTGACTTGTAGACCATCAGGTAGGTTATTTTCACCCGAACAAAAATAGGTGAGGTTGACACACAGACACTTATTTTAGGGCCAAAGCCTGCATCCAGCATTTAATAATTACAGTTGTTGTTATTCCTTGACTCTATATAGAGAGCATGTAGGCATGTAACCCAATATGAGACTTGTACTTGAGCACAGTGGTATCTGTTCCAATTTTTGGAGCAAAGAGGGCAGTTTTACCGATATGCCACTTTATAGATCTCATCTTGTGTGTTTAACTGAATTTATTTTTTAATGGGAATTTGTAGTTTGAGAGGGCCAATGATGGAATATTAAATACCCCATCGTCCCTCAATTAGATTAGTATAGGTATGTGTAGAAGGTGACAGAGGAATATCACCACCTGACATAGCACAATATCCACCTAACTTCGGTGAGCCAGGAGAGAATCATAGTTGAAAGTTGTCAAATAACTTTAAGATACAGAAAGAAGACGAAGGTGATATAAAAGAGCAACTGTAAAGTTTTATTATTATAATTATAAAAAACTACACATCATCTCATATCACAAAAGAATTAGTATGTAAAATTGAATTCAGTGATTATAATTTCATATTAGCTAAATACAAGATTTAAAAAATCAAAATAACAAAAAAAAAATAGTGCCAAGAAAAGATAACTTATGAAATATTACAAGTAAAAACAAGAATATAGTACAATTTCCTAATATTTAACGAGAATTTGTTTGCTACCGATTAAAAATAAAGTTGGAAATATTAAGTAGCATCTAAGTTCTTAGATCTGTAGAATCATCGTCGGCATTCAGCAAAACGTAAGTTCGTCAGAAGACTGATTCACAACAGCAGCTGAAATAAAACCAAGAAATTATTTATTTTTTAAATAGAGTAATGAGAGCAACATTCTATGCGGAGTGCAGTAAGTTATACATAGATAACAAGATAAAAGAAAAGTGGAAAAACTAAGAAACATTGAGAGAAGCTACCCAATGATAGCATTACTAAATTAGAAATCATCACTTAATCATTCACACTCTCTGCGGGTAGGTTTTGGAGCCACTTTCTTTTTAGACGTCAAGGAGGATTATTGGGAAGAAAGTTGTACATGAGGATTAGAGGTTGGTGTGGAATTTTTTGTAGCTGAATTTTGCAGCTTCAATTAAAAAGGGGACATTTAGATTATTTGGATGGTGGAATTGGAAGCATAGAATGAGGCATTAATAATGGATCTGAAGATTAAGCAAGGTCTGGATTCTATTGATATTGGAAGGTTAGGTAAATGTGGAATAGTTCTATGCGGTATGTCCAAATTGGTTTCAGTATTGAGTTTTATATGAGTGTTTTATTGTCTAGGGAGAGTTTAGACCTGTTGTCTAGTAGTTTTTTAAGTTTTTGGTATCGTGGTTCAGTTTGAGTCTTTTAAGTCAATCCTTTTTAAAAAAGATGGTTCCTACTCACATTAAGAGACTTATCATTTATAATTTCTATCTTTTAAGTCATGTATGAGGACACCAGGTGAGTCATTTGTCTAGATACAGCCCTAGGTAGCAGATGACGTTTTCGGTGGGAAGGGGTGAGGATATAATAGATTGGAGGTAAACAGGTGACGGATATCTTGGCACTATGTTGTGTTAAGTTTGATTCGCCATTTTTTAAACCATTGCTCAATGGAATATAGATTATCTAGAGAGTTTGGTTAGCTAAGACAGGGTTCAATTAGAGGATAAGGGGTATTGGTGGCTGCAACGGTTTAGACGTGATATGGTGCTCATCACTGTAAGGTCTCTAAGTTAATTTTAATATAATTAATTCAAGTCAATACTAATATTTCACATTACTGGATAGAACTTAATAAAACATAAAACACTTTAATGTAAACCCTTGTTTTTGGCCATAGCCCAATCTTCACCTGATTTTATCACGTTTGAGGTAACTGTGCCAAAGGGTAGAGGATGTCATAATGGCCAGGTCTGTAAAGCAAGTGGACAATTGGGTCTTCACAACCTTCTGGAAAATCGTGTGCAATAACTTCAGACACACCACCACGGTCCATGTAGCGCACCCTTACTCCGACATTGAGCGCAGAGCTCAGTGCAATTATATGGATGTGATCGCTCTCTTTGTACATCGGTTCGACTTCCTTAAAGAAACAAAAACGAAACTAAGTCATAAAAATTTTACAATTCACTGTCGTACCTGACGGCAGAAATCGACAACAGTTCGATTCCCTTCAATGAAATTTTGATAAAAATCGGTTTTCTCTTGAAGGTGAGCAGATGCAATAAGGCGTAAATACACAACGACATAATCAGAGTAGCCTTGATCATTAAACATTTTATACAGCTCATTAGCACTTTCTTGACCTTTTCCAACTTTGTTAACCACTTCCATAAACTAAAAAAAATGACATTAGAAACTGAATATGATCAAGCTGCTCTCATTATATATTAATTATACTGACAACATCATGAAAATCTTCTAATGTAAACTTAGGAAAACTAAGAGCTATTAGCTTTTCTTTACTCCGTTTTGCCAGTTCTCTGAAACTAAAGTAATCATTAATAAATTTAAAAGTATTAAATTTTTCAGAAAAAAATATAAGAAAACAGAATTACCTTTCATACTCCTCTTTCTTGTCCAAAAGTTGCTCGAGATAAGCAAATGCAAATGCCCTGAAGAAACAGTTGCCATCCGGCCTGGTCCTTCTGAAAGAATCGTACTTTCCACAAAGGTTTTTAACTTTATTTTGATAGATCTCGTCATTTTTGTATTCGTGGATCAAACATCCTAGATTTTCTTTTGAACCGACCAAAGGTATTTTGTCTGAAATCTAACACGTATAATTTATTAATGAAATGGGAAAAAAAGTCAAATACTTTTTTTTAAATCTGTTTGCCTATATGACCATATCACAACTTGATATTAAAATACCTACAGCTGAATGCATATAGCGAAACATCCTCTTAAAACCGATTAAAAAACTATAAGAGACCGATTTTATGAAAAAATTGTATAATTGCGCCATATTACTGTTTACTTGTTAATGAATTTTTTCATACTTATTGCAAGTCTACCTGACCATTCGTGCTTTTAGACCTCCCCTTTGAATTAGCACGCTACAATAATACCTTGGAGGTCAATCATACTTCCCGAACAAGATGAAATTAAGATAACAAATATGATAACATTTGTAAATAATGGTTGATACTCTTTGGTGTAAACATTTGTAAAAACGAATCCTTTTTTTCTTTACAAACCAAGTATAAAATGAACAAAATGGTAAAAGCACTGCAGGATCAAAATAATGATTTAAATTGACTGAATACATATTTAGTGGCAAATGCTGGAGTAATAAAAAAATTCTAAAACCTACTTTACAATTTGAATTTTAAATTTCTTATTACACAAAAATCTGAAATAAAAACATTTGCAAAAAATAAATAAGTAAGTAAATAAATAAGAAACAAAAAGACAGGTTGTAGGTTTTTGATCCAAAACCATAGAATGAATCTTGTTTAGCATTTCTTATTATTTAGGAGCTTGTTAGAAAGTGTTCACAGTACACTAATTACTTATGATGTATTCATTGCATTTTTAAAATTTACTATTGCCAAAACATAGCTTTGTAAGTAGCGAGAGTTGATAATACGTTCTAAACAAGTGACTAAATAACAAGATCATATGACTGTCCAAATATAGGAAAAGGAGAAATTTAGTTTATTTAAAATTCACTAATTTCGTGGTCCGCTTGACCAATTAATACTTTACAATTAATTAAGGTTTTTTTTGTTGAGATGAAAAAAAGTTAATGGCACGAGAGGGATTCGAACCCACGACCTTCGGCTAGATACGCTGCTGCTCTACCACCTGAGCTATCGTGACCTCGTTCCACTCGGACATCAACTCCCCATCTCAACCCCACCTTATGAGTTTTCCCTCCTTTTGCCATTTTTCAAATGTCGTGTAATCGGTTTGGATTCTCGATGACAATTGAAATGGTGACGGAGAGCTTTAGTGAAGTGTACTTCATTTTAATTCATTAAATTCACTAATTTCGCTAGATACCCGCTGCTCTACCACCTGAGCTATCGTGACCTCGATCCACTCGGACACTAACTTCCCATCTCAACCCCACCTTTTATCTCAACTAAAAACAAAGCCATTAACTTTTTTTTATCTCAACAAAAAAACCTTAATTTATTTAAAATAAGGAAGAAGACATTTTGCAAATAAATTGCTTCAAAGGAGACATAAAGCAAAACTAATCAACAAATTAACATAATATAAACTGATAGATATAATTTAAATAATAAACAAACAAAAAAAGTCTGACGTTGGAAGTTAAGAAATGGAATATGTAACAGATTAAAACTCAATAATAATAAAATTAACTAGTAAAAATAAAATCTAATTTATGAAATGCTTTGGTTGGTAAGGTGATGAGCCTGTAAATTGATTCTGGGATTGAATCTGGATGTTTTTATGTATTCATAAAGGGCTTGGTTGACAAAATAACACACAAACCAACAAAATACTGGCTAATAGATCATGATCATACCAAAAACGAAGAGAAGGAACTAGTCCAACCACTACCTCTTTCCCTTCCACCAAAAGTTTTTTATCTTTCAGAAATCCAGCACATCATTGAAAGCCTTCCCAAAAAGAAAGCTCCATGACATGACCTTATCACCTCCAAAATCCTTCAACCCTTCCCCAAAAAAAAAGCAATCCTGTTTCTAATGTCCTAATAACTAGTCACTTTCCTTCATAATGGAAGTTTATGTAGTAAAAATGATCCCAAAGCTCAATAAACCTAACCATTTACCTCAATCCTATTGCCCGATTAGCCTTCTACCTATACTAGGAAAAATCCTCTAGACGCTGCGTCTGAAAAGAATCCTTCTTCTCATCTTTGAAGGACAAAACAGTCCATCTCACTAGTTTGGCTTCCGTAAACACCACTCCACAATTGAGCAATGCCATCGTTTTGTGTACGCTATCTCTTCCTCTCTTTAGCTGAAACAGTACTGCTCGGGTGTTATCTTTGATGTGGCTCAAGTGTTTGATACAGTCTGGCATCAGGGTTTGCTGTGGAAGCTCATAAGCATCCTTCCCTCCACCTACTTCCTCATATCCCAATCATTCTTAACAGACCACTTCTTTCAGGTCAGCCAGGGAACATCTTGCTCTGATCTATCCTGTGGTTACGGTCACTATTCTGGCATTGATCTTGCTGAAGAACGCTCTGGTATTATGCCAACATGTGAAAGGAAACAAAAATGCTACAAAAACCTTGGTATCAAGGAGACACTATTCCAGTAGGGAATGGACAAGGTTATTGGACTACCACACCAATCCAAACGGATTAATAACTTTAATTAATGATGCAAGTGTTAAAATTACCCACCTACTTTATGGCACTAAATTAGGTAAGACTATGAACATAAGGATCATATCCAAATCTGTGATAGGGAATTAGCCATACGAGGCATGTGGCCGGAATCCCACATGGTAATACCCTCGGTCTGATCGTTTCATTCAACATATACTTCTGACCCTTTTTAAAAAGATGGTTAAGTTTCTTAATGTGAGTAGGAACCACCTTTTTAAAAAGGATTGAACTCCACACTCACCCCACTATTTATAATTTCTATACTTCTGACTTCCCTACTCATCCTGACACTCCATTCACATTTTTGCGGATGATTCTGCTATCCTATCCTTCAATAAAGATCCCATCCTCTCACATCGCTCCTTACAGGCTCACCTAATCAAACTGGAACCTTGACTAAAAAAGTTGCATATAAAAATAAATGTAGATAAAAGCCAACATATAACTATCCGACATGGAATAATGCTACCACTATACATATCACATATCCCTTCCTACAGTTCACCACGTCTGCAACCTTGAGCTGTAAATCGACAAAAGACTAACTTGAAATCCCCATACACCGCTGAAAAAGCAGGAACTGACTAGATGCTACAAAACACTCTCCCAACTCCTAGACGGTCAAAACTGATGTTTCACAACAAACGACTGATATAATTAAACAAGACACAATAATTAAACCCATTAATTAAACCTGAGACAATAATTAAACCCATTTGGCCATAAGGCATTGAACTTTGGGGTTCAACCAAACATTCTAATCATCATTGCATCCAGATTTCCCAATTCAAAATCCTCGGAAAAATAGTAAACGCTCCATTCTACAAATCTAACCAAATAATCCACAAAGAACTTAAATACCTTTAGTGAAAAATGTCATAAAATCCCAATACATAAAATTCTACAACTCCCTTTTATTACACCCCAATCCTTTAGTTTTAAACCTGACATCCTGAACTATCCCCAATAATTCCCCAAGGAGTTTGAAGTGGCAGTGACCTCATGACCTGTTGGACAGCGAGTCATAACATGTAGACCATAGTAGAAGTGTCACCACTGGGCGTTTCTTCAAACCCAAGTACCACTTAGTTTCAGATTTTTCCTTAATTTTTTTCAATTTGTGTCAACAATTTTACTTATAGTATATAAATAAATAAAATAATAAAATAAAAATAAATTTAAAAAAATTGGTTTCAATTTTGTTTTAACACAGCTGTTAGTTAATTCTTGTTAGAAAATGACTTTTCTTTGCTCTTTTTCTAAGAGCTGCTTTTCTATTTATCGTCTTCAAAAGCTTTTATTTTGCGGGGGAGCCAAAAATTATTGTCCCTCTGTTCCAATGTGGATGACTCTGGAGGAAATTTGATTTGCTCTAATAGTTGCCAGTGAGCACATAGGCTCTAGCATCTCAAGGCACAGTGTATTTTGTGTTAGCCCACTTTATGAGACTTTTATAAAATAAACAGCTATTAAAAATCCTAAAAGTTAAGAAAAGCACAGTAATGCTCGCTTTGCTGCTATGTGGCATTCTTGATGAAAATTGATTAGAAATAAGAATGTTATTTTTTATATGCATTCATTGAAAAGACTCAACATGTCAATTTATGGGTTCCCCCTCCACAAATATCATACAAACATTGAAAATGATGAAATACCAAAACGCATCTGAACCAACAAAAATCAGCGAGGATAAGCAGATGAGAATGATAGGTAATTATCAAACAATAGGTTTATCATCCTGCACCACAGGAGGAAATTAACAATATTTAAGATGATAACTTTAAAATAGATCGAAATCTTGGCAGTAACAAATGAATTTGTTTTTTCATCAAGAACATACCGAGATCCAGATTATTTGTGAGTAAAAAAGTGGTCGATATGTTTAACATTTTAAATGATATTAAAGGCAAAACTGAAGTACTTTGGCCACGTGAGAAGACAGGATATCCTGGAATAGGAATTGATGCTAAGGAATGTAGAAGGCAAAGGAAGAGGAGCCGACCAAGGGCAAGATGATTCTGAAGGTAACGGACTCAATCATGGGAAAACTGGGGATGAAGACGGCCGACAGGAAGTGAAAGAACTTAATGAATAAACAATAATACAGTAATACGAGTCATTCTTGCTGAAAATTAATTAAAATTAAGAATGTTTTTATATACTGAAAAGGCTCATGTCAATATTTCCAAACTGCCAACTTGGTGGTTCTCACGGCTCACCTTGAGAAATATGATTCCAACAATTATCACAAATTATTAATTAAGGGGGTGAAGTTTTAGTGTTGATTTTGTAGTCTAGTGAGAAAATTTATACCGAGGAAAGTGTACTTGGGCAGGAAAACTTTGGATTAATGCTATCAATGACCTAGATCTCCTAGGTAGGAAGTTCAATATGGGTAAAGAACAAATTACCTCCTTCTCAATTTCTCTGTGCTGCTGGATGATAAGTTCATCTTGAGAGACACCGACTGAAAATGAATACAATATCAATTTTTTTATAGCAAAACTCGAGTTTATTTTGTATAAAAAGAACAAGGCATACCTTTCCTGTCCTCTTCCATAACTTTTTCTTATTCAAATTTAAAACTTGGTATTATTTTCAAAGCATTGAATTTATACAGATCCGTCAGCTTGACATTATTTCAACGTTGTTGACTCCCAGTGATAGGCCGCCGTTTTATTTCCACCCGAACCTGTTACATCAAAAGGGTGAATTTTTGACCAGAGCCAAAATCTTGCGTTTCTAATTACCAATGCTATGTTATTTACCTTTCAGCACAAAATAAAAATCTTCTCGAAATTGTCGAAACCAGTCTCGATCTACAAGACGAGAGACTCGATTATCAAAACTTTGGTTTCATTGTTGACTGTTGACTTTATATTCCCAGGCTGATTGATGAGGTTTTCCCTTTTTGATTTTTTTGAAATAATAGAAGGCGAATATAAGGAAAAACAAATCTCTTCGGATTTTAACAATATAAAGTATGCTATCGAATTTTGAACTGTGGTATCACAAGATAACGTCGCCCATTACATTTAAAATCGTTATTTCTGTTTATATATTTTTTTCATACAAGAAATTTACACAGTTTTTAAACTAAAAAACTGAAAAATTCATATAAAAAAATAATAATAGGAGATAAGTATTTTCGTTCGATATTAACAAGGTTATATTCGATCTGTAGATCTGAAAACATTATACAGAAGGCTGTAGAAGCCTACAGTTGATCTCTCAGGCTGAACCTTCTTCCAACGTTGTTAAGCACAGGCCAGCGATGGTAAGTGAGATGATGATTTAATCTTAAAACATCTTATGCATTTAAATGCCGAACGGGATTTAAACTAGTAATCCCTCAAAAAACATTGAATCCTAATGGAAACCATTTAAAAAAGCGACTTATTTTTGAGCTGAAAGCACATGGTTTGTTATGATCTTTCCAGGTTAACGTTCCAAAACAGAGGCGTACTTTCTGCAAGAAGTGCAAAGTGCACAAGCTTCATAAGGTGACCCAGTACAAGAAGTCGAAGGAAAGGCACGCCTCCCAGGGTAGGAGGAGATACGACCGTAAACAACAGGGATACGGTGGTCAGACAAAGCCGATTTTCAGAAAAAAGGTGATTTTCATTTGTCAGTACGTTGTATTTTAACATCACAGATTATCCTAATTTTTCTTTGTAATCGTAGTTCAACAGAGGCTATTATAAAAAAAGGATCAGCTGATAGTTTTTTTTGACTAATTAACTCCAGTTAGATCCGTTTTTGGTTCGCTCATTCAACCATTTATTATCTTAAACCCTTGTATACTGAACCGTCATTGGGCCCCTCTTCACTCGCAGATTTGATGAACTACACAAATGTTTCGGCATTTGTGAGGAGTTGTTGCCTACTCTCAGACCAAGCCCAGAATCAACTTGTATAATTTAACCAGCTGCGGTCTGATTTTTATTTGTCCCTTTATAGAAAAGATAGTTTTTGTCTTGAAAAGTCTTCTTGGCGTGAAGCTATGAACCATGATTCGAAGCATTCTATCACATGCCAAAATGGCAATACATATACCAAATTGGTTGGAAACAACCAATGTACAAAAACACATGTCATTTCCTTGTCTGCCAAATGCCGCTGGTTTTGGCAGTATAGACGACTTGTTAATTCAAACTTCTTGATTATTCGAATGGTTCATCTGCTCACTGTGAGAAAACAAATTTGAGCCATTATCCCTCTTGATAATTCAAGCTTTTCCTTATTTCAGTTAATTATTCTTTCTATGTAAGTTCTTGGTTGAGATGCAAAAGTTATATGTCGATTCGAACCCACGACCTTTGGCTCAATACGCCATTGCTCTAACCACTTGATCTATCGTGACTTCAATCCTTTCGGACAGCAACTCCCCATCCCAACCAACAACGTTTTGAATTTTCCCTCTTTTTGCCACTTTGGTCAATTAGACCACTAAACATAAATGGATTAACTTTTTCCTTATGTTGTTCCTTTAAATTTCCATGTACTGATGGCCAAAGTTTTTGAAGTTTCTCTAGTTTGTTATGTTTGCTAGTCAGAGTTTACTTTTGTCAATTTTATCTCACTTGTTAGCACAGGTCAGTGGAAAATCATTTAGATTTTAACTTGACACCATATATATATAACTTATTTTAGGAGGCTAGACCACATTGAAATGAAACTGCTTCTATTTCCACTTTTTTCATTATTTTTACATTGTTTTATAGATGTACAGATTAAGTCAGAATTTTAATAATACTTATTAACTCTTAATAATTAGATTTTTTCTTGATAATTCATATTATTTTTATGGTAAAATGCTGTTCTTGATGATTATTTATGTCTGCAATAGAAATTATTTCCTCTTTCTGAGTTGATGTTAACTTCTTTCATGTGAAGATGAATTGTTATCCCCCATTGAACATTAATTGCTGATCTAGCTATGTCAACATGTTTTTTTCTTGATGCCTCCAGTAACAACAGATCAACCGTGTAAACAGTTTTCAGATATGAAGTTAATGATCTATCAATTGAAGATTGTTGTTATTTCCCAATGAACATTAATTACTCTTTTAACAGTGCCGGTACAACTCTTCAAGTTATTGGTAACATGTTTTCTGTTGATAATCATGACTGCCACAGCGCAGATCAAACATTTGAACCGTTTTCTGCTTTCTGACATGAAATAAGCAACTCTCACACAAAGCAATAAAAACCTCAAGATATGCAATAAAAATATCAAAAAGTGTAATTACAGTAAAACTCATTTATCATAATAAAAAAAATTTTACTTAATGAAATTAATTGTCTTAAACATGTTTATTTTATAATCAATCGATTATACTGTTTTTTAATCACAATATGTTCTGTACCGTAGTGGGTTCCTGTGTTGAACACCAATGTTGTGTAGTGAGTATAAAGGGAATAAAAGACGAAATTTATAACAAGTAAAATAGGTGTATTGTACATAATGTATATGCTGTAAATTTATAAAATATTAATTCCATATAAAATAATAAAATATGGAATGATCAATGTTCGACAGACTTGTTGTTTGGTTGTAGGTAGAGTCGAAAGTGAGTGTGATTTGCTAGGGTAGCCACAGTACAAATATACAATTAAATTTAAATCTGCACAATTTCAAATATGAAATAACTTAGTATTCAATCAACTTTAAATTGTAAAAAATCAATGGCAATGGAGTATAACAAAGTAATTTTTCATTGTAATTCACCAATTTCATAATTGTAGTTACGTTATACATCCTGTCATCCTGAAGTGTTTCAAAAAAGAAAAGCCCCTTTTATTGAAAGACAATTTTCCTATTGGTCTTTGGTTCAGGGTAGCCCTGTAGCTACCACCTTTGAACGCTAGGGGTTTTTTTTTCTCATGGTTGAATAACCTATTGCCCATAACATCCTAGCTGTTGTGGCAGTTCAATCTTATGTACTTATTACTATCTATGAATAACAAAGAAACATAGAAAAGGTTCAATGTTACATGTATATTTTTACTGATTGATTATGTGTTATTCAATTTTGTTGGCAAATTAAAGAACGGAGCTAACCCTGTTGTCTCTTTTCAGGCTAAAACCACTAAGAAAATTGTGCTGAGAATGGAATGCACAGAATGCAAATACCGCAAGCAAGTTCCGCTCAAGAGGTGTAAGCATTTTGAATTGGGTGGTGACAAAAAGAGGAAGGTAAAAATCTTCAAAATTACAATGTATTATTAGATAATTTGACGGTGGTGCATATAGAATAAACAAAATATTCAGTATTTATAAGAGAAAAGGATTGCTACATAAGTCTTTGTACATAAAGCAACTTTATGCAACAATCAACCTAAACACCGTTTAAATTTTGGTGTTCCAAAGAATAAATTGTGATTTAGTGACAATATACTACAAAAAATAAATAAACTACCTCGTACTAATTTTGCATCTCATACACTGCGTGAGAACCAGTTTTGTGAATTTTCCCCAAATCAAATGGGGAAAATGTGTTCTTGCTTTAATCCTGGTTTAATTTGTTTCTGAAAACAATTATAATTGATCAGAGAGTTTTAAACAAACCCTGTTCTAAGCTTACAAATCACATCCATTCCATATTTAAGGATAATTTAGTTTCCCTATTTTAATTCAATAAATCAATTAATAAAATATGCTCCGTATAAAAAGTACATATGGAAAGTATGTCCTAGAAAAAATGCCCTGAAACTCTTGGATATGTAGAATTTTTTAAATTAATTCTATGTATACAATTGGATAATATACAATTCATAATATGCACAACTTGGTCAATCCCTTGCTTAAAAATAGCTTGTGATTATAAAAATTGTGCTATATCAATAGACCAGTCTTGGATATTACTTGATTTTTGTACAAAGAAAGTACCCCATTTCTGGACCGACACTACAATTTGCACTACAATAGATTTATTAAAATGCAATCTTCACATCAGAGTAATACATTGAATCTTCCCAACAATGGACACTCTTGGAGAATGAAATATTGTCTGCTTTTGGTATAAGAGTGAAAAAGAGATTATCGGCACATCGAGGAGCCTTTCCTATGACCAGAGGGTTTTCAAATTCACCGAACATATTTATGCATCCATTACGATGGTCTCAGCACAATTAAAGGGATTTGATTCAAAGTTTTTCCAATTAGTTTTAGAGTCAGAATATAAGTAAAAAATTATTTAGAAATCGTGAGATGCGGTCTGGTGTGATGTAGGTTTCAGAAAAACATTTTCTTTATTGTGCCAACGTTTTGATCTTTATTGAGACAGACACAGTTGAAAAAGCTGTCCTCAACCATTATTTGAAGTGTGTGCTTTATAGGAATCAGAATTTGACCATTCAAGGGGGTGTCTGTTAAAGGAAGTCACTGCATTAAAAAATAATAATAAAATATCTTTGGAGTTAATTAGAAAATGTGTTAACAAATGATGATAATCAATTGTTTTTTCATATTTTGTCTTGTGTTCTAATTATAGGAATCAGAATTTGACCATTCAAGGGGGGTGTCTGTTAAAGGAAGTTTCACTGCATTAAAAAATAATAATAAAATATCTTTGGAGTTAATTAGAAAATGTGTTAACAAATGATGATAATCAATTGTTTTTTTTGTTTTTTCATATTTTGTCTTGTGTTCTAATTTCTTCTGTTTGTTTCTGTTGCAGGGCCAAATGATTCAGTTTTAGGAAATTATCTTTACAATTTATGTGTATATAAATTTGGCTGAATACAACTCTTTTAACAATTTTTAAAAGTTTTCAATTATTTTCATATACCCCTTTTTCTTATAATTTTATAAGCTAATTTGTGCTTCAAACCAAAACCTAGTGTCTGAATTTTATCAGAAAAAAATTATTATAGATTGGTTGTTTCCAAATAGTATGCGGAATAAAAAACTGCTTGGGAAAAGTAATCTTTTCAACAGAGGGCGTGCAGCATAGTTCATTGGGAGATACAAAGAAACACCCAATGATCATTTTGCATTATGGCCATATAATATAATTGCACACAAACAAATATGCCTAGAGTTAATGAACTCAAATGGAATGCTTGCTATCCGTCACCCACAAAATTGATAACCCAGCATGACAACTATCCCCTTTTCTAGTATAAGACCGCTACCTCTTTGAGGGATTTTCCGGGTTACAGAGTTAAGAGAGATCTTTTTTTTTTTTTTTTTTTTTTTTTTACAATTATTTGGTTTTTGTCATTCTTTGACTCCATCTAATTCAGTTTAAAATAGATAAAATATTTTCTATCTTATAAAATTTAGATTTAGCAGTTGTCAGTACTGTATGAATTAAATGTGAGAAGTATTGATTATTGAACTTGTCATATAATGTTTAATGATGTTCAACGTTTTATTTTTTTGGTTTTGGGAAATGAAAAACAAAACAGTTAATGAAAAATAAATATAATTTGTTAAATGGTATGAAGATAAATTAACACTATAAAATTGCATGTATTCAATATGTACAGCATAATTATTTTTGTATCACATGTCAAATAATAGAAGTCTTTGCTATAAATACAGATCTGGATCTATGTTCTCCTGCCTCATTTTTTGCTTGACGTGTTCCAATGGAACTCCGACCCTTACCATCTTAATATATTTTGCTATTGCCGGATCCAATTCGCTTTTTGTCTCTGATTGGGAGGATTCCTTATTCTCTTCGTTTTCCTGTAAAGTTGAACAATTAGATTAAGATATGACAGTTCCTGATTATCCTCTAATGTTGACAAATGGGTCAGTGGTGTGGTGGGCCAAGAAATTGCAGGATAAGGCGATCACGCTATTAAGTGGCACTCAAAGACAAGCAGTGCCTCTGGAACCATAAGAACAATGCCAAATACGGTCATGGAGGAGTTAATCTATCACTCCATATTTTAATCCAAGGAGCTGGAGCAGATACAGGCTCATAAGTGAACAACCATCTGCAAGGAAAGGTCATGTCAACAAACAATGAAAATTGAGGGAGGAGATAACGGCAGATGACATATTAGGCATGCCAATCGATGCTACAACTCCAAAATATAACTTTACTAAAAAGTACAAGGCTCTGATGCCAGAATGGAAAGAGTGGGTGAAAAGTACACCTCTAAAGGCAAATTCCTATGGTGTACTGACGGCTCCAAACCGATAAGAGCTCGGGATCTTGGAACTGACGTTAAACTTTAGGCAAATATGCTTCAATTTTCAGCCTGAAATCAGCAATTGAACACTGGGCCAGAGAAATAAAAAGGCCACATTCCAGAAAAATAGCTATTTTCTCTGACAGTCAGGCGGCACTTAAGGCCTTAGCAAATACAATGTCCAATTTTACACAAAACTGTATTACCCCTGTGCACATCTGCCTGTCGCCACACAGCCTACTCTATGCTACAATATGCAACCAAGTTCCCCCACTGTCCAAATTTTCGTCAAAGACAAAAAACCAGACACTCATATTTTTTGTAGTTTATATAAGACTATATGTATTTATTTTCCATTATATTTATTACAACATGCTTATTTTAAAGTGAACCAAATTAAACGAAATAAAAAATCGAGTTTTTATAAAAATTATTTAATTACGAAGTTTTGGCAGAAAATTTACCAAAACATCGGAATGCCATTTATTGGAAGAATGAATTTAACTAACAATTTATTAGATAGTTTTGCTCGTGATTTAGCTAAAAAAAAATTTGCTCATAATAATGCAATAATGACAAAAGAGGTACTGCAATTGTGATGTGTGTGACTGTTCGTGGCGTGAGCTTGACATCAAACTGATGTGCATTCCCTACCAAAATGAGGCGTTGGGTCAGGGCATGTGGGATGAAGAAGTAATCAAAAAAAGGACATGTTGGCTAAAAAAGGAGCCACTATGAACCCTACCTAGCACCTTGCCACAAAAAAGGATCCATTTAAAAAACCTGGTAGAGTAATAGAGATTTATAGAAGGACCATCCCCAAAGCTTACAAAGGAATAAATGAAAGCTGACCGTAACAGAACCAGGATTCTTAACAAGGCACATGCACCAGATAGAAGTACTGACGAAAGAAACAGTACAGACACTGCCAAGAAGGAGGAGACTGCAGAACAATATGTTTGTGTGAGGGTTCATGTAGACGTAAATTCTTGCAAATTGGAGAGGAAAAGCCGCTCGTACACAAGGCTAAGGAGGTTGATTAATAACCTGAATCTGGCCAGTGAGTTATAAAAAATGGAGGAGCACAGCCACAAGCCTTGTGGCTGCCTTATTTACCACTACCCCCACCTATTTTATCTTATTGACAAAGCAAATACTGACGTACAACTGAAATTGTCTAAATGAAAGTCAAAGATATCAAAAAATCTAAGGCTCTAAGCTGACACAATTTTTTATTTAAATTAATGCGCTCACTGATTTTTTGTCCTCAGGAATGTCTGTGTTAAGCTTCTGTGGTGACGGTAAAGTCACATTCACATCTTTCTTGTCCTCTAGCTCGGGTATTGAATTGATCTAAAATGAGAAGTAAAAACTGTTAGCTTTGTACAGGAAATCTTCTTCCTCTGTTGAAATTACTTTAGTCTCCAAAAGGCGAAGTTCCGCTTCGATTTTGCATATTTTCTGGTCGAAGAGGAACAACTTGTTTGCGCAAGACTCGGAGAAGGCATTGATGAACTCTACGGTGGAAAGGATGTAATGGTTGAAAAATGTAACCAGCCGTTTCTGGTGAATAGGCGGTGCCTTAAAACGAACAAAAAACATTAATTGTTTTGCTAAATTAAAAAAGACTCAAACATTCATGCATGTTGCATACTTCTGACAAATCCGGCTTATTACTGCCAAGAGAGTTGAGCTTTTCTTCCAGGCCGGAACTCACTTTTAGATTAGACATTTTCCTATAAAATCGTATTACTTAAAGGCTACCCGAAAGTAAATAAAATAAAACTAAAAATAATAAAAGAAGATGGGTATAATAATCACATAAGGAGGAATAACTTCTGTTTGTTTTGTTTGAACTGCAACAAGGAGGTTTTTGCTAATCAATCAACCTTATGAGCGAATGAAGTAAAACGTCATTTCTGGGGAATTCTCGTCTTAAATAGAATAAAACTTTATTCTTGTCATTGAAGTTGAGTAGTTATATATTAAAAACGATCTGAGTTAAGGCCACTTAAAAGAAAAATAATAATCACAAAAATTGAATGAATCATCTATTTCACAAAGCCACTAACAGTTAATTGAAATACTAATTCCTAAACAATTTAGCATAAAGGTAGGCTTTTATTTACCTATTTTTCACATTTATTTATCATGAAAAAAAGCTCACACTGCTAATTGAGAACAAAAGGTGAATTCAGCCATCAGACAATTGAATTTATTACGTTTATTTATGTTAAAGGTACAAATAGGGCCTCCTTACCTGTACATATTTTAAAAATAAATTTAATAAACAGTAAAATAATAATAATAATCCATATGTATATGTTTAGCAGTAATTATTATTTCAATTAACTTATTTAATACTTTTTTTTAATCTAAGATCTTTGTTGAGATGAAAAAGTTTTTGTCACCAACAGGATTCGAACCCACGACCTTTGCTTCAATACACCCCTGCTCTAACCAATTGAGGTATCATGAAAAAGAAGTGAAATTGCATTTATTGACCCTTATCATAAGATAATTATTGACTAAGTCCTTTAACTGAAATGCCAATTGTGGGAACGAATTTTCTGTTTGTTAAAAATAGTAAAAGAAACAAGGTTTGATTTAGTTAAGCTCACTTTCAACTAGTAGTTTTTTCTATTTTCAAACGAGAGTATTTCAACTACAAGGTTGGTTGAGGCTTGCTGGGTTAGACTCCAGTAGCCTTGAATTCGAATCAGACCTTTACAGTGATGAGTGACAGGTCTACACCTTAACCATTATAACCGACACCCTCAAATTAGTTCTTTATAAGAAATTAGTAGCAGTGGGTAAAAGTACATAATATTTTTGGGAGATCGTGAGATGCGGTCTGGTGTGACGTATGTTTAGAAAAACATTTTTTTTTTCGTGCCAATGTTTTGATCTTTATTCATATGATCTTCAGGGCCTGTTATACTAATACATGTAAGATGTGAAAAAATGAATTTATTCAATGATAATAATTCATTTTTTAACATCTTACATGTATTTGTATAATATAAGCAATGCTTATAAATCCCAGGCCCTGAAGATGATCTCAATAAAAATCAAAATGTTGGCACAATAAAGAAAATTTTTTCTAAACCTGTCATACCAGACCACATCTCACTATCTCCAAATAATCATTAATTAACAATCACTAAATACCATACATTTGTACATAATATTACTACCTTAATTTTAATTCATTGGTTCTTTTGATTACAAGATGATGCAGCTGAATCCCATGCAGGAAACACTCATAATTAAGAATATATAAGTATTTAATGGTTATATTGGTGTAAACATACATTGATCACAATTTTATAACAATGATTACAATGAATGCCTTGTTCTGCCTTGTTATATAAAATGTACTATAAAAGTTTTTCAAGTTAAAAAATGTAGTATAAAAACTAAAGAAAAGTATTGAATGAAAAGAAAAAAATGAGGATACATTTTTTATTTGTTGAAAAAATATATTGGGCCTGACTATTTCTATAAAACTAATATGACACATTTGTTTTTATTAACTATTTTAAATTATAAAGCAAGTGTTATTGAAAAATGAATACAGAGAAAAACAATGGGTGTTAGTATAGTAAAGAATTTTCTCTCTCAAAAGGTAAGGAGTTTATATCAACTGGATGCGTTCATTTTCTGGTAGTATGCACCAATTAGGAGAATGTTGATTATTAACAAGCCAATTGAAATCGTCCACATTATCCCAATTATTTATTTCACGTTTTAAACCAGTCTGTTTGTAATGTAAATCGATATTTTCATACGAATAGTTGTAAGGGGCGAATCTGAGACGACTTGAATCTTCTATTATGGCTTTAGTCGTGACGTGTATGTAGAAATCTGAAGATATTGTGTTATGAACCCTTAACTGCTGGCAAGCGAAAGCTAAAACAGAATCTTTGCAATCTTCGATTAGAACGGAAGTTACAACAGGACCGCAAAGAATTCTACATGCGCGAATATTAACTAAATGAATGGTGTTTGGTGCTCCATTAATAACTACATCACATTTTTCTAATCTTGCAAGACCGACATCCTTGTTATCTACTTCTACATGAGTTAACACTAATTTTTTACCAATATGGTCAGAAAAACCACACTGAACAGATAAGATGAGTTCAGGAGTCTCGTTGGTCTGCACTTCTTCAAGTTTCTTTACACCTTTTTTTATGTCTTTTCTACTGCTGAAACCAAATTTCTTTTTTGGCAACAACTTATGCTCTAATTCAGTAGATTTGTCTTGGAGAGTTTGCAAGATTCCTTTGCAAATTTTAATATCATATGGGATGAGAAACATAGACGATGTTGCCAGATACCTATTTAGAACGTTAAGATCTTTTGATATCTGGTTGAAGACTTCAGCAAGTTTATTCCTGTCTTTTATTAATTCAAGCGATTCGATCAAACTTTCTATTTTAATCTGCTGAGATTTAAACGTATCTCTAAATACTTCAGCCTGGCTTGGGCCCTCATCTTTCTTTTTCTGGAGGTCGTCTTGCCGCTGCTCGTTCCTCTTCAAAATGCTCTCTGGAACCTGAATCATTATTTCTTTTCTGATTTTGAAATATCTTCGTTTATTATGGAAGTCTCTCCAGCTGCTACCTTCATAACATGTATAAGATGTTTCCTTTTCACATCATCACGAACATTTTTCTCCTAGAAGAAAAAATAAATAAACCACACCGATTATTAAAGTAACACTTTGAATTTTTCAATTTGAATATCAGAAATAAACATGTGTTAACTGGCAGTGTGACTTACAACTTCATGCGATGGTACAAATGCAAAACTCATTCCTAACCCTGTTAAAAGAAACATATAAATGACCGACCTAACTACATTTGACATGGTTTACAATTTTCCAGCATTTGACCAGGTCGTCATATCATATTCCCTGACTTTACTCTCTGAAGATATCTGTTCACCAAATTTGTAGTACGCTGGAAAATTCAAATGCAAATAAAACGTTAAAAAAATAAAACTGTCTGATATATTGTTTATATTACATACCTTCCAAAATTAACGGTTGGTTCTGGTACAAGTAAAACCGTAAATCTGTAAAACAAAAATATCAAATCTTTTAATATGCTGTTAGAAAAAGGTATAGCTTGTATTAAATGAAACGTCTTTCTTTAAAAAAATAATAGTCTACCATTTCACTCGGCAAATGGATTGAGATTGAATACGGTTTGCAAATCAATTGACCTGTTTTTTGTTCATAACAATGATCATGATATAAAAGCTATGGAGACATTGATATGTGTAAGTCTGATAATATTGCTTCTAGCTTCTGGCATCCCTGAAGGGGAAAGTGTTGTGGAACAGGTCAAAAAGCTTGACACTTTTACAACACGAACACGTTGACAAAAGCACTCCTTAGTACTTTTGTCGACTTTGTTTCTTTCATTTCAATTGGCTCCACATCATTCTAGCCTAATCGAGTACTTTTAGTTATTGCCACTGTCGCAGGGAAAGGTTCAAGTTACGAGATTTCACCTATGCGCCTCCCTCTTTTGAAAAGTTCTTCATATTTTTCAGCTGGATTTTGCTCCAAATGATCGATAAATCACTTTTTTGTTTAACATGGATATTATTAATAAAAATAGGCATATAAATTCCGTAAGAATTATTTTAAAAAGTAGGAAAATTATTTTTAATTAAAATAAATTTTTCCGAATTTCCAAGAGTTTACATATTTTTAAGCTTGAATTAGTTTTAAATGCAAATGAGCCACTAATTGTCTTGAACATATATTATTCTTTTTACTCATTAAAATACAGCATTTTTATTCTGTTTTGACGAGATTACAGTATATTTTAGGTTTATTATATTAGTAATATCCCCCCAAACGTAATTTACTTGTTTTTTATCTACTTGCTTTCTTGAAAATTTTTTACATACATAAATTTTACACAAAAAAAGTTTAGATAATAATACAAGTGATGCATTTGTTGAAAGCAAATGAACTGCAGTTCAAATAGAACGGAACCAACACAATTTTAGATACATTTTTGCCTCGGTAAAAAGAAAATATAACAACAAATAAAGTAACAAATTGTAAACATTTTAGCTAGACAATCACGTTTTATGATTAAAAAGTTATTGTTGACTATGTGTCGTCATCAGTATCACATAAAGGATGTCTTTGATCAGGCGCAAGTTGTTTTTTTAAGACGAATCGATAAAAGATCGAGGGGAAATAGCCACTGTATGTGTAAAGAAGTTCAAAATAAACAAATTAAAGGGGGAAAAATGATCAGCACAGAAAAAGACAAATGACAACTCAGTCACCACAGTGATAAGCATTAAGTAATAAACAATAACAAACTATCTGATAGCTGGTTGTACCAATTTTTTTATGAGTTAAACATTTGAACACCAACCCTGCATATAAGAAATCTGGTATTTTGAAATGACACGCAAGCGTAGAATATAAATGAATCTTGACAAAAATACGTTACGTTCTTTTACTCAATATTTTTCTACCCACTGTCATCAATTCAAAAAATTTGTGATTGTCTTGTCTCCTAGTTATGACATATGTTCAAGCTTGTTATTTTTCAATTATAGACAATAGCCCAATAACAAAAAATTTTATATCACAGAGTATCCCTTGCTGGTGATACAACTTAAGTGTAATGGAATTCTGGATGCAAACTGACAGTGGCTTTACTGGAAAACCTCAAAGATTATACTCATTTTGAAACCTGACAAATCTCCATCCGACCCTCTTTTAGTAAGCTATTTGAGCATGTTATGCTCACCCAAATTTTCTGCCTACCTAATAAAAACAGTTGATCAGGGCAGTTTGGGTTCAAGTCAGGGATATGTGGCTGCCTAACTAGCCATGATAGTAGATGATTTAACACTAACCCTCAATGTAAGAAAACATTTTATCATGATTTTGGTTGATAAACAAAAAGGCCCTAGTCAGTAGGATGATGGAATACAACTTCCCTCTTCTTTTTAAAAAAAATAAAAATAACCCTTTTTCTTATCCAGATTATTCAGTTTCTTTTCATCATCCCTATTCCAACCAAGACACATTGTTGCTGTGTTATATTTGAACCAAATCCTTTCCATAAGAATGTAAATATGGTGTTTTATGCTGATTACATCGCTCCCTACCCACTTGGAGGAGAGAAAATATCAAACAGGTTTCTGCAATTAATTTCTTTAACAGTTGGAAAATTGAAATTATGAAATAAGGTAATAGTTTTAAGCATGCAGTGGTCAAAGTTGGTCAAATATTTTGAGATGATAATGGGCCAAGAGAGTAAACTCAATTTTACTCTCTATGTTAAGGATAGAGTGAATAAGGTCAATACGACTATTCATTCACACAAGTTTTCCTCTGCGCATTTGCCAGTCCAGTCTGATACCAGCCAGTAAATGTTTTCATACAAGGAGGAGGTTAGGTTGATGCTCTAGTATGCGTGCCAGGATTAATGTTGTCAAGCTGCGGGTTGTACAGAATAAGTTTCTTAGGCTTGTGACAGACTTGCTCTGATATACACATGTAATGGAACTGCACAAATCAGAGATGTAATTATTACAGTTTTTAAGCTATGCGAGACTAGTACCGGCACAATCTGCTGCCAAATAGTTATCTAAAGTTTGGATGGTACGGACGGGTATGCGCTATCATCCAAACTATAGGTGAGTAAAGAATGCCCTCCTATAATTTGGCCATGATAGCTGGGGTTTTTGGTCTAATATTTTCTCCCAAAAGAAAAGGAGGTAAATGTCAGTAGAAAAAAACCACTAAATTATTGCATTCAATGTGTATCTGTATAAATGAAATTTCTATTCGATCGAAACGGCACGATAAAGAAAATATTTTTCTAAAACCTACATCACACCAGACCGAATCTCACGATCTCCAAATAATCATCATTTCATAATAATCATACTAATGGTCATTAAACATCAAACATTACTAACACAGAAGGTTTAAATGTTAGGGCGTGAAATGACCTTAGCTGTTAAAACGCCCTTAAAAATTAATTAGGATAAAAATAATAATAATAACAGCATTACTTCTGTTGGACTAACTTAACAGTCTTGGAATTCCTCGATCTGAACCAAAAATTGGAATGCTTCTCGTCTGAATTACAAAAATTGGAAAGAGGTTTTCTCTGCACGGAAATGGATCGAATGCATATACTTCTATTTAATGGTATTTATTTTTCAATAATGATTCCTAACTAGTATAAATGTATTAATGAAAGAAAAACATAGCTTTATTTCTGTAAGCCCAACTTTCCAGTCTTGGGGTTCCTTATTTGAACCAAAAATTGGAACGCTACTCTTCTGAATTACAAAAATCGGAACGAGGTTTTCTCTACGTGGAAATGGATCAAAAGTATATAATTCTATTTACTGCTATTTATTTTTCAATAATAAACAATTCCTAACTAGTATAGATGTAGTAATGAAAGAACATCATAACGTTGTTTCTGTCAGTTAGGAATGGATTGGCCTAACAACGATCTATGAGCTCCTCGCTCTGTACCAAGCTGAATTAATTTGCACTGCTTCTCTTCTGAATCACAAAAATTGGATCGAGGCGGAAAAAGATCAAAATGATATGATGGTGGGGCAACAGTACTCTGCGACTGAGTTTGTAGCCACTACACAATAACAGCAGCTGCAGCAATGAAAGTTTCACTGTTGTCCATCACGATTTGTAGTAAGTTGAGGACTCGCATGGTACTTGGTGAATTATATTATTTGGTGAATGCCAAGACGAGCATCTCGAGACTTGGCAAATACTGCATGTTTGGAGCCACCTTAATACTTCTTTTGATTTTTTTGCGTCATTTTTTCTATTCAAATTGTGCCTTTCCTCCATTTTCTTACACTATAGAGGTCATCTCACAAACTTAAAAACGTGAAAAAATTTAATGTTAGCAGATTTCAGGTATATAGAAAGATCTGTGTTCCGATTTGAATGTTGAAAGTGTATAACCTTGAGAGTTAAAATTAAAATACTTTGTACATACAAAGCGGCATCGAATTAGAGTTAGATCTCATCCTGGACAAACAAAATCCACAAACTGAAAGTCTAAAGAACAGCCGGAAAACCCGAAAGGAACAAAATTCTCACAGATGGTATTCGACTATTGCCCAATCATAACAGACACATGTCAATTTAAAAAGAAATAAATAATTAACATTGACTGATTACCCTGGTTGTGATTTATCTGCCTCCAGCCAAGGTAGGTGCCGACAAAGCAAGCGAGCTCAGCAGCCAAAATGATTTTTCCACCTTTGACAAAATACTTCAGTGGACCGGATTTAATATCTTTCCAAGACATCATTTGTCATTTTCCAGTCTTGATATTACTCTGTGTAGATACAGAAAAAAAATAAAGTAAAGAATGAAACAACTACAATTGTAAGTATCAATTTTAAAGGGTTGTTAATATTTATAATTGATTCACCTTAAAACTGAAAGGATTTTTAAATTAACATTTTTTAAATATACCTGACTTTTAACTTACTCAATTAATTCTGGCCTTCTAAAATCAGGACGATAGATAGCAACCTAGCAATAATATACTAGATTAAATCTATCACAACTTCCCAAATTCTCGGTAAGTCGGTAGTCGCTAGTACTACAAAAGTACAAACTACCCTAACCCTATCCCTAGCATGGATGACTAGAACTAAGACAAGTACACGTAGATTTATACCGAGCTGTTAATTAATAACTGTTAATAAAATGAGAAAAATGTTTAAAATTAAGGGCGATTGTTGAAGTAGAATGATTCGAAGTGGAAAAAACCTATTTAGCATAAGGGCTGATGTTTGAAAGGCATTGGGTTTTTATCAAGAGTTTAACCTTCTGAAAGTTCCATTTTTAATTTCCCCTGAGGTTCACATTCCGTAATCTGAAAATATCTAAAAAAGAAAACTATACGAAATGGCTGGATCGGTTGGAGAATTGGCCCGTCTTGGAAAGAATTTGGCAAAAGGTGATTTGAATTTATTCCACTTAGGAGTTTGAATAATAATTGTTTTTCAGCTGTTCTAGTTTCTAAACTTTTGATCGCCTATTTTTTCTCTCTAAATTTTGTAGAGAAATTTTAGCTAATATTCACCACCATAGCTGATAAATTTTTTGCAGGAAGTTTTTATTCAGGTTCATCCATGATTGATTATTCTTCTATGATCAGCCTTACTCCTTGTTAACTTGCATATCAATATAATTTTAATTAATAGAACGGATAAGCTTAAAGAGTCAACCGTGTACATCATCTGACCCTGATCCTATGGTTGCTTTGGAAGGTCTGCCAAGACATTGGAAAATGAAGATAAATGAAATCAAGTCCATGTCCATCCACATTCCTTAGTAAATCTCACAATTTACTGCTATTAGCTCAAAGATCGTGCTGAATTACAAAACTCCAGGACACACAACAGCTGCCCTTGCAAGGAAAAGGGCTGATAGTCCTACACCCTTTTGTGGTACAAGGGTTCATACTATCAATAAGGTCTTAGACAAAAAGACTGGATGATAATAAACAAACAGTGGAATTCACTCATCAGACAGACAATCCAAGAACCTCTTAGCTTGTTTCAGAAGGAAAGACAACAGGATGTAAAAAAAAAAGCAGGAAAAGACAGGACACTGCGGACTGGACAGCTATTTGAGGAAGATTGGTTAATTTGACATGGTGCATGCAGTTTTTGCTAGGAATCAGAGTAGTCACCAACACACCTTCTAACAAACTGTGGTGTTACACTTGCTCTAAGGAAGTAGCGCTTTGGGATGTACAACGTAACTGTAGACAAAATTCAGCCATTAAGACCGGGTCTACTCAGATTCCTTGATGAACTAGGACACCGATAAGCAATAGGTACAGAACATACAGTAGCTCTCAAAGGGCACATTATTTTCACACCCCGAATACTACATCTACAATGCACTTTATTCATGCACTTTATTATATTTTTAGTACTACCATCCACAAAGACCTTAAAATCCCATTTATCCCCTTTGAGGGTCCTAACCTCCCCAAAGTTTTCGCCTGACGTTCCTGTCATTTGCTGCTGCCTTCCAATGAGCTCTCAATAATATTCGCATTGTTGCATACGCCATCAAGCCACCTAAACTTAGACCTTCCAACCTTTCTGTTCGTGTTCAGTTGTCCATCCATTATCTTTGCCGTCACTTCCCCCATTTCCATTCTCATAAGACCAGCCAAGATTAATCTTGATAGCTTTATTACATTTACGATGTTCACTTCTTTGTACAGATCATACACCTTATTTATTCTACTTTGCTATTCATCCCTTCTGTTTGTAGCACCGAAATTTCCTCGAAGAATTTTCCTTTCGGAGATAAGAGGTTCTTTTTGTCTGTCTTAGAGATTTGTCTAAGTTTGAGGAGCATATGTCAGTACTGGACAGATTAGGGTTTTATATAGGCTCATTTTTGTGTTTCTGGAGAGTAAGTGTTTTTTCTTATTTTGAAAGGCCACAATTGATCCTATTAGCAGCTATGCTTTTCCTTTTATTAAAGGAGTTACTTTGGGAGTTGAGATAGATAAATTTGTTGACTCTCTGAAAGAAATTAAAGCACACATGCAGTCCATCTCTCAATGAGCCATTACCACTTCCTACATACATATGTTTCGTCTTTTTCTCCTTAATGGTAAGACCCATGGTTAAGGCTGCTTCCTGCAAAATAAGGAAGGCACCCTTTTTTGTGCATAGATAGTGAGTATGGTTCCTGAGATCTGGATGAAGACCTCTTGATTTCTAGGGCTAATTTAAACAGGAGGCAGGCTAAAGAGTCACCTTGCCCTGAAATCAGGAAATGCATCAGCCTAATAATATGTGTGCAACCATTATTTTCTTTTCAGCAAGCTATGGGTGGTATATTCATTTCCTTACTTAATTTGAAATGTGTTCATTTCCAATCATTTTGGTATGCCTATTTGGTCTGTGAGAAATGTTTTTGTTTTTCACCATACTCAGTGTGCTGGAGAGATAAGCAGACCAAAATGATTGTAAACTGTTAAACTGTGTGGATCCCAAGAGGAAATCTCAGAATTTAGTGCTTAATTAAAAGTTTTATGTAATGTAATTTACTTTCCTTTTTTGAAAAATAGTTTTATTTCATTTTAAGTCCTCGTGGAGAAAGCGAAGCCAAATTTGGTCACATTCGCTAAATATGCCAAAGTCGAACTGGCACCGCCAACCCCAGGGGAAATGATGACAGCTACTCGTGGTTTTAAGAACTTGATGAGCAGTGCCAAGAGTGGAAAGTGGAAGCAATTAACAGTCAAAGTAATAACTTACATAATTTATAATAAATAAATGTTTTTTAAAATTTAATTAATGTGTTTTAGGAAGCGTGGTTAAACACGTTAATTGCGACTGAAGTCTGCCTTTGGTTTTTCGTCGGTGAATGCATAGGCAAAATGAACTTGGTGGGATATAAAGTCAATGTTTAATTTTCTAGTGTAACAATGTAACAAATAATACATCTTGAACTTTCCATTTTCCTCTATAGACAGTTAATTGTTAGCCCTTTGCAATAAAAAAAACATGTCATTTATTTAAAATACAAAAGGAAATGAATTGTTTCTATGATTGTGTTTTTTTGGAGCCTTTTAACTCCCAAAGATCCATTGCCTCTTACCAAAGAAGAATTAGAATTAATTTAAATTTAATTAAAAATTAAAATCGATTAATTAAATTAAAATTATTTGAATTTAAATTTAATTAGAATTTTAATTTTTCAATGTCTTTTTTTAATGTTTATACCCATAATAACTTTTGTAAATATTAAGGGTGGTAGGCAAGGACTTTACTGAGGTTGAAAGAAACCAGGTATTCCATGTTTACTTTGATGCACATCTTCAGCATTACAGCCGTAGAATTTCAAGATATGACAACCATCAACCAATACATATCATGTCAAAGTTATACATAAAACTATGTGGTTTTTAGGCGTCCTTTCAACCGTGCAGTCACTTATGCTTCTTTGGCCTCTCCTTTCTTCTATGGGGCAACTTGCCCCAACTTAATCGTTCACTTCCTTCCTTTGTCCACACTGTTGTTTCATTGGCACATAGTTTTATTTTACAATTAATTAAGGTTTTTAGTTAAGATGAAAAAAAGTTATGACACGAGAGGGATTCAAACCCACGACCTTCGGCTAGATACGCCGCTGCTCTATCACCTGAGCTATCGTGACCTCGATCCACTCGGACATCAACTTCCCATCTCAACCCCACCTTATGAGTTTTCCCTCCTTTTGTCATTTTTCGTCGAGAATCCAAACCGATTACACGACATTTGAAAAACGGACTCCTTAGCAGGTCACTTCAGTAATTAGAAAAAATTCTGTGCATTTTGATGCATTCAGTAATAGGAAATATTTTTAGTAACAAGGGAGAAAAAACATGCTATTAATTGAAATTGAGCCAATTCCCATCTTTATAATTTGCACTTTTCTTTGTTACATCCTTTTAAATTTCCACATATTGTTTACTTCCTTGCACCCTAAGGTTTCTTCGAATTTATTCTAGTTTGTTTTGTTGTGCAGTCAGTGTATTGTCAATGTGCTCTTAGGAAAATCAGGTAAACAAAGGACTCCAGGACACTGAAACGAAAACCACTTCAAGATTTTTTTTTAATAATGCCTTACTGTTTTATATATTATATGGTATATAATATATATTATATATACGATATATAATTATATTATATGATATATAATATGTTATATAATTTAATAACTTGGAAAAATGCATTCAACTCTTAACAATTTTTTTTCTTCCCTCTTGATAATTCGAATTATTTGTGTGGTCCCATGAGTTCCAAATTATAAAGAGTCGACTGCAGTTGTAAGACATTATATCGGAAATAAATTTAGCCCATTAATATTTTAATTAAAAAAGTGTACTTCTATTTCACTGTTCGAAGACTTTTTACTGTTTTCTTGGCCACTAATTTTTGTTGAAATGTATTATTTTTATACAATCACACCAAAAGAATTATATACTGACTTTATACAATTTTTATGATATTATATCATTTACGTTATTTAGAAAATCTAACAAGAATTAATTTATAAAAATTTAAAAGGACAATTTATGAATTTCTGATCACAAAATGTACTGATAATAAAGAGGAAGGTTATTTTACTGTTTACTTATGATTACAAAGCAGTGTTGACAGCCCCATATGTTTTTTTATGTGTAGTTCGTAGTGTAAAACAATTCGTCGTCGTAAATTGCAAATATGTTCAATCGAGTTTTTAATCTTTTGAGAGGAAATTCAGCTTTAGCGTTAGGAGGTCTTCGAAAGAATGAGTGGATGCACACGACTTTTTCGGCAAAGCGACCGTTGATACCGATAGTGGTTGAAAATACAGGTAGAGGAGAGCGATCCTACGATATTTATTCCAGGCTGTTAAAAGAGAGGATCATCTGTGTCATGGGTCCAATCAACGACGATGTCGCATCCGTAGTCGTCGCCCAGCTCTTGTTCCTGCAGTCAGAGAATTCAAAAAAGCCTATACACATGTACATCAATAGCCCCGGTGGAGTAGTGCCAGCAGGTTTGGCCATATACGACACAATGCAGTATATCTCATCGCCAGTGGCGACTTGGTGTATTGGCCAGGCTTGCAGCATGGGCAGTTTGCTCTTGACGGCGGGTTCAAAAGGCAAACGCTACTCTCTCCCCAATGCGCGGATCATGATACACCAACCGTCAGGAGGTGCTTCGGGCCAAGCAACAGACATCCTGATACAGGCCGAAGAGATAATCAAGTTGAAAAAGCAGATCAACATGTTGTACGCCAAGCACACTGGCCAACCGGCCAAAGTCATCGCAGAAATGGTGGAAAGAGATCATTTCATGTCGCCAACTGCTGCAAAGGAATTCGGACTCATAGATCATGTACAGGGTGGAGAAGTAAACGAGTTCTCATCTATACCTCTAACGGCTCCTTCGCCTTCGGCAAATCCAAATGCGGTATCCCCGATTAAATTGTGATTGATAAAATTCAATAAAATTATTAGGTACTAGAAATATGACTTAATTGAAACCCCCTTTACAATATGTTTAAAATTGAACTGTAAATAAAAAATTCCATTGTTATCTTTTTTAAACATTTATTTTTAAAATCCTCTCCAATACTTGTCTATCGCTTAAGTTTACCATATTTATATGAATATTTTGATCTACATCATTATCTCTGTAAAGTACAATTCAATTAATTATTGATTTCACACGATCTATTTATTTGGAATTAATAATAGTATAAAATGAGAGAAAAAAATTCAAGCTAACTTATAATCAAATTTATGGTAACCATTTGTAAAGTTTTATTTGGTAAGCCATTAAAACAAAAATGTCATTTGGAAAAATAAAAAATAACATTGGTACAAAGAGCGATAAAAGAAAAATTAGTGTTTATTTTTATGTAAGAAAACTACTATGTACAAGACACTACATCATAAGGAATGAACCAATTTTGTTTGAGACGGAGTGCTGGGTTTGGGCTGCTATTTTTAAAGAAAGTATGTGGGCAGCTTCTTTCATGGTCTTGGTCAATGGAAGAGCTTTATCAAACAAAGATATCGCTGTCAGTATATTCCCCCTAAAAAAAAAAAAAAAAAAGATAATATAACAATTGGAAAATAGTATTACAATATGAAGTGATATGAGTATAAACATTTGAGATGGTTTTATTTACTATCTAATATGTATGTGAGCAACTGTAGTAGCCAAGTGGTTGGTGTGTTAAAGCCTATATACTCAATGGCCCATCGTTGAGTAGTGTGTGGACGGACATAGACTAGCCATCTTTCCGTCCACTACAGTGGGGCATTGTGAAGAGGAGGCATTAGACTATAGGCTCGCTCATAGACTCCATGGCCGTGGGTTTGATTCCCACAGTTGTCCCTTAAATTTTCTTTCACCTCTCCTCCTTCCCCAAGATATAAGTGTGTGTGCATCTGAAGATATTTGGCTTATAAAAGAAGCCTAGCATTTTTCAATAATTCAACTTTATCCAACTTGTGTTTTGAAGAAATTTTTATTTATTCATTATTGTTAACACACTGAAATTTGTTAAGGATCTTGGTCAATTTCATTCAAGATTTACAAGACGTTTTGCTAATTTCAAATGGAGGAAAAATAGTGCATTTTTGTAATTTAATGTTTTTTTATCACCTATATTATAAAGCAAAAACTACAGGTCTAACTGCTAGGAAAATTTATGGTAATGATGCTTTAGGAGAAAGCACAGCCTGTAAGTGGTTTCCTCAGTTCAGAAGCAGAAATTTTGATTTGGTACAAATAGCGCTCACTAAACAACACAAGACAAAGCACTTGATATACATTGCCCATAAAATAAATAAATAAACAATTTTAACTGAATATCTATATATTAAGTATATGGTTACAATAAAACATACTGACTTATTTAAGACCCGATAATTTGTGTAATTTAGTGCCTCTTCTTTTTTAATTTTTTTTTTTTCTATTATTTTTCTGTGTCATTGTTGTGCTAATCTGTTGATTGTTTTGGACTGTTTTGGCATTTCAATATATCATCAACTTTGGCCACTGTGCATACTTTATATATATATATATTTTTTTTATTTATTTATTTGATTTTTTATTTAGTATCGGTTTGTACGTTGTTGCAATGAGTAATTTTGATATAAGGCTAATATCCTTTTGATTATAATTATTTAATTTATTATCAGCTTATTATTTCCATTTTTTTATGCAAAGACAGTTGATAAGAATAAATACTGCTCGTGGCTCGTGATTTTTTTTCTCAACCATCTTAGCATTAAAAAATTGTAAATACTTATACTTTAGAGAAGTGGTTTTTTTAATAATATTTTTATTAAGAGTTCCTAATACTAAGTCCCTAATAAAAAAGATTATTTTCTACTTTGTGAACTTTTATTCTTTATTTTTAAAGTTTTTCTCTGATATTTGAATACAGTCAAACTTCCAATAAGCAAACACTTGGCATTGGGATTTGGTCTGCTTATTTGGGAAACTTTGAATGTAAATATAAAAATAATATCATATTACAATATCTTTGGACTGATCGGCCACCCAAAATAAGCAAGTAGCTGTTTAAAAGGACTAAGCCATTTTTTTAAAAATATAAATATATATCTGTACGAGCAAATGCAGCGGCCAAACTTCAGATTTAAATATATTGAAAACTTTCCATGGAAAATAAAATAGAAAAGCATTTTTTTAAACTTCTGATGGATCACGTATTTGGTCATAGGAAACAAAAATTAAGATCTTCCTAGCAAGACGTGTATTGTTATTTTATTTCCCATGACCACATATCTGATCCATTAGTAATAGAACTTCGCAGGTCAATCCTTCTTATTTACAAAATAATTCTAGTATAAGATTTTCCAATAAGTTTTGTTTACCTTTGTACTTCTACAGATGCTAAAGTCTCGTATGCAAATCCACACTTGGGATCAATTTCGATTGCCTTCTGCATTTCTTTTACTGCACCTTCCACATCTCCTTTCCACTGGAGGTAAAGAAGACCTTAAAGCGAAAAAAAAATATAAAATTTAATTATATTATAAAAATAAAAAAGAAGAAGAAATGCGTCACAGTACCTCTATGAACGAGAATGCTAGAATTTGTAGGATCTGAACTGATTGCTGTGTTCATAAGTACTTCCGAAGCTTCAAACTCTTGAAGTTCATTGTAAATCTGAATAAGAATTAATTTATTTTATTTGACTTAAAACATGCATAGATGTACAAATAATTTTTTGCTCCCATTGTCACTGCAGATGATCAAATGGTTAGGTTGTTTGTGTCCAAGCATGTAATAGTAGTAAAATTTTGTAGATATTCTGTCACTGATTTTGTTTGTCAGATAAGTTTCAATAATTCACAAAGTTTAATAGTCTATGAAAGATAGTGTAATGTCAAAACGACCAAAATACAGGTTCATCAGCATACAGAACACAACACAATAAATCTCATATTATTATGATTATGCCATTATAACCCTAGACTCAATCTGCTGATCTGACAGACGTATTTGGGCATTTCACCACAAATAATTTTTCAGTACATTTTGTCCTGTATATCACTGTATGCCAAATTACAAGGGAACACATGATTAATTGAAGGCTAAGAGGGCAAAATATCTGGAGAAAAGTTCGCTCAGATTTGATGTTCCCTTACCTGGGCTAAAAGTAAATGTCCTTCTACTAAATCAGGATGATCATGTACTATCTGCTTCAGTGCTAGTTTAGCAGCGTTTGCCTTTTTCTTATCCTGCTTTTCAATGTTGATTTTAAATTCTGTGAAGTACTTTTGAATTTGGATTAGCGTGAAATCTGGGCTTAAACTGTGAGCCTTTTCAAATTCTAAAATCGCCTCTTCAGTTTTTTCACTAAGCAGGAGCATCTAAAAGAACAATTCATTAGTTTTTTTTTGTTTTTTATTTCATCTCTTCTTACTTGCGCTTTCAGATGATAAATGTCCGAATTGTTTGGAAGCAACTTTTCTGCGCGATCAAAATCTTCAAAAGCTTCATCTATGTCTACTGACTGCATGTGGAGACTCGCTCTTTTCAAAAGAGCACTGACTACTAACTAAAAGTGCAGATACATTAGAGTATTATACATTAAAATAAGAAGAAAAAATCTTGTTACAGTAACATCTGCATCCGGAGAGTCAATAACATTATCCAGATCAGCCTTCGCGCGAACTGATTCGTTTATCAGCACATTCATCATACCTCTAAGTAAAAGTGCTTCATAATATTTTCTTGAAGGAGGGGCTGAAGTTTCTCTGACTAAGTTTATCTCTTCAGTACATCCTTTCAACACATCTTCATAATTGCCCAACTTCAATGCCTTCTTGGCTAAACAGATGCCACTGTAGAATATTACAAATAATATTATTTATTATTGAAATAACCCTTGAAAATTAACTCAAGAGCTTAAGTTACAGGTTTCTCTATGTACCACTCAAGTGGATTTAAGCATAGAAATTATTTGATTTTAAACTTTTGGTATCAGAAATTGGCATTGTAACCAATTATAATACTAGATGACTACCACTAAAAATAGTGTCTAAGTGTGGTTTCATAACCAAAGCCGAGCTGAGATCACCGGTATAATAATAATATTTCCACAGAAGCTTTCGAATAAGACATGGGTGAGCTGAGCAAAATGGTGGTGTACTTGCTGCAACTTCAAGCAGAATTGGCCACGCATGTTTTTAGACAGATTTAAGTTTAGTAACTTCAAGTCTAAATCAAAATAAACTAAATAAACACAAGCTTTTTTCTTTCTACTTTGATGTATTTTCATTTGTTTCCTATAGAATATATTGGCAAAACAATTTTAGATAATCATTTGCTTATCTCAGCTTGGCTCGTTCTAAGCCAGCTTTGGTATGAAAGGCCTAAGGTCTAATGAGATTACTTACTTCAAATTATTTTCAGTGTCATCAACTTCACTTAAAAAGTCTTTTAAAGGGTCATTGGCAAATGAGGCAAGGTAGTGGTTTATGAACTCTTTAGAAGGCATGACAGTTGGCTTGTTTTTAACATACTTTTTAGCCTCTTCTTGTCCTGATTATAAAAAAAGTATAAGTTTTTCAAAAATGAAAATTATTACTAAAATGTATTTGCACCATATTTCTTTAAAATTCTGTCAGCAGTTGAAATATCGTCTTCGTTTGAAAACCTTTGGAGATAACAGCATGAAGTGATGTCCTCGAGCGCCTGCCAAAGCTGTCCTTTCTTCTCGCATGCTTTGTACCGGCGGTTCAAAGCTTTCAAGTATGTTGGCTTAAGCTTGATAGCTTCTGTACAGTTCTTAATGACTTCATCAAGGTTACTCTATACAAAAAAAAAAAATCAAAAACATAAAAAACTAATTCTAATTGTACAACAGTATGGTGTACATGCATAAAATTGTACACTTTTGGGAAAATATACCAAAGCATCATATGCAGCAGCCCTGTTCTGGTAAAGAGCTGACAAATTGTCCTTTTCTGTAACGGGGCAAAGATCGATTGCCTCACTATAGCATTTGACAGCCTCTTTGTACTTTCCCTCTTTGTAAAACTTATTTCCATGCTCCTTAAGATGTAATGCTTGGTCCAAAGGTCCCTGTTCGAACATGATTTATTTATTACATAAGTAAACTAAGGAATTTATAAAAAAGACAGCAAACCAAAAAGTGTCTTCAAACCAAACCAACAAGAGAAATTGAAACGATCAAACAATGGACAGGAAATACTGTTTATACTTTGTTGCTGTTAATCTGTTATGTCTGGCGGATATTAAAATTTAATGTACTAATTAACAGTATTTTATATTATTTAATACTTAAAGGCATTTGTCAAATGGAAAATATGTACAATTACACCTACTCACAAATAATGACTACTATCAAGGAAAGGATAAAAAAAAAAACCTTAGCATTGTTAGCATGGTAAATACGAGTAGGAACTTGACCTTTTACTTAAATAGATGGGTGGCCTGGAGTTATTGTGAAAAAGAATCGGCCCCTTACGGTTTGGTTTATCAACGCTGGACAAATACGTTGCAGTTTCCTATGCATTTTGCCTAATTTCTCTGCTGTGACAGTTTTACCATAATTCAGGAAATTATAGTGAACAAATCCACCAAATCTTTTTTGAGTGGAGATTTGTTTTCAGGAAGTGTTTTGGCGCTTCAACCTTTGCCCATTCACAGATTTTTACACCTCTTGTTATCGTACAGAATCCATTTCTCATCGCACGTGATGATTCGATCGAGAAATGGATGATTTTGGTGGCACGGCAGAAGAGATGTGCAAATTTCAAAGGGTCGCTTGAAAGGCTTCGGGTAGTTCGTACGGTACCAATTGTCGAGCTTCTTTACTTTACAAATTTGCCCCAGTGGCGAACAAAGGTTGAGTGGTCAACAGCTCTTCTGCAATTTCCTGTGCTGTCTTAAGTGAATTTTCTTAATGTTTTGAGTTGGTTGTCATCCACAACAAAAGGCCAACCGAGGCATTCCCTGCCTTCGAGTCAAACTCTCCAAATCGTTTTTGCCATTTTTCATGTAATCAGGATTCAATTCCTAGCCACTTATGAAGTGGCCACGGGGAGCTGTTAATGAAGTGTTACATCTTTTACTTATTAAATGTTAATACATTTATGTTTAGTGGTCTAATTGACCAAATTACTTATTTAAATTTTTTTTCTTTTCTTTACTTGATCGGAATTAGCGTCTGAGTGGATCGAAGCCACAATAGCTCAAGTGGTTAGAGCTGCGGCGTTTTGAGCCAAAAGTCGTGGGTGCGAATCCCGCTCATGACACATACTTTTTCATCTTGACCAAGACCTTACATAAAAAGAATAAACCCAATAATACTTCTTAAAAGGATTAAGTCAACTGCCTGAACTGTGGAACTAGGAAGGTACAATAAGCCAGAAGCTGCAGTGCCTGAGGTGCACAAACTCCACTTCCTGGTATCCATCATTATCATCATCATCAGGTATCCTACTATCTGAGTTGTTTCATGTCTAAGTTTTAATTGGATAAATTACATTGAAAGAGCGATTTGCTTGCGTAACTTCATAGATTTGCGGTTATTTTATGCGAAGACATGTCCAGTTTGAAAGGCCTCGTTTTAAAATTGTTGTTAAAACTGTAGACTCTTGGTTAATGGAATGAAAATTGTAAAAATAAACTTACATTTGCAGTGGTAACTGTAGAGTGGTTGTTTTTGGGCAGTTCTTGCTTCAATGCGTCCCCGGACTGAGGGGCGACTTCTTCCTTTTTCTTCGTCTTACCACTTTTAGAGCTGTAGTAATAATATGCGCAGCCGATCGTCGGGAATCCGATCAACAAGGCGATCAGCCATTTCGACCAGCTTTGCTGAGCCAGTGAATATTCGCCGCTCATTGCACCGAACGACTGGTTACCCGGCTTCTCTGGGCTCGTGGAGTGACAAGATTTCTCGCCTTTCTTCGTACAGAAGGTTATCTCGCTGATTGTAGGTTGCAGAATCCACCTCTACAAGCATTTTCCGTCTGCCTCGATCCGTCTCATCGAGCTGATTTAGTGATTCTTTATCATATTTTCAACGTGTAATTTGTCACAAATATTTTTTTTCTCCATGTCTCAATATAATTTGTATTTTTCCCATTGAGACGTATGTTAAGGTTTACATTATGACGTGACGACCGTGACAGCTGATAAGACCTTACCAGTTGGAACTCAGAATCCCTCTACTTTCTAGAGCATTGCTTTTCCTTTCAACAATATTTTTTATAATTATTAACAAACTCTTATAGGAAAGATATATATTTTAAGTCGTTTTAAATAAAGAAAGTGATAATAAAAATCATTCGATTTTTCTAAAGAGGACATGGAAAATGGAAGACAACAACGATAACTCTTGGTAAGTTTATCTGAACGATTTCTTCTATATACATTTTCCTAATTATATAAAAAAACATCCTTTACAATTATTAAAACTGCTTTATATAAACACATTTTAAAACCATCTACTTATAAAATAACAGCTTAAAAAAATTATTGTTTTAAACAAAAATAAACTCAAACAAGTATAGTTCGACATGAACAAGTAAAAAACCCATATTACAAAATTGTGGATAAAAATATGATTTTGTGGATCTTGAAGTGTTTTTTTATCAGTTGTAAAAGCTGATAAATTGATAAGAATCAAGAATCTCACGTTTTATTAGCAAGGTGTCCCAACAAGTTTGTTTACTTTAAGATGGTCAATTAATAAACAACAAAATGGAAGTTTGTTTTATGTTCGGTTGTATATTTGAAACGATGATATTTCACCGAGTATAATAAACAAAACTTGTTATGATTAGTAATGAAAATATGTCTGAGAATCAGTTCAGTACTGTCTTAAGCTGTCTTAAGAATACAGATCTTTTTTGTGTTTTTATATATTCATGAACGAGGAAACAAGGCCAAAATGATCATTACTGAAACAGTTTTCATCACAATAATATTATAATTTTGGTTTTGATTAGCCAATTTAAAAAAATACAAATTTTTTATCTAACGAAGAAACTCTTTTGTTTATAATAACTAGAAGTTATTTTTTCTTGGCATTGAAAAGTACACAATTTATTGGTCAGTTCCTTTTGGAAAAAACGTCATTAATAATCCTCTAGGTTTGTTGTGTCTGTTTTTTAATTAGCAGTGAAGAATGTACGTTTTATCAATCTTATAAAAATGTTTTTATTTTATTATTTTATAAATATTCTTTCTAGGATTACAGAATTAGAAACAGCATTAAAGGACAATCCTAACATCGATAATGGAGAAGAAAGTGAGGATTTCATATCTGAAACTCTCAGGCCTGAAATATGGAAATCTTACCTTGACATTTCGACGAAATCTATCTTCTTTGATGAAATATTTGACTTGCCGGAACAGTCCATTCTTCGACAGGACTGCCAAAATTTTGTAGGTACGTGTAACACAGTTTTTTTATATTTAAACAAAAACCAATACTTGGTGTCTTAAAGTTGTTGATTTTTAGCAAAGTTAGGCAATGTCGAAGAGGAAAAAGTATCAGTTCTGTCAGACCTTGAATCGATTCTTACCTACCATAGGAAATCTATTAATAAGCCTTATGAAACTGGAAACGGATGGATTGAACTCCTTTTGCCTCTCATCGCCCTGAAATTGCCAAGATCAGATACTTATCTTCTGTTCGAAGCAGTAGTCACTAAGTACGTTCCAAGAGGGCCATCAATCCACCACCTCTTCAATTTAATTCTGCTCTATCACGATCCTAGCCTTTATTCTTTCTTGGACACTAAAAGGATAACACCTGAACAATATGCTACAACTTGGGTAATTAACCCTATACAATTAGTCTTTCACTTTTTTTTCCTAATTCAATTAGATTTATTTATTTTTTGTTCAAATTAGTTTCAGACCTTATTCGCAGGAAGTTGTAGCCTTCCAGCAGTAACTCTAATGTGGGATCTGTACTTTCAACAAGGAGATCCATTTTTTATCCTTTTTCTCGGCCTTGTCATGATAATAAATGCCAGGTAATTTTATTATTTATATTTTAAACATCAGCTTTAACACTTTATACATACTTGAGATTTTATGGTGAAATGTCACGAGTTCTTCAAGGTGAGTTTGCACCACAATCTCTGATCGACCTGATATGCCAGTGAAGGCCCATTGCCATTTCAATATTTTAAACTAATAGTGATTTCTCTGTGTTTTTATGAGGTGTTGAACCTGAAATTTGATAGTTACCAAGCATTTTTGTTTCTCTATCCTTGCTGGGTTGGTCTGTCAGACGCATTTCAGCATTTTGCCATTTTCTGTGTCTCATGATGACCCAGCAAGGATAGGCAGACCAAAATAAATGTTAATGTCGAAAATATGCTGACAAGACCAGTGTAAATTGTTAGAAAAATTTTTGTTATTTTTTGCAAGCGTGCTCACAACAACAAAACGACAAATATAATTTTTCTACTAATCTGTTTTTTCTTCATTATTGTTGTCCTTCTTTTTCTTTTTATAATTTTTTTTTTGTCTTTTTGTTTAAAATTAATTAATTATATTATAATTAATAAATTTTGTTTATTTTATTTAAAAAACACCAACAACAAAGCTTTAAAAACGTCCATTGAGTTCGAACCCAAGACAATCTTACAAACACACTACACGTCAAACTTTACCTTACACAGGGATGTGTCGCTATGTCAATGCTATACCAGTCTTTTTTTTAGTGTTTGAATTTCAAAAAGTGTTTATGTTAAATAAGGATCTAATTTTACATTTTTATTTGTTATTTTATTGAATTGTTGGTAGTTAAAGCATTGACATGGCACTCATCACTGTAAGCACTGAATTCAAACTTAACATACTTACAAATGATTTTTCTCAAAAACACCAGTGGCACCTTGGGGGTTGATGTTATTTCTGCTGTTGTGAACCCCCAGGGTTTTACGAAAGTGTCTGAATTGACTTCTTGTGATTTTGAGGACAAATAATATTTGCATGCCTGTGTAGTAGTGAAGTTGGATATGAAGTCGGGAGCTTGGGCAATGGTTGTTCAAAGGATTTTGGACTAGTGTCACTAAATTCTTTGGAGGTTGGAACTCTTAGGAACCCAGTTTTGATTTTGTATGTCCAGATTTGTTGTAGTAATGATGTTGTTTTGTACTGAGTGTTTTGAACTGTTGTTAAGCTTGAGTAATTTATATCACCTGTCCAGATCTATGTTGACTTCTATATAGTTGAGTGTGAGAGTTCCTAGTCTTTTGTGGATGTAAAGTCCCATGTCAGATAGGTGATGGTGGCCGCAACGTTTAAAGGCGTTTTCCAGCAAGATGACTCATTACTGTAAGGTAAAGGTCCAGTGGCCCTGAATTCGGACTAAACATACTTACAAATGGGCTTCTTAAAAAAGTTTAGTACAAAATAGCAGAAATTAGTTGCTGGCTTCTTTCAGTCTTTCTTTCTTTGTGTTTTTATTATTACTATTTTTTAGTATTTAATTTTCAAAATGTGTTTCTTTTAAACAGGGATTCAATTTTACTTTTAAAAGACAAAACCAAAGATGTGATCGTCAATACATTATCAGCCTTGCCTTCATCCCTTCAAGAAAGTGATGTTCAAGATTTTTGCTCTCTGGCACAAAATTTCTCCTGTAGGACGCCTGGTTCTTTCCGACAGGTTAGTTAATAAAGCATTTTTGACCATAGAAATATTATTTATTTTTGGAATTTTTTTAAGGATTTAGAAAGAGTGTTGTTTGATGACGAGGATTGCCCAGCAGCTACAAAAGCCATCACTCAAGCACTCTGCTTGCCTGTGAATGTGTCTGAGCTGGTTGATAATATATTCATGCCACAGGAACTCAGTGTTGACAATGTCCGTTTTTTTCTTGTCGATTGCAGATCGGCAGAACAGTATAATGCCGGGCATCTTCCGACTGCATTCCATCTAGATTGCAATTTGGTAGATCTTAATAAGTTTTTTCTATTTTGCATATTTATTTAATGAGAATAAACTGTTTAGATGCTACAAGCAGGAGATGTATATAAAATGGCAGTACAAGGTTTATTGTCCGCTCAGAAGCAAGCACTAGACGCAGGTTCAACTGCAGGCGGTGAACATCTTTGTTTTATGGGGTGCGGTTATTTAGAACAAGATCAATATACACACATGGTAGTTGCATCTTTCTTGAGAGATTCTGCTCAGTATGTATCCATTCTCAATGGTGGATACCATGGTAAATTATTTAAAAAATAATAATAATAAAGATTAGATGTGTAACACTGATTATTTGACAGCGTTACACCAGTACTTTGGAGATTCTATCGATCAGATGTTAGCCGATCATAATGGAGAAGCTTGCATTGTCTGTCTTCAGAACTCTCCAAAAAAAGAAAACCAGGTTTCTAATTCGCAAGGCATCCAATCACCATCGAGGGATTTGTTTGAGAAAATAGGGTAATTAAAGGATTTGACATTCAATCATTTTGTACAAAAATTTTTATACGAAATTTGCAAATCGATTTTTAGAGCTGTCGTCAAATCGAAGAGTGTTGAAGTCAAAGATAAATTATTGGAGTATATTGTCAACCCTGGAGCTAGCGATGTAGAAAGGCATGTGAAATCGACTGACAAAAAGGGGAGGAGGTATCGGAATGTAGCTCCAGTTTTCAGCATAGATGACGAACAAGAGCCTCAAGGTTTTTATATATCCATTATATTTAGTGGTCTGATTGACCAAATGACTTCTTTCAGTTAATCTTTTTATGTAAGATCTTGGTTGAAATGAAAAAGTCGGCAGCCGAAGGTCGTTGGTTCAAATCCTGCTCGTGACACTAAATTTTTCATTTCAACCAAAACCTTATATAACAATTTTTTTATATATTTTTATTCAAATAAATTTAAGGCCGAAGCCCAAACTAAAAGGGTAAAAAAACACAGATTTTAACATTTTTAAACTTTATCTAATTTCTTTCCTCAACTGGCTAGCATTGTTATTATTGTTATTGTTGTGTATTTGAATGTTTCACTACATTGAGTCATTTAGTAAACATAATGCTCCCCCTTTTACTCGTTTTTTCTTTGCCTTTTTTAAGTCATGAAATTCTGATAAATGTGAGACATTTTAACTCGTTGATTGCAACCTATGGTTGGCCAATTTATCACGTAAAATAGGTCTCTGATACTTAGCAGGTGAAGTGCAGGGAGTTTTTTTTTTAAATATAAAATATATATTATAAAGGCATACAACCATGATGGGTCAAAACTGCCTTGACGATGAATTAATCGTAGGGAGAAGAAGACAGAGAGCGATAGGCCAGGAGGGCAGGGACATCAAGAGCGGGCGCACCCCCACAGCGAACCGGACACCACAAGACCAGGCAAGAACCAGACACCCAGACCAGCTCCTCCCACACAAGACCTTAGTGGTCAAGAGACAGTGGCAGACTTCTCAGAGGGCTGCGCATGGTGTGCCAGCATCCGCAGCCCTCCTAAGTTCCGGGGTTCAAACTCAACTCAGAGGCCAGCCCTACCCACCCCTGACACCGGCCCCCCAGGAGCCGCGCCCGCACCCAAGGCCGTCCCGCCCTCCTACTCATTGTTATTCACAATTTATCGGTCAACCCAGATTCAGTTAGGAACTCAAAAAGCTTTTTAATGTTAGCTTGGGAATCTTTCAAAATTTCGGTCACATTGTTTCCAAGCTTATGTTTGACCCGAAGGTCTTCGTAGTTTCTACATGTTGACAGAATATGCTTGATGGTGATTATTTCACAAGTTGTGCATCTTGGGGGAGGTTCTCTGGACAGGGAGAGTTTAAGAAATATGAATGGGAAAACAGATTGACTGAATACTCCACTCAGAAAGACATTTGGCATGACACACATGTTCCACACAGTCAATAATAAAAGCCCCTTAAACACAAAGCAACATAAGCTATCATTTACATCACTTGCTTATTATGCGCATAATTTGTATATATTGAATAATAAATAAAATATTTTACTGTAGATTTAGAATGGGATGTGCAGGAAGAAGATGAATATGAATTTAAATTAGTTTCTCTATCATCTTGGAGAGAAAGAAATGATATAATAGCGATATTTGAATGTTATGAAACGAAATCGAATCAAGAGACTTACAAAAGGTATTATATATATTGTATCCATTTATGAAAATTATGACAGTAAAATTTTTCGTTGCAGTGAACTTCTTATAAGCAAGACACACATATATGTTCTGAGGCATACAAATAAAAAGAATACAGCAAAATTAGTCGTGCGAAAGCCTTTAACGTCCATAGTGAAAATAACTAGTAAAAAGCGTTGCGAGGGACTTATTACTTTTAAGTATGGATCTTCTAAAGATGGAAACTTGGTCATACAGGATATGGACAGGTAATGGGAGAGTTTTATTTGTTTATTTATTTATTTTTTATAACACGTGTGATTTTCGCTTTTTACAGTTTTTACATCCCACAGTCTAAACAGGCAACAACAATAATCATGAACCAGATATGCGAGAGGTTTAAGGAACTGAAAGAGAAAGGTGATTCGGAAGATTCATAACAAACGTTAGCAACCATCAATTAACCAAAAACTACCATATTTTTAATAATTAATAAGTACTTAAGTAAAAGATACACTGGAGAGGTATTATTTGTAAATGTAATTTGATTGTGTACATAATTTTAAACAGTGTATAATAAAGAGCTAGTTTATTTTGTGCCAATTCTGTATAAAAAAGATTTTTCCCCCTTACTTGAAATAAAAGCTATACCACTTAAATATTTTGTTCTCGTTTGGTTAATTTTAAAATTACGCAGTATTTAAGTTTGTTAATTTTTAAACAATCTAAATGATTTATTCAATGTGTTTATTAATGTTTTGTCTGTACAAAATTCATTCCATCTTGTAAAGTGAACAGATTTTTCTAACAAATATTGTTTTCTTTATCACCTTGTAATTGTAATTGTAAAGATAATAAATTGTTCATTATCTTTTAATATAGATTTTTTTGTAGTATAATAAAGGGAACCTTATTAAGCACCTGTTGTCATATTTTATCTGCAGTGTTTTCCAATTAATGTTTAAATATAAAATTATTGAGTAATTGAGGATTCGTACGTATAAAATGTGGCATAAACTTCTCTGAATGATTAAGACTTATTTTGTGAGAGTGGAAAAAAATTAGTAGCCCTTTCAAGGAACTGTAATTATTACAAAGATACATGTATTAGTTTTTTTTTTTTTCTGATATTGTTTTATATTTTCCTGAAGAAAATTGTGTGATAAATAAAAATATAATTTGTAAAATAATAAAGGTTGTTCCTACAGTCTGTACTAATGTAGAGATTAGTGTTTCATTTCTGTACATAGAAAATTAAAAGCTTATACATACGTATTGTTTTGATATATTTTCTTGTTCCTCCTACTATTTTATCAAAATTCTTTAAGCATTAGTAGAAATTAGGTAGACAGTAGGGGCTTAACGTCCAACTACCTACTGGGTGTCATAGACGAGGGGTTAAACCACATTTTTCATATCATTATTAATTAAAAAGCCATGGGTTCTGCCGGGATTCTAACGCAGAACCACTAGCATGGCAAATATAAGCTGGACATCCTAACCACTAGCAACCGCGGTCCCCCATTAACAATATTCATATAAATACTTTGGTTTGTATATTGTTAAACAAGAAAGTCTATATTTCAACAAGAACCCTTACAACACATAGATGCCGTTTCTGATTATTTCATATTGAAAGCTGGTCTTAATATGAGTTAAAGTAGATAAGTTAGAAAGTAAATAATAAAGATGCTTTTCCATAATGTATCATCATCTTTTGCAATGAAAAAAGTACAATCAGGGTCAGAATTTTCTACTTCATCTTAAGTAGGAGATTGTTCTGATTTGTTGACGTGATCATCATGATCTGTATATCATTTATTTCTTCTGCTACATTGTCACTAACATCTGCAAAATCTATAAAATCGACCTATTCATGCAAAAATTATTGGAGAACTCCCAAGATTTTTTCAGATTTGTTATACAACTTTTCAGACCTACAACAAATTAAAAGATCAAATAAAACTAAACTTATAGTTATAACCAAGGAAAAATTAAAATATAATCACCTAACACACAATATTAAAGATGATTATACTCATAGGAGGCACGAGCAGTTTGCAGTTCTGAAGAGTTTTCTCTTTAACGACTATGTAACGACAGAAATAAAGACAAATAAAGCAAAGCACTTGTCACTCCCAATCCTTGAAAAAAGTAAAAAACCAATACTAACCACTTTTGGCACAATCGGAACAAAAGTTCAAAAATACAAATACAATAAAAACGAAATAGTGGTATACAGTACCTCTACACGCCCGCTGCAAGATTACTTATTTTTTGTAAAGATTTCAATTCTATCCTAATACTTTTTACTTTATATTAAATGATTTAGGCCTACTTATTTAACCCCTTATTTTTATAATTTGGTCGTTTTTATTCTGGTAGGCCTAGCCTCAATGTGTTTGCTTTGGCATTTTGACTTTAGTGTAAGTCTGTCGATGCCAAAATGCTGAAATACGTCTGGCAAACCAGGATGATCAATAACGACCAAATTACATGTTCATCACCCTGCAGATCAGACAGAGAAATCTCACTTCTCTCTAAGCCTGACACTTTTCAAGGTCTATATATAAGAAACCTTTGACCTGGGTTCACCTAAGTGTTTTGTACTTACTAAGAAAGATGTTCAAAATAATAAATACAATTTGTTGTGGAATATATAGTTTTTATTAAATACGTAATAAAGCATAAATACAATGAGTTCAGGATTTTAATTCTTAGGGCAATTTGATGTTTAGTCTAAAATATAGCAACTTTTGATATAAGCACTATAATTGATAATAAACTAACAGTATTGTTTTTAATTGTAAATGCATTATTAAATGGGAAACGGTACAGGAGAAAAAATAGCCTCCAAATGTAGTATCACAGCCCTTTCCTCGTGAATCTATGTTTTATATTAATTTATTTATTTATTTAATTTTTTTCCTTCATATTATGAATAAGCATATTTTGAGCAGTTTTAATTTGCTTTTGCACATTTGTAGTGGCAATTGCCTAGCAACTGCTAATTAATTAGAAAGCATTATCTATCTGCTTATATATGTAAATAAAAAATTAATCTCTTTAGTATATCATCAAAATTTTCTTAAAAGAGAAAACAAAAATTAAATAAAAATCACCAGGTGATATAAAAAATGTAAAAAAGCCATAATTTGACTAATACTACTTGAAGGTATGCAATTAACCAATAATTCATGTAAATAATTTCATCTGGTCATTTCTACGTTAAGAGTGGCAGAAATGTCATACACTACTGTCATTCAAAGCAGTGTAAAATCTAAAATTCTCCACTTATCTGTATTTAACACGAGAGATTTATAAAAATAACCTCTTGGCAAATCATTCTTATTAAACTAAAATAAATATTTTTTCAATAATTTTAACATATTTGTAACTTTATAAACATTGTGTACATCTTATATACAAATTAATATCAATACTGTACATTTATGAAATTAATTTTTGAATCTTGTAGTAAACACAAATAAAAGTTCTTAAACGTCTGCCTGTACTGGTTTAAATTTAACGGTTGATTTATAAAAAATAACATTTTGCAACAGCTTAAAAGATTACATAGGAAAACAAAATTAGGTGTAAGTGGACCATTCTGTAAAAGGACAAGCATTTTGTTCAGGCACTTGGGTATTTGGGAGATTGAGCAATCCTTGCAGCTCAGTTTCATTCTAGCTTGTTAAATGTGCAAAATCACTGAATGACACAGGGATCCGATAATCTGATGCTTTCAAATTTTTATTGCCAGTTACAGTGTAAAATATCAATCGGTTGCTTCTAAATCTTCATCATCGTCATATAATATTGGCTGACTATCCCTTGGCTTCTGTGAATATTTGAGGCCCAGCTCATCTGCTATTTCACCAATGGTGTCTAGTGCCTGCTCAAGAAATAATATCCTAATAAAAGTTTCTTCGAGTCATTTTTAACATTTACTCACATAGTCTAACTGTTCCTTAGTATGGGCAGCGGATAAACAAAATCGTATCCTACCCTCCATCAAGGGCGTAGCAGGAAACCCAACTCCCACTGTTGCTATTTTTCTTGATGATAAAGTTCTCACAACAGCACTGTAACAAATACAATACAATTAGAATATATTTTTGATTTTCAGCCCATTTTAGACAATGCGGGGGAGGGAGAGGCCACTCTTAATATTTATCCTCCTTTATTAGATAAATTCTAAACTATAATTAAAAACTTCATGTACAGTAGCCAGAACAGTTAGAGTTGACGCAGATAATCAGTACATCCCGGGTTTTCAGCGACACATAATTTGAACCCGACTTTCAATTTTTTTTTTAACACTAGAACCTGGGGGTTGGATATGATCTTTTAGCTGAACAACCCGCAACCAATTTGAGACAAGAAAACTCCCAGTTCCTTCGTCAAGCTTTCAAGTAATAATTGAGATGAGAAATTATTAAATAAATAAATTTGGAATTATTTCTTTCAATTAATTATTATTTTAAGTCTTGGCTGAGATGAAAAAGTTAGTGTCACGAGTGGGATTTGAACTCACAACATTCGGCCTGAAATTATTGTTATTGTTGTTGAAATTATTATTCAAATAATACATTTGTAAATTATTATTAATTCACAATGTTAACAAATAAAGCTAAAAGTTGCAGATCTTATTCTACAACCTATTTGTAAAGTAATTTCTTTTACACAGAAAAGTTTATGTCAAACTTGTTGGATGTGTGTACAAGTCAAATCACTCTAAACATTGTATTTAAAATTATTTTCAAATAAACTTTCAAGGAAAATGCTGAAATTAGAATCCACAACCAAATGTATTGATGGCAAATGCAGAAATCAAATGTCTTAAGACTCGGTCACCATGATTCCCATTCACGGATAATTGTTTTCTAGTGCTAGTGTGGAATACCCTCTGTAATAGATTAAGGATTTGCTGTCAGGAGTTGTACCATTTGTTTAATATTTTTATGACAACCCAAAGCCTCACACTAGGCACTGCATTTCCCAATGTTTGAAAAGGGCTTTCAATCAAACAGCAATAATATAGAGAACTCAACCTAAACTGCCAAAATGTTCTTGGACTGGAAAAACACATTTGGTTCAGGCACACTTTAATTATTGTACAGATTTTTGTATTCTGAAGAGGAAACAGGGCTGTTTTGAAATATATACAATTTACAAAAAGACACCTGGTTGTAACTGTTCTTCACAAAAACATAGCCTACAAGATCTTTACAAAGAAGCAATCTTTGGAATAGAACAATTAAAAATGATATCAAAAATATTCTACTAGCGTAAACAAAACAACCAATGATGCCACACAGTTGAGCGCAATTTATTATAACTTTGCTGGAAAAGTGTCAAAATGAGGACTATATCTGAATGTTATGTTTAAAAAATAAATAAATAAAAAAACTCCTTGCTGAGTTGAGCTAAATTATTTCTGTGGAGGATAAAAACATGTTTGAATTTATATTGAAAATTTTCGCAGATTTATAAAGCCTTTCCAAATTCCTAATGTTGTCTTAAAATTAATCTGCTATAGGAAAAATGAAAAATGGCCACTTTTGCTCCAGTGTGTAGTTACTTACCCAATCTTTGAAAATAAATAAACTAAAAGGGGGATTACTGGAGAATTGTCATTCCCATATATAATCACTCCCATTTGGTGTAATTTCCTTCTGAAATATCTTGTATTCTTTGCAAGCCTCCTGATCCTATTGATGCCTGCAAGTCAAATAAGAATATTTATAATGTTTGTTATATAAACACTGGATATTGAATAACAAACCTTCATTAGTCCCATCTTTTCCCATTATAACACTCATTGAAGTTATTATCTGCTGAGCGACTGGTGGTGCCATCGATGATGCGTAACACGCAGCATGACTGTTCACTCTTATAAAATTGATCAACTCCTAAAAATTTCAAAATGTTAAAACTTAAATTAATGAAAAAGCAAGAATGGTTATTTTACCTTGCTACCGGCTATGTATCCACCGGCGCTGCCGAATGATTTTGTAAATGTGCCCATAAGTATATCGACGTCATGGGGATCACATCCATAATAGTCAACTACTCCTCTGCCTCTTGGCCCTATGGCACCAATACTATGAGCTTCATCAAGATATAAATATGCCTATGGAGGAAAAGACTCATTATGACGATTTAGTTTTGACAATTAATTATTTATTAACCTTGTACTTTTTCTTCAGTGCGATCACATCAGGTAAGTGTACTATTGATCCTTCCATGCTATAAACTCCTTCAACGACTATTAAAATTTTTTTCCAAGGCTCTTTAGTTTTAGGTTGTCCTTTGACAACTCCTTCTAACAAGTGCTTTTCTAAGCTTTTCATATCTAAAAGAATTAAATTTATGTCAACTGTATATTTCTTTATAATAAAAAATTGATAACATACTATTGTGCTTAAACACTTTGATGGTAGCCCCTGATAGTCTTAGGCCTAAAATAAGCGAGGCATGATTCTTTTCATCGCTCAACACTAAGCAGCCTGGGCTTAACAGAGTTGGGATGTTTAGTGCATTTGTAGCAAAACCCATTCCAAAGACAATAGCATCTTCAACACCCAGAAACTCAGCCATGAGCTTTTCCAGATGAATCTGGAGCTGTGTTGTGCCTAAAAACATTCCGTTTATGTAATAATTAATGGTACAGTTTTATTTAGTTTATGAATTACCTAGCTCATGGCAAGGTGAGCAGGTCGCCCAACCATATTTCTTCAGTGATTGAATGGATTCCTCGGCACATTTACCATTATTTTCAGCAAATCCAAGGTAATTGTAAGAGCCAAGATTCAAACATCTTCTATTCTCCCCTGTAAACCTGTTATCAAGGTATTTTAACTGAAGGTAAATATTTATTACATTATGAATATTTTATTTTAACCATCCCATTAAGAAAGTTCATATATACAGATTCGTAACAATAATAGGAAATAATATTCAAAGTTCATTTAAATAATTTAACTCACTCGAATGTCCACCCATAATCATGAGTGACTCTCTCTTTGACAACCACTTCAGCACCAGGGACACTGCATATCGGTTTATTCCAACAATCCCTCACCCGTCTGTACACATAACGAAGGTAAAACCTTTCAAATCTGTCATAAAGTGGGACGTAACCCTGGAATAAAATGACAATAAAGTAAAAGGCATTACATTAAGAAATTTTCCTTGATTATCTTACATCTCTGTTCATCTCTGTTGCTACTTTAGGCGAGAAAAAGAGCTGATTTACATAACCCAAGAACATAAGGATGTAGAAGCCAAGATAAGTCATGACAGCAGTGTAAAGAGGCACTTGCTCAAAGGACTCCTTGGAGAGACTCTGAGCTCTGAAAAGCTCACCATTTCCCCTTACCTGGAGATTAATTAAATCACTAAATACTTTTCACTATTCAAGAATTATAATTATTTTTTTTAAACTACTAAAGTTTTAGTTGATAAAATCTACTGCTGTAGGTAATGGTAGTAAACCAAACGAAAACTAAGTTTTAAAAAGTAAAGCGATAGCCCAGAAGGAATGTCAAAGGATTTCTATTCTACTATTTTTAGACTGAAGACAAATCATGGCCTATGGGGTAGCTACAAGAAGAGAATCGGTTTGGCATCGTCTCCGAACTGTCCCACTTGCAATTGCCCTTCAAATCCTTCCCACATAATTTTTGAATGTCCAGAATATGAAAATGAAAGAGACAAACTGCTAAAAAATCTGAGCAGTCCCAAACATTTCAAAATAGAATCTGTCCTAATAACAAGCAACCCATCAGCTTTCAACACAATCTATGGATTTCTAAAGTCCATAAACGTTTCTTTTTGATTATCTTCAAGCATGAAAATTTAGAAGATGAGAAGATGATGGAGCTGAATGAGTGGTGTGGGCGCGTGGCGGGGACCTGGCCCTGGTCGGCCGATCACGTTCGACAGTAAAATGAAAATAGAAGAAAGCTTCATGGGTAATATGCCAGCGTAAACAACAACAAAAAAAAAGTAAAGCTAGTTCTTTGAATAAGTTTTTATTATTTTAATGTCTTTGTTGTTTTATTTTAGCCTTCAATTTTAGACTCAAGCCATGTCTACCGATTGAATATGAAAGAACAATGGAAAAAAACCCTGAAGAAAAATATGCAAAACTGCCTGAAAAGTGTACCCTGCTTTTTACAGAATTCTATTATGAAAAGCCTGTTTCTTATCAGACAGAGAAAGTGATTGTTTATAGAAGCAAATGTTACTCATGACTCAACCGCATTTGTTGTTGCATTCCAAGATTTGTATTTTTTATCTATTTTATAAATGACAGCTTAAAGTTAAAATAGGTTTACACATTTTATGTCAATGTTCTCAAGGGGGGGGGGGTCACTAAATACCCAAAAATAAAACAAAGAACATTGCAACATGAGTTCCAATTATGATCAACTTACGAACTAAAAGTACAATTTAATAAGTTCATATTTCAAGAATTTTGGTGTTGTTTATTTATTTATTGTTTTTTACTCAATGCTTTGATGTTCTGGAACAGGAAAATATTAAAGTGAAACAATATAATGCAATATCTAGACACTAATTGTCTGGTGGCTTTACATATAAGAAAAACAATCTAAAATCAAATGCCGTTGAATACAAAGGCTGACTTGTCTTTCAGGGAATGTTGACGACGCCAAATGATGAAGGACGTCTAAAATGTCCTTCAACTTGATTATTTCATAACAGGGGAAACAAATAATGCTTTTTATAAATTGCAATATCGAATGAAAAATCCTTGGTGGTCATCACAAAATTCAATTAATCCTCAATATTTGAAATATGGATGATCAACATTCCTTTCTATATAGATAAAACCTAGCATTCCTAGCAGAAATACATCCTGGAAAGACAATAACTTGTGAAATCAGAAAGCGCTCAAGTTATGATTTATAAATAAAACAATGATAAATGCGAAAAACTTCCTGGCCAAGAATAAACAAGTCATTATGAATGGTAAGGAATGGAGTGAAAAATTAGTAAAAAAAAAAGCAAGAGATGTATATAACTTGTGCTACCCGAGCCTAAATTCCTACATACAAAAGTAAATCTACTTTTAATTGACTATATCAAATTGGGAGAATACACCCAAATCAAAATTAGCCAGAGCCATTATATAGTAGTGATCAAACTTCACTTAAATTAATTTTTTCACATAGAAATAATATTTTTGCCTTTGACTAAGCATTTGCATCTGAAGAAACATACACACATGGTATGCTTTATTAAATAATTTATGAACAAAACCAAAATTGAAAAATTGAACTTTTTTTATGACTTTATGTTTTTGCATATTAGCCAAGAGTATGCATGAACAGAATATTTTCTGGAGGAATGAGAGGGGTCTATTAGCCAAGAGTATAACATAATTAACCACTCATCCACTACGGTCCTCAAAACTAAATTTTTTTAAACCTTTTAAGCATTAAAAAACTGAAATATGAGTGAAAGTTTGGACATAAAGGCCAAAATATTAATTTATAATTTAAATTTAAAAAATAAGTAAATAATCATATTTTATTGTTTTATTGTTTATTTTTGACATAGGGTATAGGTCGAAAATAAAAATATAAAAAATTAGATAAAGTGATAAACAAGGCAGAACATTGATAAAGTTAATAGAATATAAAAAAAAGGATGAAGAACATGAATGATAAAGAACTGGCTTACACACTTTACTCACTCTAGTAGAAACAAGACCTATCTGCTGACTTTGTTAAGAGAAAGAAAGGGCAAATTATATTGGGTTCATGGATAAAGGCAAAAATGACAATAATGACTAACTGGATATGTTTGTAAAAAGGATATTAAAGTTGGTAGGTCCAGAGCCAGGCCAAATTATATCAGAAGATAAAGACCTTAAGGTCACCAAATGATCTGTGACCATTCACCTAAACTGGAAAACAAAGAACAAACAAAAAGTAATCTTGTTGGTATTGGAGTTTGGTTGTTTCTAATTATCATAATTATTCACTTTGGCATTTTGTCATTTTCAGTGGTGTGTTTGTGGAACATGGTAGAAAATATAAAAACATAAAGCCGAAATGCATCTGACAGTTCATTAGAAAGGATAGGTGAATCAGTAAACTACGACTGCGTTCGTCGCGATAGAAACCACCATATACTATTGCTAATATACATTTCTAAGAATGAACTTATCTTTTTTGTTATTCATCATTTTAATCAGTTATCAATTTATTAGTATATATAAATTTTTATGCAAAGAGATTGAGACCAACTCTGGTGACAACAGATGTCATGGGTTCGAGTTCCACTCGTGGCATTAATTTTCCATCTTAACCTCTTTGTACAAAAATTAATATATTATACTAATAAAATGAACATATCTAAAAATTATTTGGGTGTGAGAAATAAATATTATCCCCAATCAACTTTTAGAATAACAATATAGGGCATAAAAAACCAAATTGGATCCTAAGATGTAGGCCCAAAGATAGATCTGGATAAAAACAGTCATCAAACATGAAATAAAATATTATTAGTTCTTTGCCTTCATCCAATAGAACAAATAACAAGATATATACGAAAACAAAATTCGTCTGAAAGTTTGTATGCTTAACAAAACACAAAAATGAGAAAGATTGATTACGGTATATGTTCCATCGTACTTCACATAAACTCCTAACAAAAACAAAAAACTAAATTATCTTGGGAAACAAGATGTTTCATAAGTTCATAGGCTTAGTGTCTTTAAGCATGGATTTAAAGCATAATCAGATATAGCAGATGATGGGGTTTGGTCTGTGAGTTGGTGAACTCATGTTGAACCGGCACACGGGCACTACTGAGTCTGTGAAGACAGACCCAGTAGTGCCCTTGTGCCGGTTCAATATGATAATCAGATATACATACTACCATCCCCAACTACAACAAAGGCCTTAGAATCACCTATTAAAAAAACAAAAAAACTCGATCGGTCAATACTTTCACCTAGTTGGCCAAAAAAGTGTATTTGTTGGTAAAGATGAGCCTGAAAGTTTGTAGGTTCAGCCCAATCAATAAGCATCGTCAGACTATATCAACAGAAAACCAAGACCTTTGTGAAGTCACACTGCATCAAAAGACTCCAAAACTAAATAATGTGTATGTTCTGCCACCCTTTATCTAAACTAACTCAATGATAACTCATTACTGTGGTAGTGGTTGTTTGTCCAAAAGTCAATGAGCGAGCATAAGCTAAAATGATCTACTTCTCTACTCTCACTTGTTGAAATGGTTAAACAGAGCTAGTACAGAAAACAAAATGACCTGGTCTTTTTGTTCATTTCTTACGACAATTTCTTATCATAATTGAACGCTCATTTCTTAAGATAATTAAAACAATTTCAATTATAGACAGATTTGGATGCATACTCCAGGATCATTTTACATGTATTCTGATCCTAGTCATTTAGGTAAAAGACTGACAGAGTATAGGTAAAACATTAATTAATTTTGTTTTACTGAGTAGTACCATCTACTGAAAACGTAGAAGGAATTTAGAAGTGAGATCAACGACTTCTAACAGACCTACGATTGACCCCCTTATTTTAAATAAATAAATTCTAAGCAAAATAATACACAGGCTATTGGAATACCGTTTATGTTAAACTTTTTTATAAATTTAAAAATAATGTGTTTCAGTTTTACATTCTGAATTACAAGACAAGCACGCTGTTGCTGTTTTTTGTCGTTTTCAATTGGGCTCAATCAACGTTGAATTCCTGACGAAAGTCATTAGTGAAAAGTATGAAGTAAGGTCGCTATCAATGGAAGTCAATCATGGGAAGTTGATGTCATCCGATTGAATTTTGAAAACCTACTTGATTCGTTAATCCATTTGCTCGAAGACCGTTTTTCTTAGTTTCGCCTTTTTTTACATCCTTGGCCCCGTTCCTGTTCCTAGCCCCGGCCACATCCTCCAGGAAGTCTTCTCTCATTTTCCACCTTTCGACGACTACGAACCGGAGAATGTGAGAAAACAAGAGTTCAGAGGATCGCCGGGTAGACTCCCCGTGGATCCTCCCTGTTTTGAAGTCAGATCGGTGATCTCAATGAAGATATCTGACCAAATTGCGTCACCAACCTCTCAATGGATAACCGTCAGATGTTCTCCAATGACCAGTGATCTGCAATGATCAGGGAAGTGTCCTTTTTTTCTTTTCTCTAAGAAACCATTACCACCCTTCCAAGGACAACATTCCTAACGAAAGGACAAACTTTCCTGCAATCCCCTTATATTTAAACACTTTACCCTCCAACTCACCCATTTAAAAAAAATTTAACAATCAATTTAGAATTTTAAAATACAAAACGTTCAATGGTCTTGTGCACTAATACATTTGAGTCCATGTAATTAAAAGACCTCAGACCTACTTGTGTCACTGATCTGTAAATGGATAACAGTCATTAGTTCTCTGATGATCAAGAAAGTGTCCTTGTTTTAGCACTCTTCCAAGGACACCCTTCTACTATCTAGCGAAAAGCCAAACTTTTCTCGCAACCCCCTTATGTTTAAACACTTTACCCTCAAAACTCACTCATTTAAAAAAAATAACAATCAATTTAGAATTTTAAAATACAGACTGTTCGAAGGTCTTATACACTAATACATTTGAGTCCATGTGATTAATAGACCTCAGATCTACTTGTTTCACGGACCAGTAAATGGATAACAGTCATTGGTTCTCTGATGATCAGTGATGATCAGGAAAGTGTCCTTGTTTTACCACTCTCCCAAAGACAGCCTTCTTTCTACTGTCTAGTGAAAGGCCAAACTTTTCCCGCAATCCCCTTATATTTAAACACTTTACCTATAAAACTCAATACTATTTTTTTTTATCAACAAACAATTTAGAATTTTAAAATACAGAAGTTCAGTAGTCTTGTACACTAGTATAGTTGAGTTCATATAATTGAAAGACATCAGATCTACTTGTGTCACGGACCTGTAAATGGATAACAGTCATTAGATCTCTGATGATCAGGAAAGTGTCCTTGTATACCATTCCAAGGACACCCTTCTACTATCTAGCCTTTTCCCGCGATCCCCTCATACTTAACACTTTTCCCACAAAACTGAATGCACTATTTTTTTTTTTAAATTAACGAACAATTTAGAATTTTAAAATACAGAAAGTTCGATGGGCGCTAATATATTTCAAGAATAAGTCCTGGCAATTGAGAGAGCGCAGATATATTTCTGCCACGGACCTATTGATGAATAACAGCCAGTTCTTCCTGACGACCAGTGATCAGTGATGATCAGGAAAAGGTCATTTCTCTTTAGGAAGCCATTACCGTCCTTCCAATCGCACCCTTTCTATTATCAAGCGAAAGGTCAACCTTTCTCTGGCATCTCATATATTTAAATATTTTCGCCATAAAATTCACAAACAACTATAAATAATAATAAATAATAAATTGCTAATTTTACGATTTATGTAAAAGTTTTACATAATTGATTAAAATTTTGAAATCAACTATCGTCGGTCGAGTGTTCATGGGTACCTACACAAATTCTATCTATAAATTCTATTATACATTCAACATCATAAAGTCATACTTTCAATGGCAAAGACAAGAAAGTACAAAATTGGTGAATCGTATATTAATTACGTTCTTTTTTTAAATTACTGAAAGTTCCACGGGCTTGCCACATCTTAGACTATGCCCATGCCTTGGCATGTAGAGATGTATTCAATTCAATCTCACCAGAAAATACCAAAAATTAAAAAATATCTACCATGCCAGGTAGCAAATAACCATCAGGGCATTGTACTCGAATTTCACAACTCTTGGTGGTACTGAATTGCAAGATCTTATTTAAATAATGTAGTTTAGTAATACTAAATCTAGACTGGTGGGGGAAACTGTAGATCTTATCAATAGGTTCTCTTCTAGGTAACCCTGATTTGGATACTAGCACTTAAAGGACACCATGGTAATGAAAAGGCGGATGGCCTGGCCCAAAGAAGATTCTAATACTGCGTTTGTCGGGCCACAACCGGTATTACCTCACTCTAAGCACAACGAAAGAGAATATTAATAACCGGGGCATGAAACAATTCATCCCCCGGACACAGGCAATCGAAAGAGTTTGTTATGGCGATCAAACCAGCAGAATCGAAATGGCTATTCTTTATCTCAAGGAAGGGAATTAGGAGGCTGATAGGTATTCTGACGGGCCACTGCCCACTGAGAAGACACCTCTCCGTAATGGGTATTCTACCAGATCCCTTTTGCCGCTTATGCGAAAGAAAAGAAGAAACGGCAAGGCACTACCTCACAGAGTGTGATAGGTATGCTATGTCTAGATTTGAAATCTTTGAAGGAGAGGACATCACCAAATCACTCCTCGAGATTAAATGGTCCACAATGTTGAACAGGTGAAAAGGTCCAAGAGATTTATGCAGGACACGTGAGCCGGCCAAGTCCCGAACCTTTTAGGGATGGGGTACGAGTCTACCCAGGCATTTAACCCCTCGGGTCTTGGTCACTCCTGCATATATATATAAAATCTTCTCATCATCTGCAATGCTGATAGACCAAAACAGAGTTAATAGGCAGACCAAAATGTTCGAAAAAAGCTAAACTGCAGGTTCATCATTCCTCAGACCCCAAGAGGAAAATCTCGCCTTTACTGTCCTGGAAATGTAAATATTTTAATGAGCATATTGATCCTGGAAGATTTGAAAACAAGTAAATGCCAGAATTTTTAGGAGGAAACAAAGAATTTTAAACTGGATGAACAAAGATTTCGGGAATTGAGCCAAAAAACAGAGGGAAAGCCAAAACACAAAAACAATCCAGCCCTAACGGTAATCTGCGCTATGAACAAAAAAAAGGATTAAATAATAATAATTTAAGAGCAAATCAAGTTGTTTATATTCGAATGCGTTTGTTTCGTGATAAAGGAAAAATAGAGAAAAAATTTTTTTTTCTTAAATAATTCATAACTTTTAAAACTAACGCCCTATTTTCACGAAACGAAGCTGTTTCTCTGAGAAAATAATATACTTTTAGAAATATACGTTTTCTTTTAAAAATAGGTTGTTTAATTTAAAATTTCAAAAATTGTGCCTTGCAATAAATAATTTATAGTACTACCAATGGGTAGTTATTCACTCTAAAATGTATTCTTTTTGCAAGGGATTCCGGTTCGAGTATGTACAGTAAACTACAGATTAAAATAAAGTTTTGATTAACGCTTATTAAAATATCCATATGCAATGTTTTTAGAAGAAATAATGTTTGAAATATGCAAAAAATATACAGTTTTCTTTAAAAAAAAAAAGGGGTTTAAGAAAAAGTGGGATAGGCATATAATTTGTCCATTATGAACTGCGGTTACTACACTAGTACAAATTCAGAGCACATATGAGAAGGTTCCTGTCTTGCGAGTCCTTCATGATTTTTTAAAACACTCTTTTATTTGGAGAAGAAAAAGAATAAGAAGTGGACATTATTTTGTCTTCTCTTCAAATTTTAGATTTCCACGTTGTTTATCGAATGCGAATAGCATCTCTAGATTTGTTTCAGTAGGCTAGTGGGCAGGGGGATGGAATCCCTCTTCGCTTTCTACATGTCCTGTCATCCATTTTCTAGTTAGAAACACTCCATGTGAGATTTGGGTCATCAGCCTCCTTGGCATCGCTGCAAGATGACAAGTTGATACAAATTCAACTGGGATGCAATCCTAAGCGATGGTGGTTGAAAAATGGTGATTAGTCTAAAGAATTTTCTTTTTTCTTTGAATGAACCATTGTAGTACGTGGGTGATGGGATACACGTACGATGACTCAATAATATTTACCGTTTTCCCGCTATAAGAGTCTATAAATATCATTCCAGGAGTGGAATACGCTTTTTTTATTACATTACTATGTCTAAGGTTATTAGACATAGTCTCTCTTCAGACCAGTCATGACTGCCTCCTTGAATAGGTCAGTTTTTCGTTCCTTTTATTCCAGCATGTCCTTTGGTTCATATATTGTAGGGACTCAATTTTCATTTATCTCTGCCATAAGTGATCTAATTGTAAAGGTGATTTTTGAGCTTTTGGCATTTGGAGCTTTGGGAATCCGAGATTATTGTGGATTTTCATTGTTGAGGAACAAGTTAGGAGCAATTGAATTTACTGATAGTTTCGAAGTACCTTGCGTTCGTATTCCATTGGGCTTTTTAGCGGTTCGAATTTAATTGCTGCGTAAGCTCAAATTTAGTCGATTCTGACCTAGGAACTGTTAATTAGACAACGCAAAACTATTCTGTATAAGAATGCTAATGTTCATTGTTATTGTGATGTGATCGATTGTTATTTTTTCGTTTCGGTGCCATGGGATATTGAATTTACAAAATTGTTAGAATGGGAATTTGCAGAAGAGTGGAGATGTTTTGATGAAGGCTTTATACTTTCTTTTACCTTGGACAATGTCAAGGTCTCTGTATGGCTGAGTTAACACATAAAGGAGCATTTTAGAAATAAGGCGTAGTCCTCTATTTTACTGCAACTTTATTAGTTTCATTTTGGTGTTGTTGGCTCGACTAGACATGTTGATCTGTTCTTGCTAATTAATTAATTTACTTACTGGAAGTTAGGTTTCTGAATAACCTTAGCAATTATAGTTTCATGGCGTGTTACACGGGATATATTCCTCAAAAGTTCAGTTTTAATATAAAATTATCTGTGTAAAGATAAACTATTTATCAATATATATTGAAGGACAATCAGGGATTAGGCCAATTAGAAAGAAAAAACTGTTCCTTCGTTAAACTTTCGAACAATATAATATTTCTTTAATTAAGACTTTGAACCTTTAATTAATAGTTTAAAAGATTTACTCATTCACATTTTTGAAATCTGTAGTTTCAAGTATAATAAAATAAACATAAAGTACAGATAAAGCTCGATGAAGGAACCGAGTGAATGCTTTTGATACAATTATAATTTTAGAAGGTTAATCACTAATTATGTAAATAGGAAATTGTTTTGCTAATTCCACATTTTTTCAGACAGAACTACAAAAATATCAAAATTCACTTGGCTCAACGTAAGAGTTGAGGAAAGACGCCAATCCTTCCATTTTTCAAATTTGTCTGTAAGACTGTAAAACATTTCGTCTGAGAAACCCTACACTACAAATCAGGTTGAAAAAGACAATATGAATTTGGAACATTGTACTTCTATTTGATTGAATGAAAATATTATTATTATTATGTAATAATAAATTAATCTATATACATAAAACAGTTTGGCGACTAACTGTCAGACAACGCACAGACCCAACCCCTGGATCCAAAGGGGTGAAATTTCGACAGTGCATTCCTATAATGGCTTGGACAGCCGTTAAGAAAGGATTTTTGAAATTCCATCCCTATCTTTTATATACATAAAACAGTTCCGTGACTGAACAGATAACGCACAGACCAAACCGTTGAATCTAAAGGGCTGAAATTTCGACAGTGCATTTCTACAATGGCATAGATAGCCGCTAACAAAAGATTTTTGTATTATTTTGAAATTCCATTCCTAAGATCATATGGGCAATAGACGGAATTTAATTGTGCTATATTAAAAGCGATAGCCATTAGAAAGGTACTTTAAAACAAAGCCCCCCGCGGACGAAATCGCGTGTAAAACCTAGTTTGTGCATATGTAGTTTACAAGTCGAGGAACTGAAAGTCCTTTTGTCTGAAAAACCCTATACCCCAGTAAACGTCTTTTAAAGAAGAATAATTTTCAAGGCTAATCACTAATGTAGAATATTGTTTACCTTGCCACGCATTTTCTCAAATGGCGTGACGTCAGGGTTATAAGCAGGTTCTATTTTTTCAAATTTATCATACGTTATGTTCAAATTGTAAGACCTTTTGTCTGAGAAACCCTACACCCGGTACACCCCAGCAAGCTCCTACTCTAGGGTGAAAAGACAATATAATTTAAATATAATTATAAAATATATATTAGGGTGAATATTCTATACATTCATATTATACATTCTTTTGGTTTGGAACCTATTTAAAATTGTGTATAATAAACAGCTGGATTGTCTGCGAAGTGAGTTTATACGTACATGCTACGGTACGTAGTTAACTGTTTGCAAGCTCGAAAAAAGGAACTGAGCGGTATTTTAATAATTTGTCTCATTCCTGATACTCTTTTAACGTCAAAACATAAAATCATATTTGTAAAGACTCATCTGTGTATATTTTATTGTGTGGAAATATGGGTGTAGGCAAATAAATCGAAACAATACTTTTCAAGATACTTAGACTTGTTTTTGTTTTTTTTATACAATGAGAAATTGTAAAATTGAATTTCTTGTGCGTTTTAAATTTTTCTACGCGTGAAAATATGCAGAATTTCTGGAGTGTATGTAACATTAGTATGAGACAGAAATAGTGAAGTGAGTCAGCCGTCAGACGCGAGAGCTAGTGAGTCCGGGGCGTGGAGGGGGCGCACAAATACATGGAGGGGGAGACTGCAAGGGTAGGTAACACTGGGTACGTCGAGTCGCAACTTTCCTTACGTTTGCGGAACAGTCTTCCTCGCCGGTCGACAACGCACCTCCCACGTCCTTGGTGAGCGATTTTTGTTCATCCTTTGAGTTTTTTTACATTTCGCCATGGAAGGGAAGAATTTATCGGATTTCGACGACTTCAAAAAAGATCTGTTCGGCGACCCCGTCGTAGGCGGTCTGGCTACCCAGGGAGCGAGTGCGGCCAAAGACTTGGACGATTTGCTGAAGGAACCGTTTTCCCAGGGAGACGGAAAAGGAGTCTCGGACTTTTTGGACGATTTGAAATTCGACGTGAAAAGGGACGCTGAGCCCTTACCCAAGGAGGAGACGAAGTGCAGTGAGGACGTAATGAATGATTTTATGTTCGAGAAGCCGGACCTACCGGAGCGTGTCACCGCGACTGTAGACTTCCTCAAAAACGAGACGGGTTACTTTTCCCAAGACGTGCCCGAGAAGGAGTACCCCAAGGACGCGGCCAGGGAGTTCGACACTCCGTCTCCGGTCGGCGCGACGGTTCCGCCCCACGAGGACACACCGGCCAGCCGGGAGGACTCGCCTATGTCGAGGGGTATGGATTCGCCTTCGCCCTCGCCTTCGCCATCGCCCCTGGCTAAGCGAGACTCTCCGCATCAGGAATCGCCACAGAGGTGGGACCCGTCGCCTAGAGATTCGCCAGAATTGGAAGTCGCCTCTTTCAAACCCGTCGCAGAATTCATAGACGCCGAGACAGTCGGGGAGTCCGAGAAACCGAAGGAAAAGACACCTACCCCGAGCCCGTCTCCGACGCCGACCCCGACGCCCCCGGCCCCCGTCGCCGAGAGGAAGCCGTCCGTCGAAGACATCGGCGCCAAAGATATTCGTGTCAAGTTAGGTGAGTGTCAAATTCAAATATATAAACAATTTTGCACTTCACCTCCTCTTGTTATTGCACCATAGTTGGCCATGCGAATGAACCTCCTCTCCCTCTATTGATTTCCTCCCGTGCATTCACCTTTAGAAACCCCTCCCAATCTACTCATCTTTTTTACTCTTTCGTTATTGCATCCAGCCAAAATGTATACAATGGTAACATTCTGTTGTTTTTGTCGTCAAATCCCGTTTTGTTAGCGTAAACCAGCATATTCAAACTTTTCGACATTAACGACTCAAATGCCACATTGAATCAGTATTTAAAATCAACCATGGAACACATTTTATTTATCTGTTATACAAAACTTGTCACAAAAAGTAAATTAAGGTTTATGCAATTCTTAAAAGCCTGGTAGCCTGAAAACTCAAAGAAATTTCAAGAAAAGTCGCTTCAAATAGCATGATTGTATGTATCTTGGTCGTTTCCGATAATTCCGATTTGCCTTTTCTCGATATTTTGATCTATCAAACGTGTTCGGCTTTTTTTCCATCTAAAGTGTTTTTTGTTGTCTGGCTTCACCCTGCTTATTACCCGATCAAAACCTGGAGATAGCGAGAAGCTGAACAACGATGACAAAATATTAATATTCTTTTCCGATAAGATTGAAGATCAGGACTTGACATTTTGACCGAAAAAATGGAACTTCAAATCTGTCCAATAGTAGTTAAGTTGAAATAGTGAACTTCTTGCCTCACCCAGCCTTATCACCCTGAACCACCTCTGGAGATAGCGAGAAGCTGAACAGCGATGACAAATTGTTAATAACATCCTTTTCTGATAAGATTGAAGATCAGGACTTGACAACCACCTGGAAGTCCAGAACAAAATGAAGGGAAATGAACCAATGATAGGTTCATCATACACTCAAAATAAAACAATTAAAAAAATCATGCAATAATTGCGACTAAGCTCTTCTTGCGTTATATCAATATACAATAGAGAAACCACCTTGACAAAAAGAAAGTTCAAAGTAAGACGTGCTAAAAGGACAAACATGAAAACTTGTGTATATGAATTCATTTTATACAACTTTAAAAAGTTCTCGATGGACTAAATATTATTGGCGAAAGCAATAAGAAATAAGCTGGGATAGACGGACCAGGATGATCGGAGGCGAAAGACGTCAACGGCTTACCTCAGCCTAAGTTTTATTAATTAAACAAGAATAGTGGAGGAGTGATGAACTTCTACGTCAATAGTTTGTAATTATTCTGATCTACCTACTCTCTCTCGCAGTTTTGGCTTGTCAGACGCGTTTAAGTTTCTTGCCATCATCAGTGGTGTGTTTGTTGTCTTGCCTACCCTGCTTGTACCCCCTGACCCACCACTGAATGGCTTTTTCGGACAGGCCAAAACAACGAGGAAGTTCAGAACAAAATGGTTGGAAACAACCAAACTTATTCAAATGAAGACAAACAGAAGACATAACTATCATCATGGAGGGTGAGTGCCATAGTGAACCAATTGAGCAGGGCAGTGGAGAGGTCTGTAAGGTACTTTACGAGGTATAAAATTAGTGGGAACAGGAGTATGTCTGAAGCCATACTCTTCATGAAAAGTCGTCCAACCGTAGACCTTAAAGTTAACCGAAATGGTGAAGAAATTAATTGGTCTCCCTCAATAAGGTACCTCCGCGCTCGGCTAGATGCTAAGTTCACGTTTACAGCCCATGTCAATGAATTAATTCAAAAAGTAAAAATAAATACTTCATCCAACTCCCGTGTCCAGAGTCCCCAGTTGAGAGTTCATAACGAGTTGCTCATCTACAAAACCATAGTCAGGTGTTAACTTGTAACACCAATTATAACAAGCTTAAAACAACTCAAAATAAGTACCTAAGGTTATGCACGAATAGCCCTTTAGCAACCACGATAGATGTACTCCCCACAAACTTCGGAGAGCAATTTCTGCGCGAGTTCATAGAAACCACTTGTCAAAATTTTTTTGATAGATGACCTGGTAGCACCATTAGATTAGTTAAAGATATGGAGGTCCATATATAATATGGACGTGCACCCAGATCCAAACACAAATCCCTATGGGACTTCAATGCGAGGCTTGAATATATTAACCCCTAACATAGTTATTTAATTAATTTCATTTTTTGTATGTTATGTATATATGAATATATACATGTGTTATGTATATATATTCATATATACATAAATAATATACATATATTATGTATATATAATATTGCATGTATAGCATTTTTATATATGCATATATAATGCATATGTATGTATACTTTAGTGGTACTCATACATAGAATTATTTATTCGGATCGCAATATGAAATGTTAGTCGGTTTTTAAACAATTAAATTTAAAAAAAAATACAAGTTGTTTTATTCTACTTTTAAAACTAGTAGATGGATGAAATAATACACAGATCGACCAGTAAAGATAGCGAAATGACGAAACGCGACTGATTAACGAAACAAAAGAATATAAAGACCAGGATGATCGGTTCACTTTGAATCCAACAGCTTATTTCAACTTAAAGATGTTTTATGTATTAAACGATTAATTATTTTTACATAACTTATGTACAAATTGTGAGGTTTCCTCGTGAGGAGAGATGAACCTGTAGCTTGGTCATTTCCGATCATTTTGGTCAGTCAGACGAGTTTCGGCTTTTCGCAATCTTCAGTGGTGGATGCCATTAATCTTTGCACGAACGGATAGTAGGAATAATAGACTCAAAGGATCGGATACGACCAAGCTGCTTATTTGATCATGAATGATGATAAAATATTCCATGTTGCCACAAATAGAAAGGAGGTAGGAAATTGTCTAGAAAATAGAAAGTCGTTTTATAGTGGGGTTAGTCATCATCATCAACATCACCAAATACAAACACCTATTTAAAAAAATGTTAACAAACATCTAGCTTTGGGTTTGTAAAAGACAAGTCTATAATTTGTAAAATATTATTATAGTAGTTCAGCTGTGTAAAACAACTTTTTTTATCTAGACGGTTTCCTTAATTCCTTTTTTTTTAATTCTAATAGAAAAGATGATATAAGCTACACGTAGGTAATATTAATTTAATTGAAGCCTTTTGACACATTTTTCGTTTAGCGCCGTTATTAAAATTATTACAAATTATTCGCATCCCCTTTCTGATGAGCCGGTTTAGCGATGTAGGGCGAATTTAACTTGCAAAACCGACTAATTGTGAAGTTCCATTAATGGTTAAGTTATAAAGTTTTCAATTAGGTGATTCCATAATGGGCCCCTTGGAGATTTCTTTAAATAAACTACAAGATCTCATTTAGCGGCCATTCTGTTCTATTTAACATTTGATGATAACGGTTAATTTACACATTGACACAACTTCATATAAGCGTTCCTTTCGGCTCAAAAATGAAGAATCGTCATTCATTATGAACAATAAAACCAGGAGACAACATTATTATTAAATGTTGTTATAACGAGCGAACTTTCTAAACATTTTAACCAAGGAGTTTTATTTTTATTGATCTCTTTAACAATATATAGAAAACTTGTATGACAAATTCTTTTATTAGTAAAGAACCGTTTAATTGGCATCGTAACAAATCTCTCACAATGTTCCTCCCTTTGTCGATATTTTACATCAGAAACGTTCTTCAGGAAAGTCTTACAATGTTAAGATAGTAATATTTTTGGTATTTCATTTTTTTTAAGTTTAATTGCAATGTAAGCAACAAGCACTAAAAATACTAAAGGGTGTTTATCGGCTAAAATGTTTTTGGTGTACTTCATATCTTTTTTTTTACGACGTAGGCATTTTTTTTCCAACAGAGATAACAATTTCCCTCGCCGATAAAGAGTGTGAGGTCATTAAGATCCTCCTGTACAAGTGTAAAGTTTTAAACAAAAATTGACACAAATATTGCAATATATTTTACCTGCATCTGTAGTCTCTCGTTTCTGGTTTAGGACTATGTTAAAACATATTCGGTCCAGATGTCCTCACGAGATTGTCGGCTTCCTGTATCCTGGCCGGAAAAAATATGGCATTAAACCCGTGTGTCAGGGGTCAGAATGTGAAGGGAGGCACTGAATGAAGTGAATGAGTCAATATTGCGCCACAGTTCCAAATTCTAAGATTCGAAACAAACTTCTAATTTTTCTCATCATCCGTCTTAAATTCCATAACGACATTCGGTTTTGTTCTAGATTATTAATTTAATATAATGATCTCGCATCGGACGAGCAGTGAATAGATTGCACATGTTCCGCAAGAGAGAAAAAAGGTGTTTGACCCTTCATTAATGGTCTTTTCAGCTCGGCCACTCAAGTAATTCTTTTATAACTCCATTCAATAGAGGAAACATAGAATATATAAATGTTATTTGACATGTTTATCCTAATTCGGTGTCGGATTTGCTTTACTCTAATAATAAAATACCTAACTAAATACATTAGCATATGCGTTATAGCAAATACAATATCTTGTCTTATGTAAATCTTCCATGTTTATTCTCATTCCTAAAGCTCACCCACCGCACCATATCCTTCTACAGACTTCTTCCTGCAATGTCCAAAATTCTCGAAATATTCCTTTTAAAGCGATTAATGCTTATTCTAGATAATCTTAAAATAATTCCCTCCTACCAGTTCGGCTTCCGTCCTCATCATTCTACGATCTAACAAGAGAGTTGACACCATCCTCTGCTTTAGAGAACAATGAGTATTGCTTGGGTGCGTTCCTAGACAGCTCAGGCTGTTGATAGGGTCAGCATGCTTTATAAACTTAAACACTTCCTACCCACTCTTTATTATCTTTCCTGAAATCCTACTTGAGCTTATCGAAGAACTGGTGCAAAAAATGGAGGACATGACTGAATGAGGAAAAATATGCTTACTGAACATTTACCTTAAAAAAACAGTCTTGGTCACCACTGAATATCAACAACGAGCTTACTCCACTAAGTTTCTTTAGCACTATACCTAGACAGCAGACTGCCATGGA